TGGTCAACGTTAGCATATCATAGACATATAAGAGAAGAATGATAAAATTTCCATCCAGGGAATTTCTGAACATATTACACAAGGAATCTGCAATCTGTCCTTTTGTAGCCTTGATTCACCACATGAAAGAATCAAACTTTTTATACACTGTCGCGGTGCTTTGTTTTCAAAAAACCCGTACAAGCTCTTCTTCAAGCGACAAAAACCATGTCCTCTTTTCCCTTGACTTGAAAAACTTCCTGTTGTTTCATAATAGAATTCTTCTCTAGATCCCATGCAGAATGCGCGTCTTTACATCAAGCGCTCAACTCAAGATTCAAACTGGCTACTAGACTAGCACAAACTCGAAATAGAATCTTTCACAACTGGTGAAAAAATCTCGATAAAGTCAATACCTTTCTTATTGAGTAAAAGCCTTTGACGAGCAATCGAGCTTTGTATCTCACTAGGTTGCCAATCATCTTTCTCAGTTTGTACACCATTTGTTCTTGAGTGTTCTCTTCCTTTTGGAAAGTTTACCAGTCATGAGGTGTCACTTCTTTGTTCAAGAAGAATTCATCTCTTCCTTGGCATGGCTGTTCTCCCAGCAATCTCTCATCCTTGCAAGATTGCACATCTTGGAAGCTCTCCTGGGCTTCCCCCTCATCAGAAAATCAAAATGTAATCAGAACTAGGTACTTGTAGATGGTTGGCGTTTCTGGTTGACCTTCTTAACTGAGGTTCAACTGTCCTTCTGGTGTAATGGGGTTCTCTGGCTCCCCCTGCTCAACACCCTCTGCATCACTGTTTCATCTACAATTGTCTCTTTGAATCCGCTACGGAAATGGGCTTCTTCTTCTTCTTCTTGTTGCTGATCCTGGCAATTCCTCCTCCTGTGGCAAATCATCTGTAGGAATGCTTCCTGGTGTATATTATCAACAACACCATCACTTGTGGATTCTTCACAAGTTGTTTCTCCCACGATCTCATTCTCATGGAATACTACGTCTCGGCTCCGGGCAACTTTCTTTTTCACTGGGTCCCACAACATATAGCCAAACTCTTCGTCTCTATAACCAACAAAAGTGCAAGGAACTGACTTGTCGTCAAGCTTTGATCTCTGTTCCTTCAGAACATGCATAAATGCCTTGCATCCAAATATCCTCAAGTGAGAGTATGGAATATTTCTACCTGTCCAGACCTTCTCCGGGATATCAAAATCCAATGGTGCTGAAGGTAGTCGATTGATTAGGTAGACAGCAGTATTGACAGCTTCTACGCTTCTCCCCAAAATGGCTTTAGGTAAGTTTGCCATTTTGAGCATGGAATCTGACATCTCTCAAATAATGGTGCGTCATCCGTTCAGCGACGCCGTTTGTGTTTGGGCCGTAACCAGGAATTGTCTTTTCATGCCTGATACCTGGTGCTGACTACAATAAATTCTACACTCCTAGAGGATCATACTACAATTATCGGCGTAAACACTTCAAATGCCACTCCATCTCCCTTTTCCACCATAGCATGGAATTGCCTGAAAGTGCCTTGAATACTTGGTCTTCTGTGCGCAATTAATATATCCATTTTCCGTGAGAAATGAATCAATGAAGGTAAGAAAATACCTACTTCCTCCAAGTGATTCTACCTCCATGGGACCGACATCGTAGAGTGTACCAACTCCAACTTGTTGGTCTCTAACAACTTCTAGAGCTTTTCAAACAATGAGACCCGATGTTGCTTCCCAAATAACAATAATCAACAAGGGTTTTATTTTACTTTGCTAATGGTATGAGGGACTTCTTTAGGCCAACATATTAAACATTTTTCATAACGTTGCGCCAGCCGCTATGGCCGCCTATGCCACAAATTTGGTGAAGCATCATCTTCAACTGTATTCAGTTGACCCGCACATATTGTTGCGTGCGTCTTATACAGCGAGCAGCATAATATTCCTCTCCCCACCACCAAAGACCCTTTGGTGAGTTTCCAATTACCGCCACTTGTATGATGGTGATAGCCTTCCTTGTCCAGTACACTCACAAACAACAGGTTCAACCGAAGATCGGGAATATGTCGCACATTTTTAAGTATTAATGTGCACCCGACACTTGTTTTAATGCAAATATCACCGATTCCCACTACTTGCGAGATACTATTATTTCCCATTTTAATAGTGCCAAAATCTCCTGCTTTATAAGTGGAAAAGTATTCCCTTTTTGGAACACAGTGGTATGAACGTTGTAGACGACTGGAGTCCTACTATCCACCTCGGGTATCTGCATCTCCAACATGACAACATCTGCAATCATCAGGTGTAACCTAAAGTACCATCACCATCTTCTCGCTGAGACTGTAATGCAGCATGTATTTTTGATCATTCTCCTGTCTTTGGTCCTGTATTATCGTTGTTTGGAGTAAATGACAAATTTCTTTTGAGATGACTCCTTACCAACAAGAGGTAACAATTTTCTTCTCTCTCTGGATCCTGGATCTTAATCCAACTGAAACTTTACATGCCTTGGACCTCTCTCTTGCTCCGCGCTCACCTATTCTCTGTGAAAGGGCTTGTGAACTGGTACTGCAACATCTCTTCTTCCTGAGTTCTTACGCATTAGTGTGCTATTCTTTAAACCATAGACATTATTACCGACCCAATGTTGGAGCTAGTTACGTAAAGACACCAAGAGTATCCCAGCTATTCCGTAGAGATCCACAGTTAGGCATGCTTGACATCTCATCTCTAAGGTCATACCGGCTCATGCTGAACGGTCAGTTACGGTCCTTCAAAATCATTCAGGTGGTTGTGTAATTGATCGTATTTCCTCTGACAGCTTCAAGTTCATGACTTTACACGCATCATGAAGACTTTTCTTGAGCATTCTGTAGCCTCCGTACATATTCTCCAATTTCTTATAGAGACTTGAGGGGATCTTTGTTCATTCATAACTATGATTAGACAGGGACTAGCATCCTATATTCAAGTTGGGCAGTAAGTTGGTAGCCCAATTGTCTGCTTTTTTAATTTTCTCCCAATTGTCTTTCTTTCATATCTTTCTGGCTTTGCATGTCACCAGATTCAACTTGGGGAGTCGCTACAGATCCTATATACAAATTGAGGTAGTCTACCATTCTGGATTTCCAGTCGCACATTGGATAATGTCTGAATCCGTCATAATTGAATCAATAATGGCTCCACCATCATTAGATTGCCCCATCATTAGCCATGTTGAATTCTGAATCTAATGAAATTCCACTATTCACGAAATTCACTATTCATGTGAATAGTAACTTTGACAGAATTAACTTCACGAAATTCACATTCGGGGTTGGATGGTACGCGCGGTCCCAACAAGTGGTATCAGAGCCCAGGTTTGGAGCGGAGCGGAGCGGACTGCGCAGTGTGAGAAAATTTCGATGTGTTGTTGTAACAACAGGACCAAGACCCGAAGAAGATCTGCAAGTGGTGCCTTGTGTCGAAAATCTTCCCGACAAGAGGAGGTCGGGCGGCGTGTCCAGCAAAGTTGTAGCGGCGGTACAAGATGGTGGGCAGATTATGTAAGCCGCCTGGTAACCAAGATGTGGGGCAGATTAATCCCTGAGGAGGTCCACGATTTTGTGTGGTTCCTTGGTTGGAGGTGAGTGTTGGGACTATCTCCCAGTCCCACATCGGAAAAAGTGAGAAGAAGAAAGAAAAACCAAAAATTAATGGTTCAAAACCCAACCCATTAGTATGAGGCTTTTGGGAGGTGACCAAAACGAAATTCCAGTTGAGGCTTGCCAAAGACCCATTAGTATGAGGCCTTTTGGGAGGTGACCAAAACAAATCCGTGAGGGCTTGGCCCAAAGCGGACAATATCATACTAATTCGGGGTTGGATGGTACGCGCGGTCCCAACAAAAATTGCTTATTAAATGAATTTATTTCATGTATTTGCAAGTTAGTTGAAAATATTTATATATCTAAATGTAAAAAGAAAAAGAAAAGGAAAGTTAAAATTATGTTTAATAAATTGTAATGAAACATAATGTAATATAGTTAAAGTACTTTTAGCATAAACGTTATCTTTGGTTACATCACATTACGACTTACCAGATATGGTGTTAGAAGATTGTGATTAGGAGAAATGTCTAGATTTACAAGCGAAATTAAGCAGTAATGATGAGATTAGACGACTTAAAGTGATCGATATCTTGTTTAGCTTACAATTAGTGCTGTTTGTTACAAAATGGCATTTAGGACAAAGCACAAACTAGTATTTCTATTTCTAACGCGTGTTGACTTAAATTCAAAATAATAATAGCATTACCATAAGCTTAGTGGGAGATTTTTTTATATAATACATTATAAATTTCTGTTTTTGAAAGAAATACATTATAAATATTTAAGCGATATTGTTAAGTGTTAATTTTGGATATATTATATTACTAAACACAAGTATAAAGTAAAAACATCTATAAAACATAAAAAAAAAAGAATTAATCTTTTCCTCTCAAAAAAAAAAAGAAAAAAAAAAGAATTGATCTTTAATGTGTACAATGAGCAAGACAGAGACTGACATTACTGAGCAATATTTTTAATAATATTCGAGTAAGTCATAACTATATATAGAAATATTTATATCATTATAATGTATATAAAAATGGACACGAGCAAGCATGTGACAAATGGAATTTTTTTTTTCAAAATTTCTTTCGTTTATATTTTAAGATTTTTTTTTTTTAACCTAAATTCTTCTCATAACGGGCCACGATAGAACAATGCCTACCCCATAGTCTCTTTCTTTGTTGCGGTGGTTGCACTAGCAAAAGGAAAGAGGGAGAGAGTAGAGAGAAGGGAGACCCACCTCCATTTTTTTTTTTTTTTTTTAAATTTTTTTAATCTTTCAATTGTTCATTGTTTGTTTTTTTTTTTTTTTTAATCTTTTCAATTGTTATGTTGGTTGCAGAAATAGAGAGAGAGAGAGAGAGAGAGAGAGAGAGAGAGAGAGGTCCATGGTGGTTTAAGAGGTGCTTTTCTATGGAGATATTAAGATCGAAGGTCGTAATTGCGATGGGGGCGTGCCTGCTGTTCTCTGGTCGCTAACAACATCCATGTGCACATCTGATACCCTACACATTGGACCCATTTTATATTTCCAAAAACAATTCCCTTTCTCTATCTATTTAGGTAGTTGGCTCTTCTCATTTCTACAGTAAAACTAACCCCACTTCCAAACACTACATGCCGCCTTTGCTAGCTATTTTCTATGAAATCAACACTATTTATTTTCTCTCTTCTTCGTTGCCCTTTATGCCTTGCACCCCTTATATATATACTCTCATACTCATTTTTTTTATGTATAATTAATATCTTATTTCTATCTTTCCTCTCTCTCTCAGTTAAATGCATCAAGACATGAGTATATCTGTAAATGGCCAATCACAGGTGCCTCCTGGTTTTCGATTTCATCCAACTGAAGAGGAGCTCTTACATTACTACTTGAAGAAGAAAGTCTCGTATGAGAAAATCGACTTGGATGTTATTGGCGATGTGGATCTTAACAAGCTGGAGCCATGGGATATACAAGGTGGGCTTTTCTTTAACTCTTCTCCACTTCTTCTACAAGAACTTTTCGATATAATCTACCCGTGAATGATTGATGATACTCATTATGTGAACCCTTTTTTGCAGAGAAGTGCAAAATTGGTACCACCCCTCAAAATGATTGGTACTTCTTTAGCCACAAAGATAAGAAATATCCAACCGGAACTCGCACAAATCGTGCAACTGCTGCTGGGTTTTGGAAAGCTACTGGCCGCGATAAGGTTATATACAGTAGTGGTAGACGCATTGGTATGAGGAAGACTCTAGTGTTCTACAAAGGTCGAGCTCCACATGGCCAAAAATCTGATTGGATTATGCATGAATATAGGCTGGACGACAACCTTAATTTTCCCGATACTAATGTAAGCCGCCATTTTAATTTATTTATATATTTTTTTTGTAATTATTGTACTTCCGCTTTTAATAACTCAATTCGCATTTAATGAGCAAAATGTTGCTGATTCCCCTTTATTTATTATTATTCCTGTTCGCATTTAATTAAGTTTGTCTTTTTGTTTTTTATTTTTGTCGTCACAGGTCTCCAATGTTATGGGAGATGCTTCACAAGAAGAAGGATGGGTAGTTTGCCGTATCTTCAAGAAGAAGAATCATCATAAAACCCTAGACAGTCACAGTCCTTTAAGTACTTCGTCATCTATTATCGCTGCCGTTGAAACGAGATCGACGAGCCAGATTTTGAATTCATTCAACGAAGGTGCTTTAGATCAAATACTTCAACATATGGGAAGGGCTTGCAAAGAAGAAAATTATGAAGCAAATAAATTGAGATTTCTCCGGTCAAATATCGACACAGCTATCAGCAATGGCTACCACGATACATTTATGAAACTTCCAACCCTAGAGAATCCAAATTCTGGAAGTACACAAAATTGTTACCCATCCATGGTTAATAATGAGGGTTCAATGGATGCTAATTCAGTTTACCCATTGGATTCTGGCTTAACCAACTGGGCGGCCCTTGATCGTCTAGTAGCTTCACAGCTTAACGGCCAAATTTCTTGCTTCAATGAACCCATCGTGGCCTATTGTAAACCTACTGATCAACCTCACGATGATCTTCAATTGCCAACCGTACGATCATCATTCTCATTACCATCCAACAGGGCATACCATGGAAATCAAGTCCATAATCAAGATTATGATAGTGAGATTGACTTGTGGAATTTCACCACACGAACATCGTCTTCGTCGGACCCAATATGCCACGTTGCAAGCTCTAGTGTATAACAGATGAATAACCCTAGCAACATATATAATCATATCATAGTTTATAAAGTCAGAAGGAGTATTATGATAGATTAATGATAAAATAATAAAAAGTGAAGAGGGTTTCTTAGATGGGATGGCGTTGTCAACCATTATCTTTTTCTTGATTAAGATGTTTAGCAATTTTCCTATTTGTTATCTAGAAACTAAGCGCTAGCTAGCTAGATGGCAATAATCTGTGGGTGATTTACTTTAAGAGAATATTATATCTCTCCAACTGCAGTTATAATTCCTGCTAGCTTTTTATTCTTCAAGTTAATTAAGATGATGAGGAAGAAGATAGAGGTGTCTGTAATTAATTATCCTTGGGTTGCGTTCACATGGTTTGTCTAGAATCTGAGATGAGAAGCAGTATTTGCCTCCAACTCGATTGGTCCTCTGCGATCAAAGGAGAACAAAAGTTTGTGGGACATAATAGATACCAATTTAGTGGGAAACAAAATTTTTTGCTTCAACCTAGCTTTAAGATTTGATTAGTATGGCTGGATTATCTGTAATTATAAGCTTAAGAGTTTTAATTTTGGTCAAGCCTGCTGTTATTTTTTGTTTTAGGCAAGAAAATTCCGATTCTCATTGATTGTTTTTTCCCCTTTCTTCTTTTTGTTATTTTTTCAATTATTATTATGGATAGAGAAATCAATCAAGTTTGTTTTTTTTTTTTTTTTTTTTTTTAGAAACAATTCAAGTTTGTTTTTTTTTTTTTTTTTTTTTTTTCTCTTTATAAAGTAAAGATAAAAGTAACCCGATACTGCCACAGTTTCTACGCCAAACTATCACTTTTTTTTTTTTTTTTTTTTTTCTCTTTATAAGTAATATAAAATAACCCATAGCTGCCACAGTTTCTACCGCCAACTATCACTGTCGTATTCAGAGTTTGGATTTTGAGAGGCATTATTAAAATCCTTTTCACAAAAGAAAATGGAGAACCGATGAACATTGGTTGTCTATGCAACCTAAAGAAAAGGGAGAAGAAGAGATCACCGATATCTTATGGTGTTATGGCGCTTCTAAGACCACTTAGAATCAAAGGTCCAAAATACATTTTGGAATAACTATCTAATGATTAAAAAAAATTGTATTATTTAGATCGATATATAGGCTCAAAGTCTAGTCTGATATCCATATGCTAAAAAAATATTTGATATTCATCTAGACTTTTAGTATATCTCACTATAGTTTATCAATTAAGATGCAAAGAGAGCAAATATTATAATATTTCTCTGTGAACGTTAATAAAATGTTGGTCCCTATTTGCTAGAAGGTTATTAAGGGAATTTATGGTTTAGTACTTTTATGAAGCTGATAATTGATTTGTAATCAACAATTAAACTTAATATTTTTTGTTTAAGATAACTATTATTGATATTTATTCAAGACATGTGAAAATTAAAATATTAATGCGTTAAAAATAAACTATATAAATTTTAATTCATTTAAAAATTTATATTCAAACCCTAAGTCCTGTTAGCTATCTTATCTTGCCCCACTTAATTTAAATTGTTAGCATACGATGAGATAAATGTGAAGGAAAAGAAGAGAGCAACCGGGATTCTTGGACCAAGTCAGCAACCACTAATACGAAAGCTGAAATGCTTTTTTATCTACTTTTCCATGTAATCCGACAAACACCAGCCTATGCCTTTTTATTATTTTTTTCGAGTTTTTTTTTTGGGAAAAAAGGCCTATAAATTGGAGATTTATGTGGATTTTCTACAGTGTCCTTGCATCCCAATTCTGAGTTTTGCAAATTCTGTGGGAACATGAGCAATTAGGTAATTGACTTTATGTTCTTCTGCAATTAATTAAAAAATTTAAACAAGATTAGCAGTGGAAGACAGAGTTGAGAATCTAATTAGTAATTAAGTGTGAAAAGTTGTAATTAGTCAACCGAATAATTGACGTTTGCCCTGCCAAAAGTTTACAGAGTAACAAGTGCTGATTGAAGACCTTTTGAGATTCTTTTCTAACTCATAAAAATTTGCAATAAGCATGTTTGTTTTTTAGTCAAAATATCTTTAGTGGAGGATACAAATTAATCCCATAATAAAAACATTCTGTATATTTGAGTCATAAATTAATGTTTTTAACATTTACACTTACACATGTACTTTTTTTAATAATGCTACAATGAAGCAAAGACGTGAAACTTATTTTCATTGAGAAATTATTATTTTTTGTCGGTTGGATACTGATTATAGAATGTAAAAATGCATGAATTATGAAATTTATAAAATATTACAATTTTTCGTTTATTTTAAGAACATTTCTGAAATTAAAAAAAAAAGGGTTTAATTTATCTGTCAAAATTAAAAAAAAAAAAAAGGACAAACCTTTTTTATCTATCACAAGGACAAAATTAAAAAAAAAAAAAAAAGCTTCCAACAAAAGGCCTATACACCTATTTATCTAGGCAAACCTTTTATTTTTAAAAAAAAAAAAAAAAATTGGAGGTCAGTGCAATAATTCATCTTTAAGGAAAGTAGAGCTATAAATTATATAGATGTGGCAAAACTGTAATTTAATCTAATTTAAATAATAATTACTTTTTGCAGTTATTACCAAGAAAGTCAACTGTCAACCCCCTAATTATAAAACATAAATGTTATTCAAGGTTGGAGAATATAAGGAACCAACCTTTTAGTTAAATAGTGGTTATCATAAATCGCCATGTAAACAGAGGATATGCCGACAAATTATACCTACCCCTAACTTTAGCTATTAACTTGTTTTATTAGTAGGTTTTTTTTTTTTCAAAAAAACAATCTGGCTACAAAGGATTTTTCAAGTAGGAATAGATTTTTTTAAATAATTTAAAATACTCAAAACAATTTATATTTTGAAACGACGAAAACGTTATTTATACAAAAAATTTTCTGTTACCAACTAATATAAAAAAGAGTATAATAACCAGATTTTCGATCATCATATATTAAATAAAAGCTATTATGATCTCCAGTAAAATCAAACCAGCCAGCTATAGCTTTTATCTAGAAGTTGAATGGATAATCAGTCCTTAATTAGTTTCCTAAAGCTATTAATCATAATTGGGCGAAGCAAAAGCTTAATTAGAGTAAAATAAATTAGTGTTATTGAATTAATAAAGTTAGGTGAGGCAGAGGCAGGGTCGTACCATGTTGGCGAGGTGTTACATCTGTATCAAAATTGGGGGAAATGATATAATGATTCTATTCTATTCTATTCTATAGCTGAATTGAAAGGTTTTCATTTGGAAGCTTATAATATATTTTCCAAAGACAAAGGCTAGAGAATCAAATCCCATACAATATTTGATGATGTGATTAAAAGTTGGCCAAGCCCGAGATTATTCCCTTTCTTTTATCTATAAATAATAAACGTGTATTAATTTTCATTTAATATTGTTTATCTCTCTCTCTCTCTCTCTCTTTTTATTCACACGTTTACGCTCTTTTCGCGAGGCTCCAAGCAACAAGAGACATGAGGTTATGTGAGAAATGAGACTCTTTTTACCCAACTTTTACCTTTAAAATTTTAAATGTTTAAAATCTAATTGTATTTTAATTTTTTGGCGTTGTAATATTTAGGCATGACCGATTCATTAAACCGTAAATTTCTGTTTACGAAACCGATGGTTCAAAATTTTTAAAATGTGAAACCTGAATCGATCCTTGAACAGTCGGTTTCGTTTCTGGCCAGTTCCGATCACGGTTTCCGGTGATATATGTTTTTTTTTATATAAAAAAATCGATTCTAACGTTACATCTTTCTTTTGAAAATATTAATATGAGTTTAAAAAATATTGATAAATTTAGAATGCTCATACTCATATAAGAATAAAATTAATTAATTTTACAAAATAATCAAATAAGTTGTCACTTTATTTTGTTTAAATGTTATTAATTGTTTTATTTTTTTATATAAAAAATCGATTCTAAACGTGTACATCTTTCTTTTTGAAATATTTAATTAGTGAGTTTAAAAAATATGCGATAAATTTAGGAATGCTCATACTCATATAAGGAATTAAAAAATTAATTAAAGTTTTACAATAATAATCAGTAATAAAGTTGGGGTCACGGGGCTTTATTTGTATTAAATGTTATAGTAATTAAATTAAACATTATAAGAATCAATTTTGAAAAAATACTTCGAAAAAGAATGTATTTAAACTCAGTAAATAATTAAAAGGTATTAAAAAAAAGTTAAAATAAATATAACTTTAGACTAAATATTTCACTTTTTTTACCATTTTACTTTTAGATTTTTTAATTTTACTTTTTAGATTTTTAATTTTTAAAGTGAAGTGTATTTTTAAAAAAAAAATTAAGTAAAATATATCATGTAGTAAAATATTATTGAGACTTTTAAAGATGTATAAAATAGGCTAAGTGATTATTATTTTGCAAATAAAAATAGAAAATATTCGGTTCGAACAGGACCGGAACCGCCGGTTGACCGACTGTTCAGGGCTAGTTCAAGTTCAGATTTTAACATTCACATGAACCTTAACCGGCCTTTGAACCGTCGATTCCTGTTCAAATTTTAAACCGATAGTTTCATTCCGATTTTGATTTATCTACAATACGATTCAATTGCGATTTAAAATGAACTGGTGGTCATGTCTGTTAATATTTAAATTTTATTTACCCTAGTAGTAGCATTATTGGCGGTGGGGTGGAGATTCCCGTGGAGGAGGAAATTACGATTCTGTAGCAAAGAGCAGTAGGGCCAAAAGGATTCTTTTCCCTCTCTCTTCTTTATTTGTCTCTCGAAGAAAAGTGAAGTGAATGATTAAAAAAATGATTCCAAAGAGGCATTGTCTCAGTAATGGAGAGTTAAAAGGACACAACTAGGCCCAAAATGAAAAGAGGAAAATAAAAAATAAATCAATTTCGCTAAAGTTTTAAATTGTTGTTTTTCCAACAGGGACAGTTATTTTGGAATTTGGCTAAGACCAGCGCCCGTTTCCCAATGGCCACCTATGACCCTTTTGACTTTTCTTGATTTGCATCTCATGTTCCTTTTTTTTCATTCTTTATTTACATTCGACATTATTAATTTTTTTTTTTATCGTTATCGTCATTATCCCACTCAAAAAATAATAATAATAAAAAAAAAAGTAGAGCAGCAAGCCCTTTATAAAGCTTAAATCCAAGGATATCCTAACTTTCCAAGTTGTTGGAATTACATTCTATTTTTATTTACATATCTCGAATTACAATTTTGAGAGTAATATTCAAAAAAAAAAAAAAAATTGCGAATTCCACAACTGAGCTTGGTTAAAACTAAGTATTGAAACAACATCATCAAATGTATTTTCAGCCCACTCAAGCACCTATATATTTATAAATATAAAAATTAGTTCATTAAATATTATTTGTCAATAACAAAAATAAAACAAAACGAGTCATTCTTAAGGATTTAGTTTAAAACAGATTGAGATTCAAGTAAAATATTTTTAATACTTACAATATCATATATATATGAGTATAAGTACAAAGAAAAACATTCCAATAATGATTTTCTTCATTTACAAAGATTGAACACCACGCCTCTTCATTAAAAGATCCGAGTCTATTTCATTTAGACCAACTTGGATCAGTTCTTATGTACCTTGTATTGTAATTTGAGTAAAGATACTTTCAAAACCAAAATTTTGAGATGTAATGTCACAATTTTGCAAAATGGAGTAAAGTTGGGTTATAGCCCGTAGGTTAAACTGCTCTTCATGTCCAACCAATTTGGGCTTTGATTTCATTATGGGCTTTTTGGTGAAACTTCCCAGATGGTGAAATTGTCTTATAAAACGTATTTTCTTTTTTAATGATCCGGTGTACAAGTCCACTTATCCGATTCAATAATTAATTAATTCTATATATTATTACATATTATATTAGTTAAAACTTTTATTTTAAAAAAATCAATTAAATAATCTCTATATTTTATGATCATTCAACTCTATTATAATTTTTTAATCGACTCAAAATAATTTTTTTTTAAAAAAAACTAATATAGTGCATCTTATGTTTCAAACTTACCTTTTATTAAACTCCTTCCCCATGGAAAATTGATGTGCATTCTTTGAGTCCAACATTTGCTTTTTCTTCTTTTTGGCATTTTAAATCAATTTTTTAGAGTTTATATTTTTACATAATTGTGATTTTTTTTTGGCAAAATGAATTTGTTTTATTCTCTTAATATTTAGAATGCAAAAATAAATAAATTGTACCTAAAAGATCTATTCATTTAAATTTAGGGTTTAATTTATATTGGGATTGTCCGGAGCAGCGAAGACAAAACAGAGAAAAAACAAATGATAGTAAAGAAACAAAATTCTTTACAAATTATATGAGCTTTATTTTTTTTAATTATATATATAAAATAATATCCCAAATAGTAGAATTTGTATTGTTGACATTAGGTAATTAAGAGTATGAACGTACATGTCAAATACTTGGACTTTCTTACAATATTTTTTTCCTTTTTCAGCAAATGACACATTAATTTCTTCAGCACACAATAAATTTATTGTCAACAGCCAGATACCATTTATCAACAATCTCGAAATGAAACATTTCCTTAATTCAAAATAATCAAGCTTATTTTCCTTTTTTCTTCCAGAACTTTCACGTTTTCTAATCTAAGTTATATTCATAATAATCTATTTCTATATAACTTCCAATTTTCAATTACAAATATTTATTGTTGTTTCAATTCAAACGAAGAATTAATTAGGCATCTAAAAGAAAAAATGAAAATAAACTTATGTCATGCATTTAATTATATATACTACTATAATTAATTAAGGCAGTTAAAAAATCCAGTAGCTAGACAAATACGTAAAACTAATAAAATTAGGGTAGAAATTAAAAATCAGATACAGCAATAGTCAACAACTATACTAATTAACTACGACCCGACCCATATTTGTCAGCGGATACTTTCCAGCTACTGGCTAGTGGCCACACTCCACTGATCCGAATTAGCCACCGAATTAGAAGCTAACCCGTTTCCACATTTAGCCACTGTCCTCACGTTCTCTATCAATTCTTCTGTTCGCGCCTCTTGCGCCAGTATCTCCGTCAACTGCTCCGGACTTATCACAAGCTTCACTTTCCAAACTCCGGTACTATTATATCTCGGAAATACTTCGGCCTCCGTTAAGCGCTTCATATACCTCTGATTATCAAACGACATCCGATACGGCGCGAGTTTGGATTTGGATGAAGTTGAAGAATTTATGCTGCTACAATTAGATATAGAATTAATGGCAGTCGCAGTACCGGCGTTTAATTTACTAGCGTTCATAGGGAGGAGATAGTAGAGATGGCCAGCTTGCAACACTTCGTTATGGAGAAGAGGTGGAGAAACGTCGCGGCTACGGTAAATGGCGTGTCCTGGAAACTCATTCGTTATAGACTCGGCGGTGATCGGTGCATATAACTCCATTATGCCGCCGTTAGTTGTAACGACTTTTATCATTTCTTCTTCTTCCATTACTCCAAATCCTCTGAAAACGCAATTCCCCATTCTGTTAAAAGAATATGTATGAATGACTAACAATATTGCACAACGTCGTCAAGAATCAACGAATTACAAAGGATCAAAGATCACGAAGATGTATATATACAGAGAGGTGATTAAGCGTCGGTGGAGGGTTTCTTGAGAGTTTCTTGAATGGGGGCCATGGTTTATTCAGCCGACACAAAAATCCTTTTCTTGGCTGACCCAAACCAAAATCTTATGGTTTTTATAGTCTGGTGGCCCCGCATTACTTTACCAAGGGTTTGTTCGAATGCTTTGAGGGTAATTGATCCTTTGTTTAAGAAGCGGTGATTGAGATTACTTGTAAGTATAGAATCCAAAGGTCAAAATTGTTAGTCGTTTGACCAAGCAACGATCGGATCATCATTATTAGGTTTTTTAAGGTCAATGAGCAAATCAATGTGTTTATGCCTTTTGGCGATGGTGAGACCTACAGATTCATTTTTGTTTATATGGCAGCCATGAAAAGAATAGAGAATTTGGAAGTCTTTGTGAGGGAGGTTAGTTGTCCTAACTCTTTTCATTTCTTTATCGATCTGTTTGCCACTGGCGGCTACTAGTAAGCACCAATCGTTGTCGGTTTTGTCTTTCACTTCAGGAAGCGATGTCGTTTTCGCTTACATCTGGCCAATTTTTTGTCTGTACAAAACTTGGTTAGAGGATCTTGGATATGTTAGGAATGTATATCCAGAAGGGTCCCATTTCCTACACTTCATCTGATAATAAAAGAGAATTTAGCTGTGGTTTGAATCTTGATTATGATAATTAAACGAGAATTTAGTTCCTATTGTAAGATAATTAATTGTCGATGTTCAGTCTCTAATAACTAAACCAAAGTGAATGGTTGTAATTAAAAAAACAATAGTTGTTAATTGTTTTGTAAGTTGGCAAGTCTTTGGCTCAATAACTATTTTTTGGAATTTATTTATAAAGTATTCATACTCCCTTTCAATACATATAATTTTTTTTTATATACGCGATCGAATTTATGAATTTACTTCAGAATTAAGAGTGTCAAACAACTTATACTAAACACATATGATAATAATTTAATAATATTATACTTATCTTAAAACGGTAATATTTTATGTTTGAAAATGGATTTAAAATGTAATTAAAAAAAAAAAAAAAAAAGGTTATATCGGGAAGGAAGGGTGATGTTCGTTATGGATCCTACGGTGCATATAGTAATTGACAATTGTAGTAAATTTACTCTTTCGGCGGTACTCATTATGTGTTGAAATTTTTTTGTTGTGCATGATGTATAATAATGATGACGATGGACTGCTCCTAACTCCTAACCAGAAATATAGAGATATTAGAAAGCAGACAATGCTCACAATTTTTGTATGTTTGCATAGCATATTGTTTAGCAAATAATTTCGTCATTAAAAAGGCTGTTAAAGTATAAAGTTAACACATGAATATGATGACAGAACCTTAGGCAATAGGCATATAATGTAACTCATATTGGACTTATTTAAGGGGGAAGAGTGGGATTATTGCTCAAAATTTGAAAAATTATTGGGGGCTGATTGATCTGGATGACTCCTTTTTAATTATTCATCATACTGATTAGAATTTTACCCAATTCATATCTATCATTGCATGCAACGGTTCTAATCATCCACCAGCATCAGAAAAGCTGTGTCTTGAAGATGCATTAGCAGTATGGTATTTGACTTGCCTTATGTTGTAATAATCAGTATGCTTGTCGATGTTCTTATGAACAGTTGCAACCTTAAAACATTAAGTTTTTATTTTTTTTTAAATTTTTTTCAATCAAAACAAGTCCATTTATTTGATATTGCCAAGCAGGACATTGCAGTCCCACTCTTGGGTAGCAATTTTAATTAAAATGAGTCTCTCGTATAATTATTGATTAGAAATTCATTCATTTATTTTTTAAAAGAGAGAAATGGACAGTAGAGTTATAGCAAAATCAAAGGGCAAGTAGTAGTCAAGTTACAATTCTGTACGTAAAATAATTTTTTGGAAAAATTTGTTGCACGACGGTAAACGCGTGTGCCATGTATGAATTTAGAATAGACAAAGGAATTCATCTGCGAGTGCATGATTCTTGGCTAGATCGCAGGCCCCATAACATGCCCATTGAACCTGTTGAGAAGCTTCTGTATCAGATTTGTTGTAGGCTTTTTTGTTCATACTACAGTCGGCATATATCATGACTTACGCGAACATATATGACAATATAAACGTTTATTACAATATATTGTCCTTTTCCTGAAAATTATTTATTTGATTTAGCCTGTCGTCATGGACCAGTCACAACACATGAACCATGCATGCTTATATTCTTAAAAATCTCATTTAAATATTGCAAGGAAGAATTTGCATGACTAAGAAATGCAGATACAATATTAGGTATATCCCAATCAATCACATTTTGACAACCTATAAATTCTAATTATTTGCTCCGATTTGTCAAATTAAAGCTGGCTTGGTTTTCATGCATTTATATATTTAGTTATAAAACCTGTCTTAAGCTTTTATCTGTTTCTCTATTGAAGCACGCAATGGGATGTTGTTTAGGAAGGAATTGGGTGGTGAACCCCATAACAGCAGACCATCACCAAGAGGAAGAGGACAATTTTATGAGCCATATCAACACTATCTCGTCAACTAATTTAAGGATGAAGGTGCGGATGACTAAAACCCAGTTTTTGGAACTGGCGGATTCCAGCAAAAACAACTCAGAGCTCGGTCGTATGATCTTGCAAGAATGTTTAGAGGGTAGGTTACGTTCTCGCATTCTTGTTGACCAGGGTTTGAAATTTCAATGTGCAAATAGTTTGAGCACCATTAAAGAAGAGTAATTAAAAGAATTTGTGTTATATATATATACAAAAAATCCATGTTAATTACTCTTCCTTAATGAATGAAATAGCAATAATAATGTTTCCTTGTTCCTGTTATTATCTCTGTTAAGGTTTTTTATTATTATTATTTTTTTTTACCTGAAACGATCTCAGTTAAGTTTTATTATGTCTTTTGGCTCACCAAATAGTCATGGTTCTACTCTGAATGTTCCAAAATGTTTTGTTTTGGTCTTTTCAGTTATAAAGTTGGTATAAATTACAAAAGAATTTCAAAAAGGAGGTAATAAATTTTTTTTTTAAAATAATCTATAATCAAAAATTGAATTAAAAAATTTATTTTAAACGAAATTCATTTTACAAATAGATGATTTCATCTCTTTTATTGATTTAATGAATGAGAAAATCAATCAAAGTTTTTTTAAAAAAATATTTTTAAATAAATTGATTTAACATTTGTTTGTTTTATAATTGTAGAATCAATCATAGAAGGTTTGTCGAATTTGAATAGTATTTTAATTGATGGGCCCGTAACTTAGTTACGGAGACCTCTGTAGTGGATAAGCCCAAGCCACACGCAGTCCATCTTTCAGATCGTACAACTCATTTACTGGGCTTGAAATCCATTAAAAGAAATACAGTTAGAAAACCCAATACCTATGCTTAACTTTTACGTTTCTTAGTTTTTTTTTTTTTTTTTTCTCTTTAGTGGAATAAATATAATTACATCTTATGCAATAATAAACTTACAGATTTTTATATAAATAAGACCCTAACATGATTAATTAAAATATAAATTTTAATTTCACCTGTCTCTAATAGTGGAAAGAGACCAATAAGAGGTTAGTTGGGCCTAACAGGTTTGAGTTATATAGCTTCAGTGTAGTGTAGGCTTAGTACAGCACCTGTTGCAGAGCATTTAGGGTAAAAGAGTCTATTCAAAGCCCTACAAGGGAATGTTTTTTTATTAACAATCTCAAACGCGAGCCCTTCTTCCAACACCTGGGCCCAGTGTCTCGAATCCTTCCTTAAATAGCCAGCTCCTTTGGTTCGACATGATTTATTTCTTAAAAATGTACTTTTTTAAAAAACATATTTTCCAATAAATATGATTTCAATGATGTATTGAATTTTCCAAAAAAAAAATTCGTGTTGATGAAAAATGAAATTAAAAATAATATGAATATTCTCGTTCTAAAAAATAGAAAATTGATATTAACCAATATTAAGATGAGTTGGACGATTTAGTCACGGTCCAATGAAATAAAAATACCATGATTAATTTCAAAAGAAAAAGTAAATAGCAGTTGATGTATTGTTTAGCAAAATATTAATCATAATTATTTAACTAAAGGATTGTAATTTTTTTTGTCTCCTTAAAATAACATTATTATATAATTGGTTATCATATGAAAAATTTTATTGCAAAATAGATTAGAAAGAATTCTCCTCTTAATTCATCAAATTGGTAACGCTCGAAGTCAAGATTTTTTACTCTTTTATAAAAAATTGAAAACATCTAATTGCAATTCTGATTGAATGATGTGTATTCATGGCATATTTATTTCAATACTCATGAATTTCATTAGAGTCTGAAGTGTTGGGAGAGTTGCTCTGATGCCTATTATTCAATTTATTCAGGGAAGCTTTTGAAAATATTATTCAATAAATATATTTAGTTACCTTTTTTTTTCCCCAGAACTGGAATAGGTTATTTGCTATTCAGCCTGAAGCAAGGTTTATATTGTTACAAAAGAAAATAGAATGGATAAAGTAAGTCCAAGGAAACATATCTGGCCACGTTATGGTAAAAGTCTCCCCATTGACTGCGCATGCGCGGGAGTACGTTATGCTTAAATATAGATCGCGAGATTGTCGAAAAGGCCATCCAATCCAACGATGGAAAAGCAAGGAGGCATATCCATACATACATCAGAGCAAGCAAAATCAATTTTTTTGTTTTAAGCTGAGTATTTCTAACTATTTACTCAATATTGACTTATCTAAATTAAGTCTAGAAGCACCTTAATAGACCAAAATAATTAAAAATAAACTTCATAATCACGATATTTCTAATCATTTACTAAAGAAAAAGATAAAATAGGCAATTTCAATTTTTTTTATTATATTTGATCCGTGAATAAGTCATAAATTGAGTTTAGATAAATATAATTTATATTTAATAGAAAAAAACAGAATAAAATAATAATAATTTGGAAAATTACTTATTTAAATCGGGCTAATGGCTTTGTGTATGGATTAAATTAATAGTTTTTTTTTTTTTTTTGAATGCGAGAATTTCTAACCATACAATTACTAACAAATATGAGTAAAATGATAACAATTTTAAAGTAATTGACTAAATTTTGAGAAAATTTATCCAATAATTTTTAAAGCAAGTCTTATAAGAGAGGGTAAAAATGAAAAATAGATAGAGGGGACAACAATGGAAAGCACACTGGCAAAGGCATGTGCTCCGCTCTGACGGGTGCCACTGCCTGCCTGGATTTGCAGCCTTCATGTGGATAGTACGACACTCTCCCTCATTCCCCTTTTCTTCCTTCCACCACTTCATTTCTCATTTCCTAAGCTCCGTCGCGTCCCCAAATAATAATAATAATATATGTATTTCATTTGAAACGTTGCAGAATTTTTGTACGTAACTATTAAGTTTCTGCAAAAATTAAGGGCAATCAATTAATCAAAACCATGTCCATAGTTAAATCAATGTATTGCAAGTTCCATTTAGCTTTTGATCTCTGCAAAATTCAAATAGTTTGACTGCTTTATTTGAGTCAACCATGTGATGATGGTCATAAAAAAGGAAGGCATACTACTGTTAATACAGAGAAACTGTTCCCAAAAGTTCATGGAAGTCCCTCTCTAATTAAAAATTTTTTTTTTTTCTTTTTTTCTCTTCCTTTTTCTGGGCAGATGAGTGATTCTCTTAGATATATATTAGTAGCTAGCTAGCTCTCCCTCATTATTACATCGATGCTCTCTGTACATTATTCACAATCCAACTACAAAATGGACTCCACCTAATTTAATGATTAAAGTGGGAAACAGATCAAATATATAAATCATTCTAAAGAAGAAGAGGCCATTGTTCTTCTTTCATAATGGAGAGAGGTATGGGATTGCCAGAGTATATTCTCATATATAAAAGCTACGTGTTAATTATTCATGCAAATATATATATTTTGATTTTTAACATATATTAATTGATTAATTAATGAGTTAGGCTGCTCCTTTCTTCTTTATTTTCTATTAATAATTTTATCACTCTCTTTTGGTACATGACAACCTAGCTATCTACTAGTATCTAATGCCAGTTTCATATCTGAAAAAACAGGCAACAAGACATTAATTAAGACTGCAGATATTAATTTATTAATAATGATAACCAATCTTAATTAATCAATTACATGAAGCATAATTAAGTAGTAATAAAATTGATGAAAAATAAATAAATAAATAAATACGTACTTAATGGAGAAAATGATTTGGACATAAATAATAGAGTAATGTACGATTTAGACACTATATGAATACATAAGTTAAAATCCAACTGTCATAACTATTTTCAGGTATAAATATCAATTTAATTAGCAATACATTGTTTTGGCCATATTCCACATATATTCTCCTATCCTATCTTATCCTCGATCCATTGTTTAATCATGATGCCGATAATGACAAAACGAGCTACCATTATACTAAATATATTTGTTCAACTAATTAACTGTATATTAAGTGATCACAAAATCTAATTTATAAATATTATTGCTGCCTTTAGCTTATTCACACTCAGCATGTGCTTCTGATTCCAGTTCAGAGTTATAAGTCGAATTATATTTGGTTTGGATTATAAGTTGAATTATAGTTTATCTTCAGAGGGAAAATGTGAGGTAAAAAAAAAAAAAAAAAAGAAGGTTCTATCAGAAAAGAAAAATACTGATACAGGAAAAAAGCCTTAATTAAGTTTTAATTTGCTGGAACAGTTGGATTATATCCGACCCGTTACTCAAGTTACCTAGATTTTCCTAAAGAATTCAGGTCCGGATATGCTGTCATTATCAATTCTTTTCTAAGATTGAAGATTTCAACAATTTTTAATTTTTAGTTTATTAAAAAAAAAAAAAAAAACAAAGGTGGTGGTGGACATCTGTACATGACTACTTCGACAGCAGAAACCCAATTCTTCCAACTTCCAACTCCGAATCCAGCGCAAGCAGCCGCCAACAGAGCCGACAAAACAATGGTGAGAAAAGAACAAACCAACATTAGAAATAAAAAAGAAACTCGTGAAATTTCCGAGGATTTTTTTTCTTTGTTTTGTTGGGTTAATTTTCTAAAAAGTATTCTCTTGTATTACATTTACAAAAAAATAAAAAAAAGAAAAGAAGAGGTTTGACCGATCTCTTCGACAGTCCAAGGGCGTTTGTGTGGTAGCGACACTCATGATTCTGTTTCAGAGTCTTAATTATATCCCGTGGAGCTCTAATCAGTAATTACCCTCCTCTCCTCCTCTCTCTCTCTCTCTCTCTCTCTCTCTCTGTCTCTGTCTCTGTCCCGTCTCATTTGACCACTATAGACGCCGCTTACTCCGCTTGCCTTTGCTTTTTTATTCTCCTCTAATTTAATCACTCATTATTTCTTTATTACTATTTTTGTGCCCTTGATTTTTATATTCATTGATTGAGGATTAAATGGGTGCCCTTGTTTTTGCATCACCATCCACCAATGCCTTATTAAATAAAAATACAATCTTGTCCCTTGCTTTTAACCAATCTTGTCCCTTACTGTATTAAATAAAAATACAGCTGTGTTATTTAGATTTAGATTAGATTAGATGATTAGTTTTAGATACCCTATTGGTTAATTATGATGATGGTGGTAGAAGAAGAAGGATTTTGGAATCCAGAACCATAAATAAAGGGAACCCTTTTTGTCAAAATGAGAAATTTAGGGTATTGATTGGCTGGTGATGGACACTGTTAACTGACCCCCCTATTTTGTTATGTCTCTTTCCAAGTCCCTCATATGTTTTCCTTTTCTAATTGTGTTTTAATGTTAAATAAACAAATAAAAACTGGATTTTGATAAATATAATGAAGGTAGAGAGCAGGGCAGTTATGGGTTTTTAACAAAAATTAACGAGGGTGCGCATGCTATGGAGGCGTGTCCTAAAGAATCGTCCGTAATTTTGTTATTGTTTTAATGTTGTAAGAGTTTAGAAGGTCGTGCCAGAAAGTTTTGGCCCACTAAACAGAACCTCCATTACCTGTTCTTTTTCGGTTAAGAGAATAGCTGCAGCTGCAGAGAGTGAGTTGAACGGAACAGAAGAAGCGTTTTAGAGAGAGAGAGAGAGAGAGAGAGAGAGAGAGAGGATCAAGGTATCATATCTCGAAGACCCACAAAATGCCATAAACAGAACATGCAATATTAAGAGAGAGAGGGGGGGGTATCATAACTTCGAAAGACCCACAAAAATGGCCATAAGAGAAGAGACAGAAAGCAGATGTGACGAATGAAGAAGAGAGAGTGGGAGCGAGCGGGGGGACGAGTAGACAGGTTGAGGGGGGGGGGGGGAGGAAGTAGAAGGTTGAGTACAGCGAAGCAGATGTTTGTGCAGACCCACCCAACACAAACACATAATACATACATATTATGTATAATATCGATATGTATAATATAGAGAGAAAAAGTGCTGATACAGCGAAAAAGGTTGGTCTTTGTTTCTTGAAATTTCATTGGACAACCTTTGCCTACTATTTTTGTGGGTACCCACTTGCAGCTTTTTTGTCCTCTTTCTTTCCCTTTCTCTTCTTCTTCTTCTTCTTCTTCTTCATCCTCTTCTTCTCCCCCTTCAATCTCTCTTTGTGTGCTATATATATATATACATATCTATATATAATATATATATTATTTAGTTTATTTATTTTTACATGATATAAATTATATTTTTCTTGTGTTTTTTTGGTTTTGCTTTCTTTTTTGTTCCTATTCTTATTATTAATTTACACACGGAAGCTCTTATGTGTATGAGAACACTCTCACAGTAATGATTTGTCTCGTTAAGGGTATCGTTGTTGAGGAATCTGAGGAGTTGTGGGTGCTGGAAAAAAAGCGGCAGTTATAACATTTAGATATATATATATCTATATATATATATATATTTATTTATTTATTTTTTTTACATATATAAATATATTTTCTTGTGTTTTTGTTTTGCTTTCTTTTTTTTCTATTCTTATTATTCAATACACACGGGACACTCTCACAGTAATGATTTTCTCGTTAAGGGTATCGTTGTTGAGGAATCTGAGGAGTTGTGGGTGTGAAAAAGCGGCAGTTATAACATTAGAAAAACATCAACAAGACCAAGAAAAACAAACGCAAACGCACACGAGTGTGCGCGAGAGAAAAAAAGAAGAGTGTTTATTTTGATTGATGTGATCATCAAAAAAACAAACGGCTCTTTTCTGGCTTTTATTCATTATTTATCATCTTTTTCTCTCTATATTTGGTTCCTTGAGGGAGAAGAGGGTGGCGGGTTTGGTTGATTTTGTTCAGGCGGTTTCTTTTCTTTTTTATTTTTTTTACAATCTCTTTTTCCTTGTTTCACTTGGGCTTTTCTTTTTTGTATCGTTTCTTTTGGTGCTATATTGTATATCATGTCTCAACAAAGGCAATTTCAGATGGTGGGTGGCAGCAATCTTGGCCAGTACAATGACACAACTTTTACCAAAATCTTTGTTGGAGGTTTGGCTTGGGAGACACAAAGAGATACTATGAGGCGTTATTTTGAGCAGTTTGGTGAGATCCTTGAGGCTGTTGTTATTACAGATAAGAATACTGGGAGATCCAAGGGCTATGGCTTTGTAAGCTTTTTCTTTCCTTTTCTTTTTTAAATTTGGCTTGATGATCCTTTTTCGCTTTTCAAGTTAATATTTTCTTTTTCTTGTGTATTTGAGGCTTAAAAACTGGGTTTTTGTTTTTATAGGTTACATTTAAGGATCCAGATTCAGCCATGAGAGCTTGTCAAAACCCATCTCCAGTTATTGATGGAAGAAGGGCAAACTGCAATCTTGCATCACTTGGTGCACACAAGACTCGTCCACCAACTCCTCAACATGGTCTCTCTATCAATTTCACTTTTTCATTTTTATTTTGCAAAATTACTCGATTAATTGAACAATGAGACAATGCTAATGACTAAATGATTTTGTTATTGGATTTTATTAAAATCTTAAAAAGTCTTCCTCTTTTTTCATATTTCATTTTCAGTACCCCACTTTCATTTTCATTAGCTCCAGCAAACTCTAGATTCATCTGCTTTTCCAATGAAATATGGATCTAAACAATGTATTAAAACAATGAGACAAATATTCAAGTTAAAAACTTGCAGGCACAGGACGGTTTAGATCAGCACATGGACTGGTGGCTCCACCTGCTTATCATGGTTCTTCTTCTTCATATATTCATCAACCCACTGGACAATACACATTTCCTTATTCAGCTTATGGGTAAGCAAAAGAGAAAATAATACAGACAAGAGAATAAAATGCTTGCTCTTTCCTCCTCTCCCTTCTAATCTGCATTCAATACTTTATTGATTCTTCTATTCCCTTTTTTGTTCTCTTTTCTTTTGGGTCAACTAACAGGTACGCCGGATATTCACAGGACACAGTTTATCCTTTGGTCAGTATTAGCATGATAGTGTATTCCCATAAATAATACTGTAATACTAAAATTTATCTTCATTTCTTGACCAAACTTTTATTGCATCCATATTATACATACAGAATTATTATGGGGTATATGGAGGTCAACAACTTTCACCTTATTACTCTACTGGGGCATCAGGAACTCCGGGAATGTTCCATAATTTCTACCCATTCTATACACAATATCCACACAATAGTCAAGCTCATGGTTTTGGTGTTCAGTATCCTCAAATGGTACAATACCCATATTTACCTCACCATTATGGCTCTACAGGAATTTTATCACTTCCTTCTTCAATGGGAATGGCTACTTCTACCACAGGTGATAATTCTGATAAATCTTTCAAAATTTCTATCCTTTCAAGTACCAGATTACAATTTAAATGTTGTTTGCAACAGGTGCTACAACAATGACTACATCTCCAACGACTACGACAGTGGCTACAACCACAGCAACAACAGGGGTAGTAGGAGCAGGACCAGGTGCTTTGCAAGCCTCTGGAATGGCTTCAGAACAGAATTCATCAACCTAATAAGCATGGAAAAAATTTGTTCTTTGTCTTCTTACAAGACTAACAAATATCAACAAAATGGCGAAATGGGTCAAGAGAAAAAATGGAGGAAATGAATAAGGGAAAAGAAAAACATTGGTTCAAGAAAAGAATGCCTGAAATCAGCTAGCATTAAGCATAACAAAAACAGAGGAAATTCAAGAATTGATTCAGCATGAGACTTGTTTAATCATGGAAACAGGCATTTTTTAGATGCAAAGCTCACTCCATTAACTGTCTTCAATTAATTCCTCCATTCGGGCCCCAATATTTTTCAACTTCATCATTATACATGTTTCGTTAATTAGGAGACTACGGAGTCAAAGTAGTTGTTAGCATTAGGAGAAGAAATCATATTCATTTCATGTATTAGCATAAGGTGGAAACCAATATTGGCTTTGGATTCTACCTCAGATACTAATCACCAGATGATTTTATTATGTTTTGGGACGCAGAAAGCATCCAATGACATAGTCCTGTTTATATTTGGAAGTAATTGGGTTGCAAGATTGATTTTATATCTTTAAACCCAAAATTTGGTCGGAAGACGAAAGGTGAGCTAGGGGGTAGCTCAGCCATTAACTTGTAATTTTTTCGTTTGTTGATTATTTATGATTGATACTTTCTTCTTTTTATTATTGTTATTTTTAATGATAGGATTAGAACATTAGATGGGGGAAGAAAGAAAAACGGTGTCTCCATCTCTCTTTTTTCTTTATTTCCTGTAACAGATAATCATCATCTCTTTCTCATCTTTCATCTATCGCTTTCAATTGGGTATTTTTCTTTCCTATTCAAATCCTTCTTTTGTTGTTCTATATTTATTTTATTCCTTTGGAATCCAAGGAGGAACTCACACTTTGAGATGTTGTGTACCTTTTTCTGTTCAAAAGTTGGGCATGCGGGTCTGCACATGGTTGTCAAAAGTGTGGAGAGAAGAAGTTTCTGCTGAACACAAATCACAATCATACGTATCCAACATCATTAAGATCCCATAATCCAAGTATGTGAAATCACCAATATAGATCCTTGGGTTAATAAGTGCTGTCCTAGAGTACTCGAATATAATGCTTGGAACCGGAAATAGAATCCTAAGGACTGAGCTGGTTGGTTTTGAAGAATAAAGGACAACCCCTTGAAACCAGTAGCGAATAGTTAGCTAGCCCCCACCCGTTGTGATATAGAGAGCTTAGGTAAAATCCTAATGATATAGAGAGCTTTTAATTTTGTTATGGACGTCTAAGAATTTTATCTTCTCGTCTTGTAGGTCCTAATAGATTAGAAGCTTCTCTAATAATTTGAAAGTAATTTAATTTAGCAATGCAACACACTCAAATTCGCAGCCCAGACATACATTGCTCATTCATCCTAGTTTCTTCTCTAGAGAAACAACCATAACATTCCGTTTCGCCAGTTAATTATGCTTGCAACTACTGCTTTTACCGCAAAGCCTCAATAAGCCATATTGAAAATGTTCATGGAAGGCTAGGCACACAAGTCTGTTGTTGCTATAGTACGCAAAAATGTACATTTATCCAACCTGCAGTGCCTTGCGATAGTCTCATCGTCTAAAACGAATAGCTTTGCAGCAGCATTAATCAATTCAACTTGCAAACTACCTAAATACATTCTGTTGACTGGTGAATGATGGTTAGGCTACATCACATCCAAACATTCAACAATCAAATGTATTAGAATCTAAACATTCATCACTTCATTTCAACAGCTGAAAAATGAACCATTTTCAAAATCTCAGAAAGTCATCAAACTATACAAGCCATGATCAGTTTCAAATACATCATCTCTCTATATTCCAAACATAATCAGTGGACACAATTAGCAGTTGGCATTGGGTATTATCCTAGGAAGAAGGAACCAAGCTTCTTCTATATAGCATCACATATAATCTCATACATATGCTTCATTCTACAACATCAGTACATGAGGAGAACGAGGGTCCTGGAACATGTTTTCTATTGATTTTCATATGAAATTACACAACATTTTCCCTGTAAAATTCTATAAGTAACAGAAAATTGGCAGAAACCCCTCCCAATGCTTTCTAGTAAGCCCAGAAATCCATGCCATCGGGCTTCTTCACAAGAATTTGGTTGTACTCAGGCCTTGATGTAAGATCTTTGAAGATGATAAAAGCAATAAGGAAGAAGAAAAAGAAGAGTATCTCAAATTCTGCAAATTTCACAAAAGAAAAGACAGCATTAACCATTCGAGTCAACAATGACTCATCCCTTTTTCTGCCCCCATTTGCCCTAACTTGTCTCCCGACATCCCTGGCCATCTCTGTAATTCACTCCTTTGATTGCTTGGCTTTTATCTAGTGGATAACAGTACTTAATCAATTGATACAAATGATGGGATCAAAAGCTGATAAAAACAAGCAACACAAGTTTAGAAGAACATGAGCAATTCTGAATTCTATATATCAAGTGCGCTTTTTCTCCTAAAATAGTAACAAAAAAAATTCAAAAATCTTGTTATGTCAAAGAAATGTAATGTACCAACTAAATTTCACTTATGCATCATGTCCCATCCACTATCAAATAGAAACCTCAAAGCACTGAAAAGAAGTGAACAAGAATGTGCACATTGCGTATCTATATTCCAAATCTTCAGCATCTAAGCAATGTGCAACTAGAAAAATCCTGTTACCTAATAGGTCAAAGTAATGCCCCTGTTGCTATTTTGACGCTAACAAATGTGGACATGTCAATTCATGCTATTGAAAACCGGTGCAACTTTTCCTCCACAAGAAGTGAGAGGCTAAACCATTTACATTGAGAAAGTGCTTTGCTGCACCTTATTTTTATGATCTTCTTGGTATGAAGCAATTATATCCTTCAATTTGAACACAAAATTTTAATAATGTTCCACCTTGAAGGGCATTTCTATTAATGTGTTGTGATTCTTGAGTTAAGACAAAAAGGGTTCTCAACCCCCTCACCACCCCCCATGCCCACCCCTAACCCTACCCCTAATGCATGTGTATCCTGAAACTGAAAGTTACAGTAATAATTATCATCTTGTTCAAAGATCATCCAGTAGAACCATTTTCAACTTAAAATTTTGAGTTTTTCATCTCACTTGGCACTGATATACCATATCTTTCTGGTAAAAAACCAACCCTTTTGACTCCATATACAGGATTTTCATCCATATCCCAAGCCCTTGTTCCCCAGCAACACTCATTACTCCAAACAATGGGAAGGAGTAAGCAAGATGCTATACTCCTTCACTTTAGTAACTGCATCTCCTTTCCTTAGCCTTTTCTTGACTAAAAATCTCCTTCCTCACTAATTCCACTGGCCTTTTTTCAAATGCTATGATTATTATTGAACTTTTAAATGAGAACTCTGAAGATTGGCATAATAATAATGACGTTGGAAGGGGTGTTTCAAACTCCATAAAATGTAAAAGGGATCCTTCATTCAACCACTTAGAGTTAGTAATGCCAACTTGCACTATTTTCCTATCATTATTCACTTGACTTGCCTAGGAACCCCCGATTTTACTCCTTCCTTCTAATTTTCAAGTTCTGATATTTGCTTTGACCCTTATTCACACAGTTCATTATATAACCAGGGCCTACTTCATATAGTTTTTAATTACTTTATAATTCTATTTGTTATTGTCCAACAAGAGCATTAAGTATTTCTTCACGAGCACAAAAGCGATTCCACATTTTCATTCCAGTAATTACTTACTAATTAAGCCTGTTGCACTTCTTTGTTGTTAGGTACATGTTGGAAGAATTATTAGAGACATAAACATTCTCCAGCATATAATTGGAAACTAAAATTAGCTTCAGTCAGTATCAATTAGAAACCACAATCATTATTTGGTACAATAGGTTTGGCAGAATTCTTTTAAAGCTCTATGCATAATCTATGACCCATAATTACTTGTAGCTAAAAAAATTTCTAACTAAATTTCAACCAATTACCGATCTTACCAAAAGGTTTTGCACTAAATTCAGATCAATTCTACTTAGAACCCCTATACCAAATTCTATCCCAAAAATGTAAAAATTGAAAACTTTAAATCCTACAGCGTAAGTTGGATTCGTTCTACACAGTTCAAGAAAAGAAAAGTCAGGGAAAAACAGGTCTAGAAAACAAAACACCAAATAACAAGGAAAAAGTCGACGAAAACGCATTAATACCATAACCAGAGAAAGAAGCACAAATAGAATATTTAGATAAACATGCACACAGAGATAGAGGAAGCGCACCTGATTTGACCGTGGAATCCCTAGCCCGTGAAAATTTTGAGAAATGGCGCAAACTACTTTTTCCACAGATCTTTTTGGACTTCTATATATTTATAGCCGAAGAAGACTAGGCCTTGTCTATTTCAGGAAAAAAACGTTGTCGTTTGGCCTTTTTTGGCTTTTCTCTTTGATGGTGAACAACCGAATCGAGTTACAAATTGAATATTTCATTAGTTAACGGTCTTCAACTGACAAACGGCGTCGTCTATTGTCGTTGCGGATTACGGAAGCGAAGCTGCAAGTGAAAGGATAAAAACAAAAAACTGAACTACGATTGCCTATTTTCTTCTCTTCGGTCTCACCGTGCAGTGTATTGTATTGATTTCTCACCGCAACTTCCACTATCATAGTCACCGTTAATTCGCTTTCCTGCTACTGGTTATTATTTAGCTTTCAAATTTTGCATCTTTTTGCTTTTAACTCTACTACTCGTTTTGCACGCAAGTCGCTTGATGTTTTACCTGACTGAAAATGCAATTGTATAATTTCTGAAACTATTTGTCGATATCATCAGTAGTCTTTCATGCAGCCCAAAAACGCATCTTCTATTCTGGAATTTGCATTGGCAATTTATAAAGCACCTTTGGTCCTTGGATGTTTAATTGGATAAATAATAAAATTGTCTGAAGCATTTTGATTGAATTGTTGCGACGGTGTACCTTAATCAGAGAGTTTGTGATTATTTTGTGTTTTCATTTAAGATTTTATGTAAATTAATTAATATTTATCATGCTTTTCCAGTGTTTACTATTTGTAATTCCAAGATAAGTTGTGAGGATGGTTGTCGATGATGTTTGGTTTTCTTCTCCTCTGTTACAACTCCAATCACTATCTTTTTTATTGTCCAATATCTGGTAGATGATTAATGGTTCTTAGTGCTTCTTCTTTCATGTCCAGTTTGTTCTAGGTACAAAATAGTTTTCCTGTAGCAATGAGTATAAGATGGCCAAGGCTTCTAACACCCACACATCTCTCTCAGATCATAAGGAAACAAAAGAATCCATTATCAGCTCTACAGATTTTTAAGGAAGCCAAAAACAAATACCCCAACTATCGTCATAATGGTCCAGTGTATGCCACCATGATTGGTATCCTTGGCAGCTCAGGCCAAATTGTTGAGATGAAGGAGGTAATTAATCAGATGCGAGAGGATTCCTGTGAGTGCAAGGATTCAGTCTTTGCGACTGCAATCAAGACCTATGCATCCGCTGGCCTTCTAAATGAAGCCATCACTCTCTTCAAAAACATTCCCCATTTCAATTGTGTGAATTGGACTGAATCTTTTAACACCCTCTTACAAATAATGGTAAAAGAATCCAAGCTTGATGCAGCTCACCATCTTTTCTTAGAGCACTCATATGGGTGGGAAGTAAAATCTCGTGTCCGTTCCTTGAACATGCTTATGGATGTTCTTTGTCAACATAACCGCTCTGATCTTGCATTGCAAGTCTTCCAAGAGATGGATTATCAGGGTTGCTACCCTGATAGGGATAGTTATCGAATTCTTATGAAGGGTTTGTGTAACGATAGAAGGCTGAATGAAGCTACCCATTTGTTGTACTCAATGTTTTGGAGGATTTCTCAGAAGGGAAGTGGTGAGGATATTGTAATATATAGAATCCTTTTGGATTCCTTATGTGATAATGGACAGGTTGAACAAGCTCTCGAAATTCTCAGCAAGATCTTAAGGAAGGGGCTGAAGGCTCCTAAACGATGTCGTCACCACCTGGATATCAGTCAATGCAATAGTGGTGAAGATATAGAAAAAGCTAAGCATTTGATCAATGAAGCTCTAGTCAGAGGTGCAGTTCCTAATTTGTGTAGTTATACTGCTATGGCTATCGATCTTTACAATGAAGGTAATATTAGTCAAGCGAATAAAGTGGTTGATGAAACACGGGATAGAGGCTTTAGGCCATCACTTTTAACTTATGAAGCAAAGGTGGCAGCATTTTGTAAGGAAGGTAGAGTTCATGAAGCAGTTGATGTAATTGAGGTGGAGATGGTGGAGGCAAATTGTGTTCCAAATGTCAGATTGTATAATATCTTATTGGAAGGCTTATGTAATGCAGGGAAGTCAAGAACAGCTGTTGGGTATTTGAAGAAAATGGCAAAGCAAGTGGGTTGTGTCGCCAATGAGGAAACTTATTGCATTTTAGTGCATGGGCGGTGCCAAGACGGTCGATTTATTGAAGCAAGTAGCCTTTTGGAGGAGATGTTAATTAAATCATATCGGCCTCCTGTTAACATTTTCAATATGCTTATATCAGGCCTTTGCTCCATGGGAAGGCAATATGAAGCTACTATGTGGTTAGAAGAGATCATTAGTCTGGGCAAGTCACCAGAACTTTCTGTATGGAACTCCCTGGTAGCTTTGGCATGTTGCAATTTATCTGACATTGATATTTCATTGACAGACATTTAAACAGCTTGGTAATTGTGCATAGCTTGCAGTTGTTCTCGTATGAGTTTGTTGTATTAAGTGTCCATGCTGATATATACAAATTCTTCTTAGGTAATCGTCCATTTTTCTCATAGAGATGATAAAATAATCTGTACATTATGTTATGAAAAGTTAAATTTTTGATTTCTATATCTATAAAAGCTCCAGTCACAATACTTTTGGCTTACAGTAAAGAATAAGCTTTGTAGTTAGTCTTTCTTTCAACTAAATTTGAGGAGGTAGTTATTGTGAAATATATATATTTTTTCAATGGCAAATCACAATTTCCAAGTTATTTTGTGGTATCTTGTGCTTCATGTCAGAAAGACGGGTCTGCACTTCTGATTCTGGTACAAAGAATGCTAATAGTAAGAGTAGAGGGTACACTGATTATTGACTGTGGAATTGATAGTGTGTTTTTATACATTTGGCTTTTAGGCTCTGCTTGTTTCTATAAAATAACTTGCAGGAAAATATTTTCTACAATTTTCCGTTATTTGGGGCGTTCAAGAAAACAAATCAATGGAAAAATATTTTTTTGGTCAAAGGAAAATTAAGTCATTTTTTTAAGGAAAACAACTTTCCATCTTTTGAGAGACTAACATTTTCCGAATATTGGCAAACCTTATAAATCCATATTTTTTCATTTATTAATCATCATAAGTTTCCATTTACTACCGACCATCACCACCGGCCACCGGCAGCTTTCATAATTTACAATTTTTTTTTTTTTTGCATTCTTTTCATATTTCAATGGAAAAATTGAATTTTTTTTGTCAAAGGAAAATTAAGTCATGTTTTTTACAGGAAACACTTTTCCATCTGTTTGAGAGACTAACATTTTCCGAATATTGAGCAAACCTTATAAATCCAATTTTTTCATTTTATTAACATCATAAGTTTCCATTTTACTACCGACCTCACCACCGGCCACCGGCAGCTTTTCATAATTTACAATTTTTTTTTTTTTTGCATTCTTTCATATTTAAGAATAAAATTTTTAAATTATAAAATTTCTATTTTAATAATATTTTTTATGGGCCCTTATGAGAAAAGACTTTAATGTTTCTTAATTTAAATTTTTCCAATATTACAACCAAATAAGACTTTAATGTTTTTAATTAATTTTCAATATTACAACCAAATAACGGAAAATAAGTCATTTATAAAACATTTTTCAAGAAAAATATTTTCCATGAAAATATTTTCGGCAAGTTTTTTTCTTGCAAGTTATTTCACGGAAATAAACGGAACCTTAGTAACATTGTGACATTTCCCTTTACAGCTTAGGAAGTGCTTATATTGATTATTATTATAAATCTAATTATATATCCTCACAAAGCATAAAGTCTAATAGTAAAATATTAAAAAAAAAAAGTGATATGTTCTTAAAAATAATCTAAATTAATGTTTAATATCTAAGAGCCTTATATAATGCTCACAATATAATTTCCGTTTATAATACATAAAATTTTTCCTCAAAAAGTCAACTAGACTACGGTCAGGTTAGTATAACCATGTTTGATTAAATTAAACATCTTTTATAAGTACTTACCTTAAATTTTTTGTTTTATTTTGTTCCGATATTCGTTAACAAATTGAATATTCTTTTGAAAATAATAATTTCAGGAGAAAGCGAGCCATGTTCTATCAAGTAGTATTATTTTTTATTTGGGCTAGGGCCTTTGCGTATGGTAGGCCTTATCCCAACCCAAGGCCCAATATAATATCACTCTTAGGTCTCAACCCACCTCTCTACCTTATTAAGTCTCTTATTGGCTCACTTCGCAAACCCTAGATTACACCACATTCCTTTGCCGCTGCGCAGCCAAGTGCACAAGCCAGCTCTCCCTTAGCAGATCGGACTATCTCAAGGTAAATTCAAAATTCTAAACCGTCTAATCTCTCCTTACATTCTCATTTACTTGCTTATTAAATATTATACCTGTTATCATTTTCATTGCTTTGGAAGTTCGAACTGATAGTTCCTGTAACTTTTTATTTACCTTTTGCAATTATTTATATGTATCTGCTGTGCGATACAGATATAACTATGTCGGTCGGAGAAATTGCTTGCTCTTACGCTGTTATGATTCTATATGATGATGGTATTCCCATCACTGTATCCTTACCTGAAAGTTGGAACTCTTGACTCGTAATTTCTATTCAATTTATTCTAGCACTCTATGTGGTAGGTAGGTTAAGTAGCTTATAGGATTCAGTTTTCAGTTTTCCCTTGATGCCTCGATTTTTTATTTTTGGTTCATAATCTGAATTTTTTCGAAGAATTGTGCCCATTTTCAGTTTCATGTATATTTTCTAGTTTATTTGGCTTGTAAGTTTTGGCTTTTGAAGAATTTTGTTTTGCTGTTTGGTTTCTTTTAACAAAATAATTTGGCCGTAGAGTTGATAATTTTTTGTGCGCGCTTAAAATATTATCCTCTTGGAGGATGGTTGTTTCTCCGTTAACTCTTATTAATAGGCAGAGAAAATTGCCCAATTGGTCAAAGCAGCCAATGTGCAAGTTGAATCTTACTGGCCTAGCTTGTTTGCTAAGCTAGCCGAGAAGCGTAACATTGAGGATCTTATCACAAATGTTGGGTCTGGTGGTGGTGGTGGTGCCCCAGTTGCTGTTGCAGCTCCAGCTGGAGGTGCTGCTGCTGGTGGAGCTGCTGCCCCTCCTCCTGCTGAAGAGAAGAAGAAGGTACTTATAATGTCTTTTTTTTTTTTTATTGTGTCTGTGATATGTTTCTGGGTTTGAGTTTGTCTAATTGATGTATTTGATTAATTTGATGGTTTTACAGGAAGAGCCACAAGAAGAGAGTGATGACGACATGGGATTTAGCTTGTTTGATTAGGAGCTCCTCTCTGTATGCCAAAGTCCTACGTTTGTCTTAGTAGTTCATTAGTTCATTTTGGATCTTTTTGCTGTTTCGTTTCATTATAAATTTCGTGAATGTAGACTTGGAGAGTAAGGTTTTTGAGCTACTATATGATTCTGCTTTAATATATAGTTTTGAGCTACTATATGATTCTGCTTTAAATAATATATATATATATATATATATATTTAAAGATCGTTTTCCTTTTTTTCCCTGATTGTTGAGCTATGGATGTAAGGACTTTCATCATTCGTGCTATCTTCTGGCATGCCGTCAATTTCTTGATATATGAATCTTTGTTCCTTCATAATTGATCATAATTTGAACGTATTTGTGTTCATTGGATATTGTATAGTAGAGTTTTAACACATAGAAATGAGAAGTTTCTATATATATTTAAGATAAGTTTTCTTTTTTCCCTGATGTTGAGCTATGGATTGTAGGACTCATCATTGTGCATCTTCTGGCATGCGTCATTTTCTGATATATGAATCTTTGTTCCTTCATAATTGATCATAATTTGAACGTATTTGTGTCATTGGAATTGTATAGTGAGAGTTTAACATAGAATGAGGAAGTTTCTTATTACCACTTTAGTTTGTTGTGCGCTATTCCATAGAGAGCCTTGTTGATTTTTTTATTGAGCTTGGATTTCGAGCATTAGATAATGCAGCATGCTAGTGAGGTTAGCATTTCATGTTGGAATTATTGGCGATTATATGGTGTTTTACTGTGTATCACCTAAATAGTTTCTAATTGAGTGAACCATGAAGTTGCGTAGTTCAATTGATGTAACAAATATTAATTAAAATATTTACTTTAGTTTGAAAAATAAATATTATGTAATTAATTAAAATATTTGCTCATATACTTAGTTTCTTAAAATGTCTAGAAATAATTCAAAAACCAAAATTTGCTGATGGGGAGCGCAGATGTTAAATATAAAAATTTTGAAATCTATTATTTCAAAGCATTATCTATATTATTATATTCGGTAAAGATAACTAAGAAGAGCGCTTATTTTTAAATTTTTTTTTTTTTTTATTCTTGAAGGGACTCTTTTCACTATAATTTGCCTTTTCATACAGCTGATTTCAATACATTATTATTTTGGCAAATAGTTCGAAAATTAAAAAAGCAACAGAAGTATGACACTTGGTCACCTTCAAATTTTTAGAAAATAATCCGGAGTACATATTCTCATCTCATTTGTCCCTCATCATGTCGGTTAAACAAATTCAAATTCTATATGCGCTTGAAACAAATTCAAATTCTATATGCTCTTGAAACGACCAGGCGTTTGCAAAATTGTGAATAAGAACACAATCAAAAGTCCCGCAAAATCTGGCGTCCTGTCTTCCACGTCGTTTGACATATTCAATTACGATGCAAGCTTGAGCATGAAACGACAACTCCTTTCAAAAAAATGACATGATCTCCAATTCTTACGTCAGTATTTTAACTATTTTCTAATGCTGTGAAATAAATGTGAAAGGTTTTACGTGTACATGAGCATACCGAAGCATGGCCCCTTGGAAAGAAGCAACTGTCTTGCTAACTAAAGACTAAGAAAGCAGAGCCCAATGTCGATGACAGGTTTCTTAATCATCAGATACAGAAGAAGATGAAGGAATAAATCTTCTTGTGCCCGTCAAAAAATGACTAAGAAACTCACAACCGACAAACTGCCCACGGAGCTTGACCTCGATTCTTTCCTCAGTTTGCATTCCGAATCCGACGATGACTCCACCGCCGTCCCTCACCGTTCACTCGATGAAATCCTCAATGATTCCGATGCTTCCACGTCACCTTCTCCTACATCTTCTCCGCTATCAGTGAAAGCTCAGCAACGTCGTCTCTATGATTTTTCTGTCTCCCAGAATGACGCCGTTTCAGAAGATTGCACAGAATCTCTGAAGCAAAGTCAATCTCAGCTTTTGGGTGACAAGTCTGACCAAACACGACTCAATTCATTTACTCGAGCTAAGTCAGGAGGGTTTTCGGGTGATCCGATATGGAGGGTTCCTTCTTCGTCGAGACCTTTGCCGTCCTTATTCGGTGGGGTGAGATCAAACGCGAAGCCCGGGGCGGCACTGGCGGCTGCAGCTGCGGCGTCTCGGTCGGTGCCTACTCCACATGCTGCCGCGATCAAATCGAGGAGAGCCGTCAGTCTCCAGAAGGTTGTGGACACTGGAGAATCGAGTTCCATTGTTGGTGATGATCACGAGATTGTTTCAAATGCATCCACCAGTGATTCAATTGGAGTTGCTACCGAGAGAACCGGGTCAGGTGATATATTGGCAGAGGACAATGACAATATAGGTGATTTTCAATGTGTTATGGACGATGAAATTTCCACAAGAGAGGGGAGTTTGGAAAATACAACTGGGGTTTTTACTAGTAAAGGTTTGGAAAGTGAAGCAGAAGCTGCAGTTAAAGTGGAAGAATTAAGGGCCGAGCAAGATCTGTTAAATTCTATTACTTCAATCTCCAATTCAACTGTTAACTTGGATGATGGCATGAAATTTTTTGGAAGTAAGAGAAAAGATGAAACTATCTCATCTATTTCTGCTGATGATGGTTCAAAGTTTTTGGATACGAATGATTCTTACAAAACTGATATTCCGTCCTATTCTTCTGGAGGATTTGATAATGGTGGAAATAATGAGGCCGACTCAATAATGCTGGTCTTAGAAAAGGAAGATAATTTGGACAAAGATACGGAGAGCTCTAAAGATGATGAGGCAGGTATTGCGACTGGTGCTGGTGATGATATCAGTTCAATAAGTGACATTTCAGAACTTGTAGAAGAGAGAATTGGGCAGCTGGAAAGTGAGAGGATTAGTAAAAGAGCAGAAGAGAAACTTAGATCCAGTATGAAGCCGCTTGAACTGGCAGAAGAACTTGAGAAGAAACAGGCTTCTACAGGTTTGCATTTGGAGGAGGGTGCAGCTGCTCAGCCAATGAAGCTTGAGGGTGTTCGAAGAGGGTCTACTACTTTGGGATACTTTGATATTGACGCTAACAATGCCATCACACGGACCATTTCATCTCAAGCATTTAGGCGAGAGCATGGTTCTCCACAAGTTCTGGCAGTTCATCTTAACTATATTGCAGTGGGAATGGCGAAAGGCGTTATAGTTGTTGTCCCAAGTAAATATTCTCCTTATAATACTGACAGCATGGACGTAAAGGTCTGATCATTCATATTGCTTTACTTGTTTGCTTCTTTGATCGTTTCCAATGAAATAATTTTAAAAGGCAATTCTAGAACTAATTAGATGAACTTTTAAAAATTACGCATAGTACAGGATCATAGTGGCTATAGAACTATACAATAGAATGTTCCTCAACCAGTAGATGCTTCATAACTCTTTCCCAGTATCAAAAGTCTCTAAAAAAAATATTTGATGTCAGTGTACGTTCGTTTTGGCTGAAATTCCAGTATGAAAATCGTTGATCTGATGTTGTCAAGCTTCTGCAAGTAGATTTTTTTAATATAAATCATTAAGGGTAGTCAATATGCTACTGAAACATGCTATGTGTATTCAGATGCTAATACTTGGTTTACAAGGGGATAGATCTCATGCTCCAGTAACTTCCATGTGCTTCAATCAGCAAGGGGACCTGCTTTTGGCCGGTTATGGTGATGGTCACATTACTGTTTGGGATGTCCAGAGGTCATCGGCAGCAAAAGTTATAACTGGGGAGCACACATCACCAGTAGTACATGCATTATTCCTAGGCCAAGATTCTCAAGTTACTCGTCAATTTAAAGCAGTTACTGGTGACAGTAAAGGTCTAGTTCTTTTACATGCTTTCTCTGTGGTTCCCTTGCTTAACAGATTCACCATCAAAACACAGGTAAAACATTATTATGGATTGATGTGTTGATTTCTGAAATCTCCTTATCTTAGTTGGCGTATGGTAGGCAGCAGTATTATAATTGCCAAATTAATGATCTCTTGCCCATGATGTGATAGTGTCTTCTAGATGGACAAAGAACAGGCACTGTACTATCTGCTTCCCCCCTTCTTTACGATGAATCTTTTGGAGGCACTTTGCCTTCATCACAGGGAAATGCTTCACTTTCATCCAGCAGCATTGGTAACATGATGGGAGGTGTAGTTGGGGGAGATGCAGGATGGAAACTATTCAATGAGGGCTCTTCTATGGTTGAAGAAGGTGTCGTCATATTTGTCACCCATCAAACTGCTCTGGTGGTATGAAGTCCTCGGATGATTGCGCAAATTCCATGTACCTTTTGTGTTGTGAATTTCTTGGTGCTTGCATCTGTATGGAATTGTATTCTTCAGAATGTGTTCAACTATGTCTTTGTTACAGGTTAGGCTTACTCCCAGTTTGGAAGTATATGCACAACTCTCCAAGCCAGATGGAGTGCGAGAGGGTTCCATGCCATATACTGCATGGAAATGTACTACACAATTGCACAGCTCATCATCTGGTATGTTGTGATTGGATTTCTTAGATTTCAAGTGGGCACCTGCCTAAAAGAAATTCGTTGCAGAAATTGTTACTACAGATGCAGCAGAGCGAGTTTCATTGCTTGCAATTGCTTGGGATCGGAAAGTCCAAGTAGCAAAGCTGGTGAAATCAGAGCTGAAAGTATGTGGAACATGGTCTCTTGAAAGTGCAGCCATAGGCGTGGCTTGGTTGGATGCTCATGTATGGTTTTAGTTTGTTATGATTTGTGTCATGCAAATTTGTTCACTTGTAACTTTGTTTAGTGTGTGTCTTTATATTCTGTCATTTTTGTCCATGTGTTCGTTGTCTTTGCAACTTGAGCCTAACAAAGGTTTTATGCTTGATCAGATGCTGGTGGTTCTTACCTTGACTGGACAGCTTTACTTGTTTGCAAAGGATGGTACGTTGATTCACCAGACTAGCTTTGCTGTTGACGGTTCTGGAGGGGATGATCTTGTTGCATATCATACACATCTTATAAATATCTTTGGCAATCCTGAGAAGGCCTATCATAATTGTATAGCAGTCAGAGGAGCTTCTATATACATAATTGGACCCATGCAGCTTATTGTTTCCCGGCTTCTCCCATGGAAGGAACGGATTCAGGTTCTGCGGAGAGCAGGTGATTGGATGGGTGCCTTGAACATGGCAATTACACTTTATGATGGCCAAGCTCATGGTGTTATTGACCTTCCTAAATCTATGGATGCTGTACAAGAAACCATAATGCCCTATCTGGTGGAGTTACTACTGTCTTATGTAGATGAAGTATTTTCTTATATTTCAGTTGCTTTTTGCAACCAAATTGGAAAAGTTGAAAAACAAGATGACTCGAAGAGTGGAAGCAGTTCTCTGCATTCAGAAATTAAAGAACAATTCACTCGCGTCGGTGGTGTTGCAGTAGAATTTTGTGTCCATGTACGGCGGACTGACATCCTTTTTGATGAAATTTTCTCAAAGTTTGTGGCTGTTCAACATAGAGGTGCATTTTCAACCCCCACAGAAATTCATTAGTAGTTTGATATTGATATTTGGAGGTTGAAGTACTAAATGCTCATATCGAAATTTTGTTTAATGTTTTGGGTTATAATTTCCATTTATACATTTAACAGAGGGGTTTTACAGCTTTCTGTTTCACTTTCAGTGGTACAATTCATATAGGCATAAAAGTAGTACACCCTTAGTGATACAATTCATATTGCCATATGATAGGAGAAGACATTATAATTTGACAAAATGCCATGTCCATCTGTGTTAAAGCACTATTCTATAATTTGATGCTGCATCATCATACTCTTGGGTGGTCATTAAATGGTACTCTTTCAATCATTCTCTTGTCTTTTCCACTCTTTGTTTTAGATACATTTTTGGAGCTTCTGGAGCCATATATATTGAGGGATATGCTTGGATCCCTACCTCCCGAGGTGTGTTCAGCCTTATGTCCGTATTGATTGTTCACTTGAGAAAAAGCGGTGAAATTACAGTTGCTAAACTGATGCATTTTCATTTATCTTCTCTGTTCTCTTCCCTTCTCTCTCCTTTTAAAGATTATGCAAGCACTGGTAGAGCATTACAGTAGTAAAGGGTGGCTCCAGAGAGTTGAACAATGTGTCCTTCACATGGATATATCTTCCCTGGATTTCAATCAGGTTTCTAATCTTTGTTTTCTTGTTCAACTGATGCCTTTGTTATAACTTTTCAACCAGAAACTGTGAGTTCTTAATTCTTATTTCTTTTAGGTTGTCAGGCTATGTCGGGAGCATGGATTGTATGGTGCCTTGATTTATCTTTTCAATAAAGGATTGGATGATTTCAGAGCACCTTTAGAGGAGTTGTTAATAGTTTCACGAAATAGTCATGGAGACAGTGCTGCTGCCCTTGGGTAATGGTGTTGAGAAGTAAACTGTTCTTTTCAATAATATGTTCCCTTTTGAAGATTTTATCATGTCAAAGACAGCATATTTTCTTAATGAAACTTTTGCTTTTTTACTAAAAAGGCAGTGGTCTCGTGTTTCAGGATTTTTACTGAGGAAATTTACTTTGTTATACTTTATTGTTTGTTAAGAGAATAAAAATCAAAGTAAACTCATAGGATTATATCATCAATTTACAACTTGAACTACATGAATTTTTAAGTGCTAGGTATACGTTTTTAAAAAATACAAAATAAATGCTGAGTTGAGTGGATTGTCAATGAAATGCCTTGGCCAACTTATTGTGGATGTTTAAGCATTTGGAGTGGATTGGTTTAGTCACTGTTACATGATCATACATATTGGCTGTATATACCTGTTTAATTGTTCAGATCAATTGGCTGACATTTGATTACACATTTCATGTTATTGCATCATAGGCATGACCTTTGCCTACTATTCTCATAACAGGTACAGGATGCTTGTTTATCTGAAGTATTGCTTTTCCGGTCTTGCCTTTCCACCAGGTACACTTCTCAGTTATCATAGGCCTTGATCCAATTCAACTGTTACTAGAGAATGTCTTTTGATATTCTACTGGTGACTATTGAGTGAACTAAATCTTTCTTGGCTGTGATTATGATTGTGGTCTTTCTTTGAGTGATGTTACAGGTTTGTAATTTATGTGAGATTGGAACCTTAAACAATCTGGTTTATTAATTGGTTTTTGCACACTTTAACAATAACATTTGGGTGTTTTACACCTTGAACAAGAAGGTTAATATTAAATGGTGTCAAGTACTAGATAGTATTTGTGGTTTAAATGACTACTCTATTGATCCCTTATTAACTCATAACTACTAGGTTAGGATTCTTGCTTGTAAGGCTAACTGTTGCATCTAAGAGATGGGTTATTACTTTTGAGAAGAAAATGATGGTACAGATCTAGTAGGTCCTTATATGAACTGTGTTTGGATTTCCTCCGGGAAAAAGGAAAAGGCTGATGTTTGAAATTGATGCTACTATTATGACTCCCTAATGTTGCTCTTAGGCCTAGTTAGCTGTTAACAAAATAAGATCAGCCAATGGACAGCTTTATGGTTTCCCAGTCAGGATATTACAATAACCAAAAGTGCATAATCGAACATAATGGAAAGTGTGCTCTCTTAATCTGGTTATTATAGTCCTATTTATACCATCAAAACTAATGAAATCAGATCCTAGCCTGCACGACAAATTCAAGCCTCACTTTCTCAAAATAACTTGATCAAAAGAATGAGTAAAGAACAATGCTTCAGCAGCATGCACTGTAAATGGAAACAAAAATCTTAACAATATACTGTCAATTTATCTTAGTCCTAGGCAGTTATAGCTTTTGCTTTGATGATGTTATGTTGTATAATGCACACAACATGCACTTGAATCAGTATCTAACTATTTTACTGTGCTATCATCTTGAAAGAAATGTTGTTGAAGTAGTTTGTCTTTATGATGACCTTGGTGGGAGCTTGATGCTGATTGCTCAACGTTGTTGGCCAATGTATTTTGGTACCATATTCATTGACAAATAGTCAAATAGTTCTATGGCAATTAAAATCCAGTATCATACAAGTTTTTTCCAATTGCATGTGGACTTAGCTTGTCCAGAGTTATTAAGTGCTCTGTTTGTCAATATGCAAGTCTCAGGCCCAACAGTTTGTTTATCCTTCGAGTTTTTTCATGCTTTGAGGACATTGAACTATTATTCTATTGTACTACTTGGATTCTACAATGGGCACTATCATCGAACTTGAAACAATCATAATCTGTAGAAATTCACATTTGATTTATAACTCGTTAAGCATCATATTTGCAGGACATGGAGCTCTACCTCCTCCACGCTTGGCATCTCTGAGGACCGAACTTGTTCGGTTTTTATTAGAGAATTCCAGTGCCCCAAATTCAGAAGTAGCTTCAGGCTGGTCATCTAGAGGAACATACCTGAATCTATATCATCTCTTAGAACTAGATACTGAAGCTACTTTAGATGTTCTGAGGTTGGCTTTTGTAGATGATGAAAATTCAAAACCTGAATTTTCTTTTCATGATAGTGCCAGTGCAAATATGGAGACTGAGCAAGAGAATGTTACAATAATTGAAAGCCAGAATTTATTGGTTCAAAATGCTATAGATGCTCTTGTTCAAATCACTGAAATAGAGGTACCCCAAAGAGCTGAATCTACTGCTAGTGTTGATGACTTGGTATCAGTCAAATTGTGGCCTTCAATGAAGGACATAGGGTACCTGTTTGAATTCATTGCATCCCATGTTGCATGTAAAAAAGCTTATGTTTCAAGCAGTGTGCTGAGTCAGATTTTGGAGTACTTGACATCAGAGAACGATTTTTCAGCAAGTATCCCCACACATATTATCAGAACTTCAAAACAGAGAGAGAAGCAGGTTCTTGCCCTTCTGGAAGTGGTACCTGAGACTGATTGGAACCTGTCTTATGTCTTACAGCTATGTGAGAAAGCATGCTTTCATCAGGTATCTATAGTTCAAATATGAGACATTATCTCTGAGAGAGTACTTCATAATTCAAAGTTTCCTTCTTGTCTTCTTTATACTGTTTGGTCTAATGTGGTTTTCAGGTTTGTGGCTTCATTCACAACATAAGAAACCAGTATGTCGCGGCACTGGACAGCTATATGAAAGATGTGGATGAACCAATCCATACCTTTGCCTATATCAATGATACATTGACACAGCTAAGTGGTAGTGAACAGAGTGCTTTTCAATCAGCTGTCTTGTCTCGGATTCCAGATTTGGTTGTCTTGAGCAGGTAATGCTTTTTATTTATCGCCATCGTCACGATCATCATTCTAATTGAAGATCTTCATCTGCTGAATTTTCTTCCATTTTGGTATTTTTCTTCTCTAATCAAATCTTATGATCTATTGCAGAGAGGGCACATTCTTGTTGGTCATCGACCATTTTAATAACGACAGTCCGCACATTCTCTCCAAACTTCACTCTCATCCAAAAAGTCTCTTTCTGTATTTGAAGACCACAATTGAGGTTTACTTGTATGGAACTCTTGACTTTTCTCATTTAACAAAGGATGATAGTGCAGCTGCATTTAGCGGAAGAAGAAGGGAAGATCGTTTGAAAGGACTTGAGGCTTACTTTGAGAGAATCTCTGATTTTCCTAAGTTCATACGAAATAATCCCATTCATCTGACTGATGATATGATAGAGCTTTATATGGAGGTGAGCAGTGTAGTGCAATAGGCAACTGATCAAGTGACATTCCAACAAAATATTGTTTGTTCAGTCTCATGTTGCTTATGTGCTCCCATAACAGGAAACAGAAAAATAAAATGGTAATAAGTAAGACTAACTGTAAAATTGGGTGGAAAACCTTGTTTTTGGTCCATGTGCAGGTCTTGCTTGGTCTATCTACTCCTCATTGGTCATAGGGCTTGAATTTAACTATTTTTTGTTTTCATGGTTTTGCTGTTTATATCTGTTCTGAAGAAGATTGTATCTGTTATGATGATTCTCCACTTTTTCACTGCACTTCTTGTTGCTGATTTGGTGATTCTTGATTGCAACATACACTGGAAACAGTGTCTCCTTTCTGGTGGCTATCATATGCTAAATATTATGCATTTTGTTTTTGCAGTTATTGTGTCAGTATGAGAGTCATTCAGTTCTCAAATTCCTAGAGACTTTTGATAGCTATCGAGTAGAACACTGTTTACGCCTGTGCCAGGAATATGGGATAACAGATGCAGCTGCATTTTTATTGGAAAGAGTTGGTGATGTCGGGAGCGCTCTTTTACTTACACTCTCTGACCTCAATGTTAAATTTGCCGAGCTTGATACAGCTGTGGATGGTGTGATTTCAAGTACAGCTTTAAGTGGCTCTACTGGCATTGATCATTACAGCACTGTTTTAAAAATGAAAGAGGTCTGCAGATCTGAATCTCTGTCTGTGGTTAAGCTTTTTTCTCCCCTCTTTCCTTCTTTTTCTTCTTCTTCTTGATGCTTATTTGTCCTTGAAAAAACTTAATCCAATTTGCTAGCCTTGTTTCACAGGTTGCTGACATACACAGTATATTGAATTCCTGTATTGGATTGTGTCAGCGTAACACCCCTCGTTTGCAACCTGAGGAATCAGAGATACTGTGGTTTAGATTACTTGATTCGTAAGTTGAATTATGCATTGATTTAATTTCTGACATGGTGTGAAAGTTACCAGGTTTGCACATTTGAATAATTGAATGCGTTTGTCTCAGTTATGTAATGATCAAGGGTTACATTGATGATTGAGTGGATAAATCTTCAGTCATTTTGTTTAGTTTTAAAGCAACTCCTCGTGGTTAAGATTGTTGTATTGCTTCTACATTTCTTTTATTCTCTTTCAGTTTCGCATTTAAGATCGATATGGGCTATCACGCAGAGTGTGCTGCGTGATGGAGTTCATCTCACTTATGATAACTAGACTTGTTACTAAAATCAAGAATCATCACTTTTGTTTTTCACATAAATCAATTCAACTTTTTATTTCAGAAATAATTATACTTGCATTGTGAAAATATGTGCTTGCTTATTTAGGGGCATGCTTGTACTTTGTGCTTGGAGCCCAGATAGGACCTCTATACTTAATGGCACCTTGAACTTTGCTTCTGATGCAAGCAAAATAATTGTCCTTTCCAACACTGACAATCCTCAACACCCAATACAGATTCTGTGAGCCTTTAATGGATTCATACGGTGATAAAAGGTTATTAAAAGAAATTTGTGTTGGAGTGCTAGCTGAAACATTGGGTGGAGAGGAAGATGCTGAGGCAATAATCACGTGGAAAATTTTGAAGACCCACAAAGGTGCCCATGTCCTTAGGAAACTGTTCTCTCAGTTCATCAAAGAGATTGTTGAAGGAATGATAGGATATGTTCGCCTTCCTACCATCATGTCAAAACTTCTTGCTGATAATGGTAGACAGGAATTTGGAGATTTTAAAATTACCATATTGGGGATGCTCGGAACATATGGTTTTGAGAGGAGAATTCTGGTATTTCTTGCTTACATGTTTTTCAGTCATTTGGTTTGCTGTATGCATCTAAAATGTCTCGGGAATTCAATTCTTTATCACCCTTTATTTGTGCTAACAGTGAAAACTGGGTCCTTTCTTTTAGGATACTGCCAAGTCCTTGATTGAGGATGACACATTCTATACCATGAGTTTACTCAAGAAGGGTGCATCTCATGGGTATGCCCCCCGGAGTCTGCTCTGTTGTATATGCAATTGCCTTCTGACCAAGGATTCCCCGAGTTTTCGTATTCGAGTTTTCAGTTGTGGTCATGCCACTCATCTTCAATGTGAACTACTTGGAAGTGACTCGTCAAGTCAAGGTTCCTTGTCTGGATGCCCTGTTTGCATGCCCAAGAAGAATACTCAGAGGCCTAGAAACAAGTCGGTCCTTCCTGAAAATGGTTTGGTGAACAAGGTTTCGTCAAGATCCAAACGAGCACAAGGAACTAGCTTTTTACTTCCTCATGAAGATTCATTAGACAATTCATATGGGCTGCACCAATTATCACGGGTAAGTCAATACCTTATTTATGTGATACAATTAGCCTTAAATATTATTGATTAATCAAAATAGAACTTGGATGCTGCAGTTTGAGATCTTGACTAAACTTCAGAAAGACCAGAAATTAGGCCAGATAGAAAACATGCCACAGTTGAGGCTTGCCCCACCAGCAGTTTATCATGAAAGGGTAAAGAAAGGGCTCGAGGTTTTGACAGGAGAGACTAGCAGTAGCATTGCAAAAATTGAAAAATCGAGCAAGAGAAGGCAACTAAGGGAGCTAAAAGCAAGAGGATCATCTATTCCGTTCCAGTTAAAATCAAGTCTATTTGGTGAGGTTTATGATTACTTGCTTGATTTTAAGTTCTTTGCGTTGTTTCGCATTTTAACACATGGATAATGGTCTTTTTGTAGGCAAAGATAAGGGAAATAAACAGTGACACAGCTGTTTTGTACAGACTAACAGTGATGAATTTTGTTGATCCGAGCTGCACGGATCCGAGCTGATGAATTTTGTTGATCCGAGCTGCACGGGTGACCTGAGTGGAGTGTTTTTTGACCCCTCTTATTATTTTGTAATTCATCATATGTATAAAATAAAATTTCTTTTTTTTTTTTTGTTGGTCCATATAGTTGTCATCTTCTCCAATCGCCGTGTATAATAAATTTTGTATGAGGCAATGATACAGGCATTTAGGTGAATTTACAAATCACTGGATGAGTAAATGAACTATTTTTGCTGGGAAGCTGCTTTCAATTATAGTAAATTTGTTGTAAAAGTTTGTTGATTTGAGTGGATTGCCTAATTATCACCCTCGATTATCAATGGTGATGGCTGGTTCACTGAACAGGTGGGTTTTGGCAAGTGAGCTTCAGAATCGAGACAGAATGGTCTTTTTAATTTTGGGCTGGCTTTGAACCTAAAGGTTTCAATTTGGGTAGTAGCAACGGTAGTCAGTTGGAATCGCTCGTTCAATAAGGATTGCCATTTATAATCGCTCTCAAAAGCACCACGGTTTTTATGAAATATTGCAGTTTTTGTAATTTCATAAAATTGATAGAGAAAATAGAGTAAATGCTGTTTTCTTTCGATTTATTTATTTTTGAAAATGGAAAATGAATTGTTTGTGGCTTGGCTATTTATCTAGGAATTATAAGTATTTTTTAGATTTAAGCGGTTAAAATTAAAATTTTAAATTTCAAAGTTAATACGAAAACTAAATTTAAGAATTTAGAAAAGTTAGTTACACGGCCCAACCAAATGTTACACCAGTGAGATAAAAACCTCATCTACTGCTGCGTTGGACGTCTCATCCCACTGCATATGATGCCAATAGGCAATAGAAAGTGGATGTGGCTCCCGGTTACACTCACACCACAAATCAACATCACTTGTAAATAAAAATAGAAAAGACCATAATTATCGGATTGATATTGTTGACAAAGATATTCTGAAATGTGAATTACTAGGACTTAGAACCCTAATTACTAACATCATTACCATTTGTAAATTATCATTTAAATTGTGGAACCATTCCTCTCTTTAAAAATAAGTTAGGCAATTAATTTAATAGCCATGAAGTTTTCTAAATGCTCTTCTAAGTAATTATAATTAGGAGTAATCTTTCATTTTTCATAAACTAATTACTTATAGAAAGAAAGATTGCATTTCTATGTATTTCTGAAATAAGTAGGATACAGATATATATATATAAAAAAAAAGAGAGCAGGATAAATGTATTCACCAAATAAATTGGCAAATAACAAAGGCTAAGGCCTATGAGTAGGAAGGGCAAAGCAGAAGTTGAAGAGGCCATGTGTACAACTACAAACTACAGAGAGGAACACATGTTAACTGACTTCACAAGCCAAAACAAAACCCCTTTTTAAGTCTTATTGTGCAGTTGGGAGTTGGGTGTCCTTCTTTACTTTGTTTTCATTTTCAATTAATCAACTGGGCGTTTTCTTCAACGCTTTCTTCCCTCGTTTCCTCCGCCTCTTTTTCTCCTCTTAAACTCCTCTTCCTTTCCCTCTCTTCCCCTCATTCTCTCTTTCTCTTGCTTCTGCAGCTTTCTGTTTACTACAGAAACAGAAAAGAGAGAGAGATAAGTTAGCGCAACTCCAATGGCGACTGCTTTCTCTGCTACCAAGTTTACCCAGCCTTTGCCCCTCAATACCACCTCCTCCAGATCTCATGAAAAGCACACTCTTTTTGATCCTCTTAAAACTACTGCTTCTTTTCTCGGATCCACCCGCAAACTTCGTTTCAATTCTGTTCCTAAATTCAATCAAATCAATTCCCACCGTCGATCTGCTATTGTTGCTGTATCTGAAGCCGTTAAGGAGAAGAAGCTCAAATCAACCTCCAATCTGGTAATCAATTCTTTAATCTCTTTTCCAATTTCATCTAACCTTTGCGCTCTACTGAGATTATTGCTTTGCTTCGGGAACTATTTGCCTTTTTGGTAAAAAAAAAAAAAAGTTTTGATTTATGCTTGAGCCGAAAGTTTGGAGGTTTTAGTTAACACTAGAGTTTAGAATGCTTGAAAAGCAGACATTTGAAATTACTTGTTGTTTTTGCTATAATAGGACCGAATTTAGTTTTTAATTTTTTCTTCTATATCATGATTATATTTTCCCTGTCTTCGATAATGTTTCTGGTTGCTGTAATTGTGATTGGCTTTTGATAGTGCATATATATGTATTAATCGGCATCTAAACTGCAAAACACTCTATTTCCTTGAAGATACTTCTTTTTTAGCCAAATAGAGATTAAGTATTATTTTCTCTTCTTATTATGTACTTGTTCCCTCTATTCAGTTGATCACAAAAGAAGAAGGCTTAGAGCTATATGAGGATATGGTGTTGGGCAGATACTTTGAGGACATGTGTGCCCAGATGTATTACAGAGGAAAAATGTTTGGTTTTGTTCATCTCTATAATGGCCAGGAGGCTGTGTCCACTGGGTTCATCAAGCTTTTGAAAAAGGAGGATTCTGTTGTCAGCACTTATCGTGATCACGTGCATGCATTGAGTAAGGGTGTCTCGGCTCGTGCTGTAATGAGCGAGCTCTTTGGCAAGGCCACTGGTTGTTGTCGAGGCCAAGGTGGGTCCATGCACATGTTCTCCAAAGAGCACAATGTGCTTGGTGGTTTTGCTTTTATTGGTGAGGGAATTCCAGTGGCTACTGGTGCAGCTTTTACCTCAAGGTATAAGAGGGACGTTTTGAAGCAAAACTGTGATGATGTGACATTGGCATTTTTTGGAGATGGAACTTGTAATAATGGACAGTTCTTTGAGTGTTTAAATATGGCAGCATTGTGGAAATTGCCCATTGTGTTTGTAGTGGAGAATAATCTGTGGGCAATTGGAATGTCGCACCTCAGGGCAACTTCGGATCCAGCAATTTGGAAGAAGGGTCCAGCGTTTGGAATGCCAGGTGTTCATGTTGATGGAATGGATGTTTTGAAGGTGAGAGAGGTGGCCAAGGAGGCAATTCGAAGGGCTAGGAGTGGAGAAGGACCAACATTGGTAGAATGCGAGACTTACAGGTTTAGAGGACACTCGTTAGCCGATCCTGATGAACTCCGCGACCCTGGTAAGCATTCAAATTAATTCTGCTTCTTAGACATTGATTAACACATTAGAATTTTACATGCCTTAACTGTTTTGTCTATGGTTTAGCTGCTTTGTTTAGTATGCTTGACATCAGCTCCGTATGATTTTAGTCCCTCGTCAAAGTTTCCACTTTCCCTTGCCATATTTAGGTATCACAGCTTTAGGATTGGCACCATCAGATACTTGAAAAAGTAGCCATTTCATTTGAATGATGATTATGACACCTTTTCTTTTTTGGCAGATATTAGTTCCTTTACTGATGTTTTTGGAACTCTAGAGATATTTTTGGTGCGCGCAGTATAATTCTGTGACCATAATTATCAATGAGATGCGGTTCATTTACAAATTTGCAGCACATTGTAGATTGTATAATCATGTATTGGTCAGGAATACCATATGAATTAACAAAGATATGCACATTAACCATTTAGAATTTTAGTTTCATATGTAGAAGTTTGCAACTACTGGAGAATTATGTTATCACTTTCTGTTTTATATTTAGTCATTATCTATTAGTTGATATGTTTTTCTCAATTAATAATTTAGTTTCTTCTTGCAGCTGAGAAGGCTCACTATGCTGCTAGGGATCCCATCACATCTTTAAAGAAGTACTTGATTGAAAACAAGCTAGCCAGTGAAGCAGAATTGAAAGCCATCGAGAAGAAGATTGATGAAGTGCTCGAGGATGCTGTTGAGTTTGCCGATGGGAGCCCTCATCCACCTCGCAGCCAACTTCTTGAGAATGTCTTTGCAGATCCAAAAGGTTTTGGAATTGGTCCTGATGGGCAGTACAGATGCGAGGATCCCAAATTCACAGAGGGCACTGCTCATGTCTAAGTTTTTTAGAATTGGGATATTCATTAACCTTACTTCTTGTGGCTTTTAGTTATCTGTATTGGTTTATACTGGTTATAGCTAGCAGTCACTTTTGCTTATACATAAAATATAATGCTCGTCTTGTGTAAGCAGGATATGTTTTTTTTAGGTTGCTTTTCTATTTAAATTTTGGTTATTGCTCTTCTCTTAATTATCCTTGTTCATTGGTCTATTGTTTGGAGTGAAAGTTGCAGTCCGTAGCTCTGGAAATTTCTATGATTGAAGGATGAATTAAATATATATTTTTTTTTTTTGCAGTATTTCTATTATTAGATGATTTACTCCATTTTTAAATTTGATCTCGCAGCCTTCAATCTTTAGATTTGCCACTTTTAGGCGATGAGGTTTTGGAGATTAAGGTGGTCATAGAAGAAGTGTGATTATCAGATAGGATTTTTTTTTTTCCAGAAAAATAAAGACTGATGTAAATTTGGTTGAATATTCTCTTACAAAAGCAACATAATTCATTAAATGGCAATGTATCGCAAGAATATGAGAACTCCAAAGAATAGATGACAAGAAATCTTGAGCTGCCTGAATCATCCCTTCCCTTGTTACAACCTTTGCTATGTGAAATTGGTTACCCTCTTCAGCACCCACCGACCCTTCAGTGTGATAACTTGAGTGCCACTTATACGACAGCTGATCCAATTTTCCATACTCTAACCAAAATTTTTGGAGATCGACTTTCACTTTGGGATAAGGTATCTAATAAACAGCTTCTTCTGTTTCTTAATATTTCCACGGCAGATCAGATCTCCAACTTGCCACCAAATCTCTCTGTAAGGATATGCTTCTTCTCTCTAAAGACAAGTTGGCTGAAGACGTAGACGACAATCCAGCTCAAATTGAGGGGGCATGTAAACAGTGCCCAACAAATGGCGGCTAATTAGGAATATGATATAACTACTATGCTTTTCCATACTGTGATCGTTTCATTGTATAGTAAGTAACCTTTTTCTCAGAAGATTATCTATTATTTTACATTAAAAACTTTTCCTCTTTTTGTTTTACTTTTTAACAGTAAAGATACTATTTTACTGGAGTTATTACTATTTTTATTTTTACACCTTGTTTCAATCATAAAGTTTTGTTTTTGCATTATATTTTAGTTATATTTTTTTATAATATTCATTCATTTAGTTTACACATATATATTAAATATTGAGTATTAAATAAAAAACACCTCTTCTATTTATCTTTTTTCTCAATTATCATTTTTATTACATTACAAAAAAAAAAAAAAAAAGATGCATATGTAAATGTGATTTATAACATTAACTCCTTACTTCTCGTGCTCGTGCAAACAACATAATTAATAGTAATTTATTAGTTGAAATATTCACAAAGCTCTTAATAATGATATTTCCTAGCATTTCTATGGTCTATATTACTATTTTACACTACGAAATTACAGTTAAGATATAAACGTCTTTACTTCTCTTGACTAAGACACCATGGGTCATATCATGTACTAAGACTGACTCTCACATCTCATGGCGCGTGACTTGCTCTCCTGTCTAGCCAGAATTCCGCTGGCATCTGCAGCTACTCATTCATTTAAAACAGTAAATCATGAACGCGGGCATTAAGGATTTTCTAGCACTTTAATAAGACATAGTGAAAGCACCACACAATCATCCTACTCTTTATGTCTTTCTCATGTGTTTAATGCTCCTAGAGACTTTTAATTGCCGTAAAAGCGCCCTTCCACCTCGGTATGACGGAAAAGATTGATGAAGTGTCTTTTCAGCAGGCACTTAGGCCGTAGTGTGGTATGTTTTTTGCCTGCCAATACTTCAGATCGCCCTTTTCCGAGTTTTTCGGAGACGCGCCTCACGTCACCTTTTCCATCCTCTTCGCGTGTCCTCATTTTAACCTTTCTTTTTTGAGACTATGTCTTTGTCTAAGCAAATCCTAACAGAAAGGAGTGCGATTTTGTGAGTATTACTATAGGTATCATTGAATTAGTGAGCCCTATGTACAGATGCTTCATCGGTAGGGGAATCCCAAGAGTTCCATCTCGAGTAATTGACAACTTATGCCTCGATATGCTCCTCAGGGATATATATATGGAAGGATATGTCTCTCCATTACACACCCATTAACTATCTGGTTATGCACTATTTATTTGTTATCCTAGTGATTTGGTATTTGGCACTATACTGGTTATAGCTAAGCAGTCACTTTTGCTTTATACATTAAAATATAATGCTCGTCTTGTGTAAGCAGGATATGTTTTTTTTTTTAAGGGCGTTGTCTTTTTTCTTATTGTTGAAAATTTCCGATTAGCTTTCATTTGCGTCTTGCATTACTTTTACTTTAGATACCTTGTTCATTTTGTGTGGCTCTATTAGTGTTCCATGGACTGGGGTACTTAAGGGTTAGTCTTCCAGTCCGCGTAGCTCTCGCGAATCCAGGATAACTCTGACTGGTATGCTGCTCATGAATTTCGAAGTGGGCATTCTGCAATATATATGAATACTAAACTCATCTATATTCTTTTCTTTTATATTCTTGCTCTCACACTGTACCCGGCTTTATAGTATTGCTTTTAGATATTAAGAACTGAATTTCTCATATCCCTCTCCAATAACTTCTCAACTACTGATCTCTCTTTGAATCTCGGCAGTACCTCTCTCTGAATGCACTTTCAATCTAGTGCGAAATGCTCATGCCTACATATTATTAAGCGCCAGAGGATCGCTCACTTACTCTCTACTTGACCATTCTTCTCGCGTCAGGACAAACATTCACATAGAGAGACCCTGGGTGATTGTATGAGTTCTGTATGCAAGCATTTTCTAACCAGGTAACACTGCCGTCTATGGCCTCACCTAATTAAACAAGGATTAACGAAGTAGAGTGAGAATACCCATTTCATTACACTTGGAAATGAAGTTAGTTCGGATGCACTCCTCATTGAGCTTCTGATTTTCACAGGCGAGTTATGCTCGAGCACCAAAGCTTACAAGTGATAGGGGCTTCCTGATCGGGCTACATTATTGGAACAGATAATTCTCGGTTATTTTGCTCCTATTTCCTTGCGTCTTACCACACAATACAAACCAGTGATTAGCAAGCTAGTTAGCGAAGGTGCCCAAGTATTAAGTGAGTTAAAGATTATGGGGACGAATGTGCTATTCGCTAAATGAAAATCTAAATGAAAATGAGAAAACATACCAACTGAAGAATGACCGAATATAGCGCTTCCAATAAGCTTGGAAGAAGAATTGAGAACCAATATATTCGTGTTCTCTTGAACGTGCATGTGGATGAGGAATCGCAACATCAAGTGCACACTCTACGTAATCCCTTAATGGTATTCTACGCATATCCAACCCTCGGAATCTAGCCACTTGGTTTGGCCTAGCTCTGGCAGTCAAAATTGTTTTAACCCTCTCTCGCTAAGGACTTATAGCCTAATACATCTCCACCCTTTCAGAAAAGGTAAGATACATACTGGCACCAAAATTATAATGTAGTTGACCAGATCGAACTGTCTGCTGGCAAGTGATCCCATACTCCTCCTGGACAGAGATGCACATATCATAAATATTACCCAATTTTTTGCCTAATAAAAACTCCTAAAAGCCCAAAAGAAAGAATGTGTGTGGGATGAGGAGATCAAATCAGCACATACTGATTGCGCAAATCTCGGTGTTGAGTGTGTGATTAAATTGAGTTTCTATTGACTAATAACTGAGAAGCAAAAGCAGCTTCTACTTCTCGAGTATCCTACATCACATTTATCGCACCAGTGGACACAGGATTCAGTGACAACTAGCTTCACACACCTTCCAATCTGCACCACAATAATGTTTAGGCCCGCCATAAATAACTCTATAACTCTCTCTCTTTCTCCCTCATACATCGAGGTGTAATCCTAGCCTCAAATGAGTGCCATATCGTATACCGTCTCTCCTAATAGAGAGAGGTACTCTATCATGTGCTTGTGCGATACATGTATCAGATGCGTATATCTCGCTTCTGTCTTAACACATACAACTCTCTCAGAGTGCAGCATTCCATTCCAGCAGCCCTTATTGGACGGTCGGGCATTAGTATAGCCCTTCACGATGTCCGGGCCAAAACTCAGGACATATTCTGAAGCCATGTTTTCTCTTAAGTTAAGGGATATGATACTGAACGGTACTTTCCCTTATGCTCTATTGCGCTGTTTTCATAACTTGTGGATTCGTTTCATTCGGTCATCACGATAATAGGAGTTACACATATATATATCTAATACCTTATTTCGCAGCTCAGAATAATCGCGTAAAACCCAAAGTCTTTATTCCTCTGACTTCTAAATCTGTGTTCATCTATTAAAAAATGTCTTCTTCATTATGCTATGCCGTCTCATTTGTTGTTTTTACTCGTCCTATTTATACAAAGTAAAGATACTATTTTACTTGGAAGTTATACGATAACGTTGATATTATAATATTGGTGTTACCTCTTCTTTTGCTGGTTGTCAACTTCTACATCTAATCACTGAGGCTATAGCTTTTTTAAGACACGCTCTAGGTATATTTGCCATAATTATTAGTCTAGGTGAGAGAGATTTTTCTCGCTTTTATTATGAATCTTCCTATGTGAAGTATTAATCAGTTTGCATTTTAGCTTTATTTCAAAATAATGAAGTGAGAAAGTTGATATGCCATTACTTCAACTTATGTAAGTACTTCAAACATATAGAAAAGGTATCCCTCAACACATTCTCTCCTTATTTTATTTTCTTTCTTCTTCTCCAATTACTACATCTTTTTCCTTTATCTCCATTTACAAAAAAAAAGATTAGACAAACAAAATGTGGTCATCAAGAAACCCTCAAAATTTTTTAATCAACAAAAAACAAAAAGTGAAAAATCGGTCTTATGCACCTCGACCTTTCCAGTTAATATAGCTAAACTTGAATGTAAGGTCTAAGCAAATATGTTGAACCTGTGCGTTCTGATATTCCCAGGAATTGTATAATTCCTTACGCACTCTCATATAAGGTCGACGCAAATATTAATTGTTACGTGTGAGCTTCCGGTCATCATACCACAACAAAATCTTTATTTCCAAAGACAGCGATTGTGTAACCTCGGCCATTTGGGTGCTTCTATACACGATAATACCAGCTCCGTAATGCTCTCACATTTACTCTGCATATGGACATTTTGTGAGCTCGCAACATATTCTAGATAGTAAGCTCAAGTATGTCCCCAAAAACCACATCTCCACAGTTTTGGTTTGATACTTCCAGCCTCAACATACTAAGTGCAGTGTTTTTTACCTATCTTCCTCGAGTATTGATATCAACAAAATTGTATCTCCACTCAATATCAATAATATGACATCTAGTGCGAACATATGAGACTCAATTCTACAAACATATAGCAGAGGAAAAACTTGGGTTTAAAAAGATGAGAAAGAAAATCGATTATTCAGCACGCTACGAGGCGAAAGAAAATCTCAAATTAAAAAATCGGCGAAACCACAATACTAGGCCCAAGACTGCTTCCTTGACCTAACGTCCCGCCTCCTAATGGACAAGAGAACAAAAGACATGACCTCATTCTTCGCGAGTGCATAACATGTGGGAGATATCTAGGTGGATGATTTATGGGCGCTACCAACTGGTGTTTGAGAGAATATGGACATGAACCGTTGCCCACATTTTTCATCGGGATATTTATATTTTATAATATCGAACATGGAGCGCTGGAGCCAGGCTCAAAATCGCTTCAGTTTGAGATGTGCTACAATCAATTTTATACTCAATCCTTGTGAATGAGATCGACCCCCAAACAACCTCGCACTTCTCACAAATTCCCCTCAACCATACACAGCGATGTGTTGGGTTCATACTACTCCCAGGATATCATTAATAAGCGTTTCCCGAGTCTCCTTCACAATAAGGTACCTCACTTTACGTGATATCTGCAGTAAAATCTCGTAAACTAGATAACCTGTTCTCTTATGAGGCTCTGTGATGGTTATCTTTAGCTTGCCTCATCATGCGAAGGTATGTAGAACGCATGCCCGACTGTGCCAAACATTAACATGTCGTCCATCATACTACCATAGCCTTCACGTCTCTACTTATTAAAGGCTTCACTAGGCATTGGAGAAAAAATTGGCAAGGTTCTCCTCCCCCACCTGCCCGCTTATATCTCGTACTGGTCACACACCGAGCGTTGGTACAAAGCCCATCCTCCCAAAAGTGCGGTGAGATAACTCCCTTTAATAAAAACCTGGCTTTCCTGCCTCTCTTCTTTAAATTATATCAGCGCCTCTACAAGGTGCCTCTTCTTCAACCATGACATTGGAAGTCAATTAACTTACTTCCCCATCATAACTGGATTGGGGCTACTCTCACACTAACATGAGACCAAATTCACTCATTATGTTGAGACGATGTTGCAGTTATACACAGTAGACTGGTGGATAGAGAGCTCCAACCATGAGAGCAGAAACATTTTGTACTCAACCATGTCTAGAGATATATGGAAGTAAAGTCTTCTGGACTACCTCAGTGGGATATTCATTTACCTTCTCCACTATATGAGAGCGTACTTTACTCCTACCTACAGCGCTAGCACGTATCCTCATTAAGCTTAATTTGGTTTTTGCCTTAGGCTCCAAGTCAATACATCTTTGTGGTCACACTGGGACTCATCTCTGTGAAATGGCTGTGTGGTTGTATATTTCTCGATGTCTCGCCACAAGGTTGGTTTCCGCATGCCCAGACATTTCAGGAGACTTGCTTCGTGTTAACGGTAAATCCTCTGCGTCATATTTCACCCTAACTCTTGAGACGAGATCCCTAAAAGCAATTCAACACAACTTTTCATTCCCTAATCTAGCTTAACGGAAATGCAGCGGTTGCCCCATATCCGCTGACAGATACACCAATTAAAGGTTCGCCACAATCATAAGTCAACGTCAGTGTAGGGTAAGGATTGAACGAATGCGTAAAGGGGAATAGGAGTGTATACTGTATAAACATATAACCCCAAAGCGTGAAGTGACAAGCAAAAGACAACATATTACTTACACTAATAATTACAAATTCTACCAGTTAGAGTGCTTTCTTCCTGCGTTCTGTGTGTACATTCGCCCCATGAAACTACAGCCCATATTCTGCTCCTTACAATACAGTTAGAAGACCACACTCCATAATCTATATATACATTCTCTTTTCAATGATCACAATTATTTATAGTGCCAATAGCGAAAATAACAAACTCACAGAAAATATCATAGGACCCAACTCTAACAAATTATATATCTTTAGTAAATTCTCATATCCAGAGAATAATATGGGCACAGTGAGAGCGGAGTGCCTCTTTATGAAACATATAATGCGATTGTGCACACCAAACCTAATAGTGCGTCAAGTTTCAAATGAACATCTTGGTTATGGCATCTTGAGAGGGGAACCACAACGCCAGAGCAAGGAAATAACATTTTGAAACAAAAAGAAGAAGATTTTCCACATAGGAAGAGTGTAAAACCACTAACTAAAGGTCATACAATAAACATTACACAAGCATATTTTTTAAGCCAAGCTTGCAGTTAGAATTTTATTGCATCTTTTCTGCAGATTAGGGCTTAAATGCTTTAGCCTAAATAGAACAGACAATTGTAGCTGTTCTTTGGTTTTTATATTCGCCTAACTGCCCCAAATGTTTATAGCAGACTGCACGGCTCCAAACATAAAATAGAACTCTCCCCAAGTATCGATGCAAATCTTACTTCTCTATGTCTTTTCCCCACTGACCCATATGAGAGTACGGGAGATCTTAAGAATGGCTCTCCCCTTATCTTCTGAGAATAGAGGATATAAGGGTTATGTACCTGGAGAATCCGTTCCATGGATTGACAATTAGAATAGAGCAAATACCATTAGCCACTGGCAATTCAGCAGCAGGCCATGTTGAGTGCAAAAACACTAATCTATGGGATGACTCGAGAAAGTCGCGAATAAGATTTCATACTATTTTTACCCGTGCGAGAACAGAAAACGCGGCATTTGTGTTTTACGAGAGTTCCATTGGTATGGATCAATTTCACATGTACGCGCTAATAAATACCTCCCATTCCTGTGTTTCTCTCAAGCAGGGCTCAGAAAGGGAAACGTTATTTGTGTTTTTAGCGCTCTAGGACCTATGTGCAGGAACTAGCCGGCATAATGTACTACTTCTAAGAAACCTGCAATCTACGATTCTTCTCTAGAGGATCTTCTATGCCTCTCTGTTGATCTCTCTCTCTCACTTTACTTGGGTCTAGTATCTGACTCCCCCTTTCTGTTTTCTCGACGATTTTAAAAATATAAGTGTAGGCGTGGAGGTACTATAAACTGTATACACTAGAGAAAGCTTCAAAATTTTATCTAATAACCTTAACACCCAGCCTAACCTTGCTGTCCCATGAAATATGGCCGGTACGGTGGACTATGAATATATGAGTGTGCCTTAGCAAATGTAGATGCTGTGTGAATCCTTCGTACCCTAATTAACCCCACTGGGTGTCAACTTATACTTGCAGTGGCAGGTCAAGATCTACTCCCACTGTGCCAATTATCACAACGCTTATTTACTGTAATGTGAACCTCTCGTGATTATCTAAAATTATTCATCTAGTTTCAGACAATCCACTGAATCATAAGTGTCAAAACTGCTTTAAAATACCGTTCCTGATATCCCAGTTGCAGTATCATGCGATTCTATATTATTATTTTTTGTTGGGACGGAATCTAATATAGCGTGTGGAGGGTGCTAATAGACAGTTAGGAGAAATGTCTCTTATTATACAATGACCTTTGGAATGCATTTTGAAATTGATCAAAATATAAGTTGCTTTGGACTGAATACTAACAAGTCACCTCGCGGCCTCCTTCCTTATTAAATCCGCAAGATAACGGTGGAAAACAGAGTCACACAAGTGGCATAAATAATTTAAGTGAAAGGAAGTCACTAACGTTAACGAGTACAAAATGTTGAACTGCCATATGATGTGACAAGGGAAAATCATGAAAAGTAGAATACCACTTACTTTTAAATCGTTGTGCGCTCAACTACACGAGTTTAAGAGTACTTTCTTGAGGACATAATAGATAACATTGAAATCTATCAGGCATTTAGAATAAAACCTTATAGTGGGCATCTATAAATATAACAATTCAACTACAACCAAACCTGCTCTTCCTAGAATGTCGCCATGATTAACTCCACTTCCATTCCTATCATGCGACCCTGAGAAGACCATCCTCTATTGACTCAAATTCCTATTGTTGCGCAAAGGCTTATTTTCCTTGTACTCAAAATGTTTTCTCCTTCCATGGGGTACAACATTTGCAAGATACCCTAAGGCATCTCAATACCTATTTTCTTCTCAAGCTTCTTCCAATGCAAAATCTTTCAAGCACGCTAAGATAATTAGACATTGCACAAGAGAAGATAACTATGCACTTAAGGAATATCCCTGCTTGTCTCCTAGCTTAACGCGACCTTTCACATTGGACAATGTCTTTTCTGTTGCGCAAAATTCAGAGTTGAAATGTTCCTACGCGGGGATGATGGGACCAACAATTCTCAATTTAATAGCGCGAGATACATATCAAATTTCAGAGTATACTCTCTAGTAGCACTCAATGTCTATGCCAACGGTAACTCAGACCATGTAAATCTAAACAAAATAGGGACCATGCAAATTTGGATGAACTAGTAGTTAGCTGCTCTCTTCCATTTTGGATTATTTTGAATACTACCAAAAAATACTCGCACCAATAGAAAAAAAAAAAAAAAAAAGGGATCAACCAAATTTATAAAAAAATAAAAAAGGAGTAATTATAATGAGTGCTACAATAATGTGAAAGGAATTATTCTTTACACAAGAACAATATAATTACTTTGCTCTATCTCCCAATTACAAACGGATGAAGTATTATACTGCAAATTTGTCCAAATTTGTACAAGCAAAATTCATTGGTTGTCTCGCAATCTAAGCATGTTTTACGTTTCTCGAGTGTAAAAAAGTTCAAAGATCAGACAAACTCAATAAAATATAGCAGAGGAAAACTTGGGTTAAAAGATGAGAAGAAATCGATATCAGAAGCTCAGCAAACAATAAAAGAATATAGCAATGTCCTAGCCCGCCAGAAAAAGACTGCATCTCGGATGTGATTTTGTGTTGTTGGTCCACTGGGTTGAGAAAATGAAGGCAATTTCGATTACAATTTCAGAGCGGCAATCGCTTCAGGTTTAAAATCAATCCTGAGACCCAACACTCGCCTAACCTCAGCAGGGGTTAATCTCCAGGTCATAGGTCCCGAGTTTTCACCCCAGAAATCTAGAATCTCAGATACCTTCTCTAAGTTGAGGATAGTTGCCATTTGAGTGAGACGAGCAAACTTGTCTCTAACAGTCCTCTGAGTCATGCTGGAGAAATGGCTCACCAGTGCCCTTATATCTCTGTCGAGTTGAAGGCCTCCAAGCTGACTAAACCTCTTCTGCATCATTATCACTTCAAGCCTCTTCACAATGAAGTCAATAACCAAATGGACAAATGAATCGTAATTGTTGGCAGTCATTAGTGACTGGAGCCATGACACATTTGTCTCAACAGAATGGAGAAGTCTCTGGACCCATGGGTCATTTACCTCATTATCTGCATATTCCACCTCAGATAGCTCATAGCTAATGGTTGCTACTCCATCCAACACTGGACGGATTCGAGGTGTCACAGTTGCCACAAGTTGTTCCATGCCAACATTCAGGGCTTGCTTGAAGGTATTGCTCATATCACCCAACTCTGACAAACAAGATTTCACCTTTTCTCTATCTGCTGGTGCAGGGAATACCTGCAGAAAATGGTCGCAATAAGCAGCAGAGTAAACAAGAGAATGGTATAACATATTACAAGCGTGAAAACAAACAAACAATATATAAAAATAAGCTCTGGACATGCCCAACAGCATCTCTTTCAGTTGAGCCAAATCCAATTTATTAAATTTCTTTCAAGACCCAGTTTTTTGCATGCAAAAACTCAAGAAAATGGCACTCTACAAATTAATTCTCTTCTTTCCTTCAGAAAAATGGCACAGAGAAGTAGAACATATAAGCATCAACCAATATTCTAGTAGAATGAATTTGTTTTGAACAACGCCAGTAGCAGAAATACATTTTGAACAAAAGAGAGATTTTCCGACATAGGAAGAGTGTAAAACCACTAACTAAAGGTCATACAATAAACTTACACAAGCATATTTTAGCCAAGCTTGCAGTTAGAATTATGCATCTTTCTGCAGATTAGGGCTTAAATGCTTACCTAAATAGAACAGACAATTAGCTGTTCTTTGTTTTATATGCTAACTGCCAAATGTCTGCCCAAAATGGCTCCCCATCATCATCTTCTTCTTTTTCCCCCACCAAGAAGGGGGTAAAATGGCTATCCACTTTACTTTGATGAAGGAGGTGACATGGAACTAGACTGGCATTGGCAATGGTAAACATGACCCAGAGCCAAGTATGATTTTCAGACCAAGAACCAAGTTTCAGATGAGATTTTAGATACATGGTTCGGTCAGAAGGAAGATTCTCTAGCGACTGGCGGACTAGCCAATCATCAAGTTATCCTGAGAATTATTGATACCCTTCTGTTCAGATTAAAAAGTGGGAGTAAAAACACTAGCTAAATTTATCTAATACCTTACCCAGCCTAACTGTGTCCCATGAAATATGGCTCATATTAAGCAATGAAGGTGAACCTCTGAAAATAACCACTGTCACTTCTGATGAGGACAATACTCCTTGCACATCCAGTATTATGCCCTTTTAATACATTCCAACAAACATGAAACATCCCCTCAGTTCGACAGATTCTAATATATTTTGGAGAACTACTGGGAGAAACAGGGAATTTCAAGCCTCCGAAAATTATGAACTACAGCTAACAAAGCACCTCGGCTCCTCCTATAATCCAGATAGGAAGGCACATAATTAGGTAAGGGCCCTTTACACAAAAGAGAAGGACAAGAACAGAAAACTCATGCATGCTCAAGTTTAAGGCTTTGCTTAGCTGAATCTTAACCTGAACCATTAAGGATATGGCACAACCAACCCATCCAAATTCAGATTCTCATTCCAGCTTGCAACACCATGACAAATCTACCTAGTAACGAGTAAGTTTCTTCAGGAAACTGAAGACAAAATTTTCAATCACAAGAAAAAAAAAACCCTTTGCTCATGGCCTAAGCATTCTTTTGCAAATCCAGAGTTGAAATGTTCTAGCGTGTGGAAATTCTCAATACAACAAAAATTTAATATGAAGTACAAACAAAAAGAAATGCAAATAAATATGCACTCTTCCCATTTGATTATGAAAAAATATCACAAAGAAAAGTTAATATGCATTCTGATGTGACAACCAGTAGACAATAAGCAAGAAATTAACATTAGTACATGCTGCTGTTCCTTAGAGTAACAATAATCAGTAATCCATCCCTCAGCTCTGTGCAGTGCCCTCATGGCTCAAGTATTGAGTTTACAAGTCATTCTAGTTTAAGCAACTAGAGAGGTGAGACATTGTACCCCGCAGTTGTTCTTAAAGAAAAATATTTATATGAAAACTTCTGCAATGAAAAAATGCATATGAATATATTTGAACGGTCATGCTCTTAAACATTACCACATAATTTAACCTACCTTCTCATATCACAAAAAGTAAACTGCCAGCAAAGACAAGTTAACAAGTAAGACGTGGAAGAGATTGACATATATTCTTTACTGCCATTCCCTAAATCAAGAATTATCAATTCACTTACCTCTGCACATTGCTCTTCAATCTCATGTTTTAGCTTGAGAACATACTCACTGCTCACATCCATATTATTCAATGCAGTTGCAATCTCTGTCCCAGTCTTTTGCACACCAACACCACCCAAAAACAGCTTCCCAGCAAGGTTTGGTTCTCTCATTTTCTGTTGTAAAGCTTCATGGTATTCATTACTCAATAAACTACTAGCCCCACTCAAAACTGCAATGACAGAGCTAATATTAGAAGTAGATATTGCCCTTCTCAAGCAACTCTGCAAAACATAGAACACGTCGTCCACAGTAGAAGTGGTAAGGCTATCAGGCACATGCTCATCTATCCTAATTGCTTTCCTTACATTTTCAACCATAAAAAATCCCTCCAAAATTACATAAAAACCAGTAATATCTTGCAGTACTTTGCTAAAACTTCCGCTCCTAAAGGACTTGGTGGCTCGTGGCACTAATTCTGGATCAACAGAACTCAATGCTTTGATCTTTGATACCATAAATTCTGTGTAATCTTCACCTAATTGCATCAGCGAAAGTATCTCTTCCAAATACAACTCAACCTCTCTTGGGTCAGGCCCTTCTGGCGTTCCAACAGTAAGTAAATTCTTGTTTTGGGCATTAATCTCAGTTGATAATTTAGCCAAGTTTCTGTACTCCATATATTTCTTCAAAATCAAAGAACCCCTCGAATCACACTCCTCTTGTAATTCACAAATGGCATAAACAATTGCATCCTCCCCACACAGACTCCTCAAAATTTCATCATTTTCTTCAATAGCCAGAACAATGTCTTTAAACAAATTTGTTAAACACCCAACGAAGTTAACCTGATTCTGATTATGACTCTGTCCCATCAACTCCACCAATTGCTCAAATTCAAGCCTAGATCTCATGGATATCACTTTTTTCAAGTAACCCACGTACACCTGCAACCCTTCTTCCTCCAATCCTAACGGCGAATACAACTTAATAAATCGCAGAATCATTGGATGATCTCGCTGATCCACAGCAGCTGAAAGTCGTTTCCTCACTATTCCTTCCAGTTGCTTCTTCGACGCTACCAACTGATCTCTCTGGTCCGATCCAGAATCCTTATATTTCGCGTCAATTTGCAGAAATGTCTGAACATACTTGGCAGCCATCTCGTAGTCCTCCACTTCCAGAGCATTTTTGACTCCCTCGATGCAATTTCCTCTTTCCACAATCGCATCAATGCGGAGAAGCGTGCCGCTAACCCGCGACTGGGCGAGGTCAAGCTCTCGAACCTTGGCACTCACATGGTCGGCAAGGTCACAGGTTGAGCGGACATTGGAAAGCATATGATCGGAATCCGCCTTGACAATATCGAGAACCTCCGCAGACTTCTGGAGGTGGATGAGGTGCTTGTCGAGATCTGTGCGTTGGGCGAGGAGGTTGTCGAGGTCGACGTCCAGAGCCCGCTGGTAAGCTATGCACTCATGGAGCAACCGCGTCATAGCGCCAACGTCGGTAAGGTTACGCACGTGGTCCAAAGCCTCCGGCGTGCCAAACTTTATAGAGGAGGAAAGAGTGGGTGAAGATACAGTGGATTCATCTTCTTCTTGAGATTTAGGAACTGATCCGTTAGGAGTTGATGGCATTTTCAGTTTCCGTTCGTGAAATGTTCAGACTGAGGTTTGGATACGTGAAGAAGAATGGCAGCGAGTGACATTCAGATCCAACGGACCCTGACTTGTCCTTTTATATAGATTTACATCCGACCCGTTTTCCATTTCGACCCGATATGTTTTTCCCTTTAAAAAAAAAAAAACGTTTGTCTATTTAAAATCATTATCCGCTAGACCGGTAGTAAATAAAAACTTCCCTTTTCATTCTTAAAAAAAAAAAAAAAAAAAACACTCTCTCGATGGCCGCTTTTCGCTGCTTAGTACCCTCTCTTCCTTCTATGAGAACTGCATCCTTGGCTTCTACCCCTTTACATCCCTTAATACAAGTTCAATCCCCAAAATTTTCTTGCTTGTCCCACTTGCACTGTCATGATACTCTTGTTTCTTCTTTGTCTTCTCTGCAATGGCCTCCAAAAGGTAGGAGGGTTTTGAGAACGTTAGCCGTGGTAGATGAGGAATCGGTGGTAGCGGAAGAGATTGACAGAGAGGAAAACGTCAACAAGAGCCAAAATGATTATGCTGACTCTGAATGGAAGAAGGAGCCAAAACCATGTGAGCTGTACGTGTGTAATCTTCCAAGGAGTTATGACATTTCAGAACTTGTGGAGATGTTCAGGCCTTATGGAACTGTCATTTCGGTTGAGGTACATTTATTCAGTAATTGGATGTTCAAATTAAATTTGAAATATGAAGAGTTTATCGATAGGCGTTTGAAGCACATCCAGAATTAGTGATAATGGTTCCTATCTTAGTTCAAGTGTGATGTTAAAGATTAGACTTTTGTGGTTCAATTGGAGCTAAGGATTGGAACTTTGTTGTCTTTTTATGTGAATATTAAACTGGTTGATGCAAATCTCATGAGTTGGACAACTGGATTGTACTGATTCTCTATTTGGTGACATCGATGCAGGTATCACGGAATCCTGAAACTGGTGTTAGTCGAGGATGTGGTTACCTCACTTTGGATTCTATAAATTCTGCAAAAAAAGCAATTGCTGCACTGGATAGATCTGTTGAGTGTCAAATTAGCTATCTTTTCTATATCATTTCTGTTTCTTGTTTAGCATTTTTCGTGAACGTTTAAGAAGTTTCTGTACGTTTTAGGATGTTGGCGGCCGGGAGATGCGGGTTAAATTTTCTGTTGCTATGAGTCCCAGCAAGAGAAACCCTGAGGGATTGACTTCGACACCCCTGAAAACTGTCTTTTATGAAAGTCCACATAAGTTGTACATTGGCAATCTTGCCTGGACTATTATACCTGAGGAACTGAGGAATCAATTTAGCAAGTTTGGGACTGTAGTTAGTACAAGAGTGCTGTATGATCGTAAAGGTGGAAAGACCCGTGCCTACGCGTTTCTGTCCTTTGCATCTGCTGCAGTGCGTGATGCTGCACTTTGTATGAATGGAGCAGTTGAGTCCACTAATATCATTTTTTTAGCCTCATTTCCCTTGTTCTCTCTTTAGTTTTACTTGTTACTCATTTGAATCTCTTTTGCAGCTTTTTCATGGTCGGATATTAGTAGTTAGAAGAGGTGTTGAGAGAGATGACTAAGCCTTGATAGAAATTTTGCTTGCTGTATATCCATAAGGGAGGAATGATAGCTCCAAGCATCCACCTTGTTCAAAATTCTCTTGCAGAAGAATGGCTATTCCATCCTCATTTCCGCACATTCAAAGTAGTGTATCTTGCACTGGAGTTCAGGTACTCTTTGAAGTTATGTACTAGACCATTTAATTAAAATATCATCGAAAAAACTCCTACAAATTGTGCCCATCATATTTGAACTCTTCAAAATTTTATAGATGACAGTTTACTTTAAAGTATCATTGAAACTCTTACAGCTTTAATTTCTCACCGCATTTTTATGTATTGATAGGTACTTGCACATTCACATGTGTGCTTTTATATACTATTGCAGTGGATTACTTCCTAATTTAGGTTTATGTTTTGTGTTTGAAGTCAGTAATATTTTGTTTAGTTAATGACAATCTTATAAGGTATGAACCATCAATGGCCTAATGCAAAAAAATGCCCCAACATTTACCAAAAAAAACCTCATGGTACCCCAACATTTTTGAAGGACCCATCTTGGACCTAAGTTTTTATATTTCACAACAAATATGCCCCATGCTGATATGAAGAATTCAGAGTGTAGTCCAAATGCGGTGGCATGGACTGAGAAGCTAGTTAATTTTAATGTTAATAATGTCCTTTAACATGTGAGTTAAATTTGAAATATCTTTTATAAATCACCTTTTCTCTCTCTCTGTTCCCTCCTTCTCTTAATTACTCGTTTGGTCCTGTTTTCTGCCCAAAACCATCTCCAAATACAGAAGCTTAAAAGAAAGCTTAAGGTTTGTTTTGCCAGAAGTTGCTCTTCAATTTCTTTGATTATGGGTTTCTTACTTTGTTTCGTCTCTTGTTGCTGGTTTAGATCAGTTTTTTGGGGATAAAATGGAAACAGTTTCGTGTAATTTCATGATCTCTTTCTCATGGTGATCTCAAAATCATCTATCTAATCTTAAAGATATTTTCTTGTATCAGACGCAGAGTTTTCCCTTTGTTTTCCTTTCTTGTGTCCTTTGTATGTCATTGCTGGCAGGGGCTGCAAATGTTTATAGCCTGCTTGCTTTTATAAACGGTTTTGTTAACAATGTTTCTCTTTAGGCGGTTCTGGTAATCAATGGCTGATGTTACTCGATAGAGTAACAAGCCAAGCTGATTGTTTTTTGCTAATCTGTGAAATTGATTATTGTAAACAAGTACCATGGAATCGAAATATTGGAAAGAAGTTAAGTTTTGCCCCTAAAATTTTACCAATCTCCAACTAAGGGCCAAAATTCAACTGTTTTAGCCAATTAGGACATAACTTTTATTTTCAGCTTAACTTTAGTCCTTTTTTGTTAAATAATAAATTTTTAGTTTCTTATATCGAGTGTATATATTAAAAATCATGTCTCTATGTTTCAAAAAATATTTTAAAGAGATGGTCAAACAGTTCAATCATGAATAACAATGCCAACGAGGTTCTTTGATACCCTTCGGTCAAAAGCTGAACTTTCATGACGAGTTTCTTCACATGGATAAAAGCCTTCTTTAAACAGAAGGGGTGGGTGGGAAAGACAATAATACAAATGGTCATCCAGCTAAAGGGCAGCAGCCTCCCAGCATTTCGCAAGGTTCATCGAATATCCAATGAATGACACAGGGAAGGACTCTCCATTTTGTACTCTAACCACTGAGCAGAATACAGTTAGTCAACTTATAATTTCATCTTGCCAAAGCAACACTGCGTCCGCATCCATTCTTCTGAAGAAGAACCACAGGTACAAAATTATTCAATTTACTGAAAAGTAGAAGCAAATGAATATTAATCAATCGTATCCTCAAGCCTGGAATTCAAATGTCCAAAGCTCTGTTCAGGGGTGAAATAACTCGTTATTAATATGCCAAAAAGCACTCAAACTCGCCATTTTGTTTGTATTTTCTTGATCAGGTACTCTTCCAAACCAATACCAGCCTCCACTAATCTTGTGTCACCCTTTATTTCTAGCATCCTGACCTTGTCTAGAATTTCTCCCATCCTCCCCAAGTCATCTACTTCACTAATCCTTGGTACCAAAATCATCCAAGTCTCCGCACAAGGAGCTTCTCCATGCTTTAGCAATTCCTCCACCACTCCACAAGCTTCTTCAATCTTGCCTATATTGCTGAACCCTTTTATCAAAGCAAGAGAAACTGAAAAATGTGGAGAAAACCCCTTTGATATCATTTTTTCCAAGTAACTCTTTGCTTCATCAAACATCCCTTGATCACATAACCCACTAACCAAAGTCCTATAAGACACCAGATTAGGCAAGCACCCATTGGACTCCATGTCTTCAAGAACCTTGCAAGCATCCATTGCACGTCCTTCTCTGCAAAATCCCAGTATGACTGTATTATAATGAACAATATCAGGATTGCACCCCTTAAACTTCATTCTGCAGAGAAGCTTATATGCCTCCCTGAGCTTCTTTTTCCTGCACAAACTATTCAACAAAGTAGTATAACTCAAAGAATCAGGCACAAACCCTTTATTCAACATATCCTCCAACAAATCAACTGCTCCATTAACCTGACTTTTTCTACATAATCCCTGCATCAAAATTCGATAAGACTCGACATCTGGTAAAACATCTCTCTTAAACATTTGATTGAACAGCTTGTATGCAACACTGAGTTCCCCACTAAAACAAAAGGCGCGCATCAAAATGTTGTAGGATTTAGTGTTGGACGAAACAGCGTATCTATGAGCATTATTTAAAAGATCCAAGGCAGGTTTCCTGTAGTTCCGATGAGAAACAAGGAATTCAAGGATGAGGTTTAACTGTTTGGGCAAAGGCTTGCAGTTAAATGCAAGCATTTTGTAGAACGTTTTAAGAACCTTGTCTGGCAAATTAGCTTCGCCATAGATTTTGATAATATAAGAGAAAACATTCGATTTTACAACATAATGTTTGGATTTTAGGTCAATAAGAATTTCATCAATAAGAGAGAAGTATTTGGACCGACCAAGTTTGAGAATAAGAACGAGATAAGAGGAGTAAGAATGTCGAAAATTAGGCTGGCGAGAAGCGTAATCGAATATTTCTTTGGCAAGGAGAGCATCTGATTGGGAAGCGATGAGCTTTTGGACTCGAGCTGGTGACCCAATTAGGGATTTGGAAATGATATTGGGATTTGGAGGTTCTTGTTTCAGTTTTTGTTCTTCGTCTTGCTGTTGTTTTTGCTCTAGCGGCCGGTGGAGGTGGGCTGATGAGGAGTGGAAGAAAAGTGGTTGTAGTTTTGGCGGAAAGATAACAGAGCGAGTAACAGTTATTGCAGTTTTGGAGAATCGGAGAAATCGTTGATGCATTCTTTCTTCTTTCGCGATCAGGTCTTGGATAGTAAGGTGATTGAAATAGCCAACGGCTGAATTATGGGAGCAATACGAATTCCTATTGGGCCTACTTTGGGTCCATTATGAAAATCTACGCTCAATTTTATTGGGCCTTTGGGCTAATACATGCCTATTACAAATGTCAGGCCCATTATAAAATTCCAGTCCAATTTATTGGGCCAGTATGGGCCCATTATTAAATTCCGGACCCAATTTTCGGCCCATTTATAAAATTAAGGCCCAAATATTGGGCCCTTATTGGACCAAGAAGGCCCATTAGGGAAGTTACAAGCCCATTTTGGCCCATTTATGAAAATTACTGAGGCCCATATGTAAATTTCAGGCCCATTCAGTGGGCCTAAATCAACCTACTGGACGCCCATTTTAAAAAATTTCAGCGCAATTTTATGGGCCATTACCTAATTTATTGGCTCAATTTGGCCCACAATTTTTTAAAATATTATAGTTTATTTAATATTTGTTATCAATTCTTTCATATTTTTTATACATTATCATTTAATTTATAATTTTCATTTATTTAGTTCTATATTTTAAAAATAATAAAAAAATTATAAAAAATAAAACGTTTCGCTCGTCTCTTATTCTGTGGGCCAAAAATTCCGCCAGTTATGGAGACTGGGTTTTAGAGTCTTGAGTAAATGACCACACCTAATATCAGGATTGCCACCCCCTTAGAAACAACTGTACAAATTTCTGCAGAGGGAAGCCTATTAAATTATGCCTCCCTGAAGCTTTCTTTTTTCCATGCTCACCAAACTAGATTTACACAACGCAGGAAAGGTTATAAGTAATATTATTACTCTAAAGAATGGTCAGAGGGCTACGAACAAACAGCCTTGTTATATTCGAAAGCAGTATAAGAGTTTTACCTTCGCCAAACAAATCAAACTGCTCCAATGGTATAAACCTGGAACTTTTTTCTACTTTTTAATATGAACCTGGCCTGCAATCGCAAAACATTTATAGAGATCAGGATATTAAGCAAAATGAAACTCCCAGAACTATATACTGGACGTAATTTAAAGAAATTTATACTACCTCTGCTCTTAAAAACAGGTTTTTTATTCTAACCGTGATGGTGAATCAGTTAGCATTTTGTTAATGGACAAAAGACCTAGCTGGTTATGATTCCTCAATTCCACTCTATAATAACTCGCAAACCAAATACAGAGGTGCGTAGCTTCGTAATTCAAAAAAAACTGGAGTAGTTATAGTGGATGCTGTAAATCGCACTTTAGTTGGTAAAGTGCGCTGCTGAGATACTGTTTTCGCACCAGCAACCCCCAAGGGAGAGATTAAAAGACAATACACATCCTTCGATTTGATGGTGCATTTTTATGTTTTAATTTAGAGAAAATTGGATCAAAGGACAAGTGGAGTTTTTATTCGCTATGGTAGATCCGATGTAGGAAAAACGCTAAGGACAAAAAACTTTTCTCGGAGTAGCTCGAGGTTGATGAAACTGTCCGTTTGTTGAAGTCAAGGCTTTGCAGTTTAAATGCAATGCGATGTTTGCTTATAATAGAAAACATTATCTGAGTCTTTTAAGAGACACCACCTCCTGTTCTGTGTGCTATACAAAAATTAGGACTTTGCCGGACTAAAAAGAATATTTTGTAGTTAAGGACGCTTATTTAGCGCAATTAAAAAGTGAACAATTCCCTCACACACTATATTTAAATCTCCAACCATTTTACAATTGTATTATGCCGATTATAATTATTTTAAAGGTGCAAATGAAAGCAAGGTTTCCAGAGTTCGCCAATACAAGAAGAGAGGTATATGTGTCGGTGATCTGCGGGTAACCGAAGGAAGTATTGAGATTTGAGGTAAACGAATGGCGGACCCACAGTGTAGGAGAGCCGTAAACAGGGAGGAGAGGTAAAATACAAGGCCGAATAATCTTATTAACCTGTTCACAAGATTTTTTCTAATTTTGAATTTAAGAAAAGCCAAAAAAATATAAATTTTATGGGTATATGTGCGCACCAACACCGAACGAGCCGAATCGTGTTAAATACGTATCAGAATATAACTAGTTCTTTTGGCCCAAAAGAGGGAAGGAGCAAATAGTTCCCGAAATTGTGAGTGGAGAAAAGCCCAGTGTATAGAAGTCCTCTTTAATTTCGTCCTCATAGACGGAAGTCTCTCCCTGACAATCTGTAGTGTGACATAAATTCCCTCAAAATATTCAGGAGAGACCAAATTTGTGAACAAAAATTGACCAAGTAATTGGGAGCTATATGGAGGTGTTTTCATATGTTTCTATACCAAAGTGTTATATGATTCTCAATCAGTAGACCTTGCTGCTCTCGCTGTTTTTTTCGTCTGTCTTCTAAGCACGGTGGTCCTCAAAAGGTGGGCGAGAGGTGGCGGGCCACATAGAATCGAGGACCTAAAAGATAGCGAGTTCAAGTACACCAAATTTGAAATAACCTCAAAGGAGAGAATTCTCTGATAATATTGTCGCCAAAACTCAGTGACATAATAAAAGATATATATAACTAATAAAAAGCGCTTATTACCTAAACTTTGATGTAAACTGCAATCTGCTCCAACATGTGATTTTGTGCTCAGTTTTGTGAGCTTATTAAATTAGGGAATCTGTAATAATTATAAATATATTTGAACAATTGTTTCTTACTCTGCATATTCCAGGTCTGAATTTATTCTTTAAAGCAAGTAAAAAGTAACTCGTTCATCTTGGGAACCCTGAATAAACAGTTTAGAATCGCGATCACGCAGGTCTGATTTTTGGTATCAAAGTGATGGCCAAAGGAAGAAACAGCTGCCTGAAAATGTGAATTATCGGGGGAGCAAAATTACGAATTCTCACTTAAGTTGGCGTCGCGTCGTTACGCAGCTGTTGTGTGCGGATTAATTTGGTAAAACTCCGGATACTCTTGATCTTAATGATTAATTTGGAAACCATAATCTAAAACGCATACGAATTTTTAAAATTTAGTTAGCAGAGGACCAATTACTCAGAAGAGTAAAAAATAAACATTATTATGACCACATATTACAAACGAAACATGGTTTATCAAGCGCCCCGCTCAATCTCTATACTCCACTAAATGCCTCCAAGTTAGGATTCTATATTATAAGTCTCGGCCCGCTAAGAGCGTTATCGAGTGGGGTATTCCTCGGGTAAAGAAACTATATTTTGATATTAGTCAATTTCTCCGGACCCAATTTCGGCCCATTTTATAAATGATTCTTAACGTAATGGCCCCAGTCATGACAATTATATGGCGTCCGCTCTCATGTTGATCCACAAGAAGGGCCATTACGAACCAAATCTTAGAGCTGGGAAGTTACAAAGGGCCCATTTTGGCCCATTTATGAAAATTACTGAGGCCCATATGAAATTCAGGCCCATTTCAGTGGGCACTAAATCAAACCTACTGGGACGTGCCCCATTTTAAAAAATTTCCAGCGCAATTTTATGGGCCATTTACCCTAATTTTATTTTGGCTCAATTTGCCCACCAATTTTTTTAAAATATTATAGTTTATTATATTTGTTTATCAATTCTTCATATTTTTTATTAACATATCATTTTAATTTATAATTTTTCATTTATTTATATCTATATTTTAAAAATAATTAAAAAACTTATAAAAATTTTAAAAATAATAAAAAAATTATAAAAATTAAATATATAGTTTTAAAACGAAGAGACAAAAACCCAAAATAGCCATAATATATGATGGGCCCATTAAGCGATGGTTTCAAGTTGGATGCATAACAATTTGTATAGTAGAGGCAACCATTTGTAAATTTATGGAATAATTTTAAATTTAGAGGTATTAGCAATTCATTTTTAAATTTTTAATTTAAAATATATTTTTTAATTTTTAGTCAATTTAAGATAAGCAGAGTTTAATAAAACTATTTAAAAGAATTTATTTAAGTAGTTAAAGTGTTTAGTAATAACTATTTACAAACTTTTAACTAATTTAATTTATCAAACTGATTGAAATGGATTTTCAAAACTTACTAGTGGTCAATACAATATTTTACTTGTTCACAGTGATTTTAGAGGAACTAGATAACTACAATTATATATAATTTTGATTTATTTTAAATAATTTTTATTAATTTATAAACCAAATTAAATATAATTTTTATATGACTTTTTAACTTAAAAATAGGTTTGAATTCCGATGCAAGAAACTCATTGATCTGCAACTTGTTCAAGAAGTATTTTGGGAGTATTAACAAATAAAAAGAATTCTCAATTAGGAGATTCTGAAGTTCTCCTTCTTATCAAACACGAAGGATTATCAATTCAAGTAAAGGAAGCGAAGCGAAGCGAAACGACAATAACTTGTAAAGTCAAATAACTCATTACTGAAGACTTGACAATAATAAATTACTAATTATTTAGACAGAGCAAAATGGAAATCACCCTGAGCTTGGCAGCTGGCCACAAATAAAGATTCTCTTCGACTCTCCACGTGTCCGTTTCCCCATCATGAGATCTCGAGCTGTGGTTTCACAAAGCCAACGTGGCAGGAAGCCCCAAAATATCCGTCGGAACAATATCAAAATAACCCAACACGTGTCCCAGATATGGACCCACAGCATGGAAAAATTACCACCACATCGTAATTCATACCTGAAAACACGCCCACATGAAAAATCAAAAACAGTGGTCCATATTGATCCACGTCAGCACTCAACCAGAAGCCAATGGCGGCCCACCTTTTGATCGACGTCAGATAGTAGAGAGATAAAGTCTCGACTATTAGAAAGTCCTCTCTCTCTGGAGGCGAAGGAAGATATTTCGCGGTTTTCGCGGTCGGGAGCCAAAGTTGGATATCAATTTTGAGGCAGTTTTGCTTTCTCTTTCTCCCACTCTAATTTCAGTGGACTTTGCAGATATTTCTTTTTATCCCGTTAAGGATGAGGTTAATTTCACTTTAAACACATCTCTTCTGCTTCTGCTGTTGCTTCTGTTTTATTTACTCCCTATCTTACGAAATTAGGGATCGTTTTTCAATTTTCGTTTGATCTGTTTTTTTTTTTTTTTTTTTTGCAAATTTTCGTTTGATCCTGTTTTTTTTTTTTTTTTTCCTCTTCTTTGATTCAATAATAGCGTGTTTTTTGAGAAAATGGGTGAGGTGGTGGTGACCAGTGAGAGGAGATGGAGTGGAGTTGGGGACAGAGGAGGAAGGCATAGAAAAGAAAAAGACGCAAAATGAGACAGTTAATGAGGATGCCTCATCGGAGGTGGTTTCGATGGGAAATTTTTTTTTTTTTTTTTTCCTCTTCTTTGATTCAATAATAGCGTGTTTGAGAATGGGTGAGGTGGTGGTGACCAGTGGAGAGGAGATGGAGGTGGAGTTGGGGACAGAGGAGGAGGCAGAGAAGAAAAAGACGCAAAATGAGACAGTTAATGAGGATGCCTCATCGGAGGTGGTTCGATGGGAAAAGTTTCTTCCAAGGATGGTACTTAGAGTTCTGTTAGTTGAGGCCGATGACTCTACGCGCCAGATTATCGCTGCTCTTCTTCGAAAATGCAGTTACAGAGGTCAGTTTCTTTCAAGTGCTTATTTAAAAAATAAAATAAAATCTCTTTTCGGTTGGTTGATTTTTCACATCTTGTTCTGTTTAGTTCTGTAGGAAACTTTGCTTTCTCGATAATTTTATGGTTTTTGGTTCTGATTTTGCCAATGTCAACTTCTTTAGCCTGTGATCTACTTTCCTGGTTGATCTTTTATTTATGTTGCTATATAATTCAATTTCCTTTGCAAAATTTCCCTTTATATTTTCCAGTTTTATATATATTTAAAATATATTTTGCGATGTTGAATTCATTTTCTTTTCTTTATCGAGTTTTATTAGTATTTGAGGGTTGGACCTCGTGAAATTTGCTAAAGGTTTAAGATGTAGGGTATTTAAGATTATTCCTTTTTTTTTTCTTTTTTCCAATATTAAACTTCACTTTTTTTCTCCCATAGAATCCTTTTCCTATAATGGATTGGACAGTAATCCTTTTAAGTGTTTGAGATACGCAATTTTATTGTTGTTGTCGTGGTTAGGTTTGTCTAATGGCTGACGTCTAGTTTTTGCTATGTTCAGATAAATTGATTTGGTTGGGGAAAGTTGGTGGTGTTTCAATAGTTTTCTGTTCTATTTTTTCTTTTTTGCCCTTTTTTGAAGTCCAGAGAAATGGATTTACTGTAAAAATAACATCAGAGTTGAATATTTTGAGTTGTATATAGCAACCTGTGTCCATGTTAATTAAAAGTGTGAAATCAATGCCAAGAATGAGGCAGGACAAACTATGAAAATGGAAATGTTACAGCTGTGTAAGGTTCAAAATTCAAAATCTAAATGGTCATAGTGGCATCATTTGACCAGAACACCTAAAATACATCGCTGCTGTGAGTGTTGTACTGCCGTTGTTGGGCAAGATGTTCGTAGAGATATCATATGCACATACTGCATCTCTAGTTGTTCTGTTGATTGTTTAATCTCATGGATGTTAACTTGGTTTTCCCACTCTTTATTCCTTCAAGGGTCATTGATGGGGTTGAATTTGAGCCTTTAATATGTCAACTATAGATCAAGGCACTGGAAGTTGGTTGAACACTTGAACTATCCAGATTCTTGCTCTCATTATTCTTGACCAAAGATTACATTTCATACTTTTAAAATGTGCTAACTAATAATTCAATTATTCAATCATAACAGGACTTATTCATTGAATACACTAACCCACCAACTAACTCTATGAAGCATGAAGCTGGGAGGGATGCATAGTAACCTGTTGGCTCCCCATCCCCTTATTCCCCCTTCCCCCCCTCTCTTCTATGTGGTTACTTGTGCAGTTGACTTTGTTCATGTTTATTTCATTGAGCATGCAAGTAAGGTTATGAAATTTTCAGTTTTCTTTTAATCATGGTCTCAGCTGAATGTATGTGCTCTTTTTTCCCTTTTTTTTTTCCATCTCCAAGCAGTTGCTGCTGTTCCTGATGGATTAATGGCATGGGAGACCTTAAAGGGTAGGCCCCATAGCATAGATCTCATTTTAACAGAAGTAGAGTTGCCATCAATATCGGGATACGCACTGCTTACTTTGGTCATGGAGCATGACATTTGCAAAAATATTCCTGTCATAAGTATGTTATCTTCTGCCAAATGCTTTTATCACTACAATCTTGATTTTTGTTTCTGCTAGTAACTGAACATGTTGGATTTGTATTTTACTTATGGCCTTACAGTGATGTCGTCGCATGATTCAATTAGCATGGTTTTGAAGTGCATGTTGAAGGGTGCAGCTGACTTTCTCATTAAGCCTGTTAGGAGAAATGAGCTGAGGAACCTCTGGCGGCATGTTTGGAGGAGGCAAAATGTAAGTTTAGTCTTCCATTTTATCTTCTGGAGTTTGTTGGGCCTGGTCCATTTTTTGGTTTTACGTCTGTACTAATTGAATGAGTATATATATTTTCTTAAACTCTTTATCAGCTAACTGCTGGACATATTCCTCAAAGTTCACCTGATGCACAGCATAAAGTTGAAGCTGCCTCTGAAAACAATTCAGCTAGTGATCACTCAAGTGATTGTGCAACTTCATCACATAAAAGAAAGGAATGCAGTGAGAAAGGGAATGATAACCAAGTAAGTACTGATTACCTCATAGTCATCCTTGTAAGGATATAGGATCTCTTTATGGAAAATCTTCCTTGACAAGTCTTAGTTTACCCATCAATTTTACAATGGCCACATTTACTTAACATACTGTGACTAATTGGTTGCTTCATCCGTCTCCACCCAAACCTACCCTCCCCCCGCCCCCCCCAAGACTCTTTCTTATGTCTGTGGGATCTTAACAAAATACATTTTTAAAGCCTCTCAGAGTGCAAGGAATATTTCTCTTTCCAGATTAGGCTGGCTTCATGAAGTTTCACATAGAGACTGCATGTTTGCCACCTCTTGTGCAGAGCTCTTGTACAACCCCTTACTCGGAGCTGAGAGTGTTCACGTGCAAATATTTGCAGGGTATTTCACAGCCAAAGCTTAGGAGTGCTTCAAATCTGAGCAATATGGAGGAAGAATGTGCTGTGTTGAACAAAGGGCCAGTTATCCCTGAAAATAAAACTGAAGGCATATAATATTCCTTATTTTCTTTACAATTTTAATTGATTAAATTTAAATGAAACTTGTGTTTATTTCGTTGACTTATTAATGGAGCATCTCAAATGGCATCAGCTACAGACTGGTCAACCAGATTGGGACCAATGAGTGCATCGTGCAATGGAGCTTATAATCAAACTACTCTGAAACTGGGAGAACATGCATCTTCTGCCATGGAAGTGATTCAAGCTGAAAGTTTGAGACCAGAAAATGAGAGGGGAAATTCTAATACCACTCAGGGCCACAATGATGATCTAGTTGAATCTTCCAGTGGAGCTATTGATTTGATTGGTACATTTGATAATGGCCCAAAGCACACATATGTAGACACAAATATAAAGGATGGTACCAACAAGTTTGAATTCACTCCACTGGAACTTTCTCTAAGAAGATTTTTTCCCAATAGCTCAAAGAATCAAGGCATTGAGGATAGGCATGCACTAAACCATTCTAATGCCTCTGCTTTTTCATGGTGAGTTGTTATATTAGCTCAACTACAAAGCTAAGCTTATGATACTGAAAAATTGATGAAACTTAGCATATGTAGTTTTCTTTCTAAACTTCAGAAGCAAGAGATTCTCATCTTCTTCCGATTTCCAGAGAGAATTTCCTGGAGATTATGTATGCTCCTTTGACTTTTGACTGAATGAAAAGAAACAGTAATTAATGTTTGAGTTTCTTTAGTGCAAATGACAAATTTATTTTTATTTGCAACCTACCTTCTCCCATAATGCTCAATTCTGTTATTAGGTTGTGGTAACATTGATGTTAAAAATTTTTCTCTGAATTCTGATCAATTGATTGGTTCTCTACAGGTATAACAATAAGATATTGCAACCTCTTTTTCCAACATCAACCAGTAATTGTATTGAGTTCAGGGAAGATACTAGTAAGTCTCCAGAGATGTCATCCAATGAACGTTCTCAAAAGATCAATGGTTTTTCTCAACAACATGGTCCCAATTTGAATGGTGGTCAAGAAATTATGACCACACTAGTTATTGGTCAATCTAGGCAAGCTGAACTAGCATATCCAAATCCCATTCCTATCCCAGGGGTCAGAGTTGACAACATCAGCACAGGATATGGCCATGTTTTTCCTTCTCTATATGGACAAAAAGGTGTATCACCTGCATGGAATCCTAAACTGTCCAGCCAGCGAGACCAGTCTCCATTTGCAACTAGCACCTCTATTCATTCAAATCCTGAAATTCATGACTCTGAGCAGAATAATAGACAATCCGATGACATTACCATCAATTCTGTGGACCAAAATTTGTATAAGCACGATAATATGGAGCAGGTGGAGGAACTGAGACATAGTTCACCTGCTGCCGGTCAAAGTACTAGCAGTAGCATGTGTAATGGCATTGCAGATCACAATAAAAGCAGTGCATATGGAAGCTCTTGCAGTAGAAGTGATGGAAATACTACTTTGGCTGCAGCACCTGAGGAGGTCGTGAAACCAGAGAGCTTGAAAGATGGGGGGATCCCCTTTCGCTCCAGCCAAAGAGAAGCTGCTCTGACAAAGTTCAGGCTGAAGCGAAAAGATCGATGCTATGAGCAAAAGGTACTATGGTCATTATCATTACACCTACATATGTCATTAGATGCTTATCCTCAACAAAACCATGCATCGTATGCATTTGAGGTGTTCATAGCCACTAAATATTTAATGAGGTCACTCCATCGGCCTCTACTTTTGCAGCTGTATCACATTTAATCATGAACCAATTTGGGAAGATAAATTTAAATTGAACTGCACTAATGGCTAGGTTTACAATTCTTTCATGCTTTGGTTGCCCATTCTGATATTTGAGAATAGCAAAATCAAACCGGATAGAAGTGTCTGCGACTTTTTCATATGAACAATTTTTCTGCAGGTTCGGTACCAAAGCCGAAAAAGACTAGCGGAGCAGCGTCCTAGAGTGAAAGGGCAGTTTGTTCGTCAAGTACAAAACAACGCTCCAGCGGCTGGTGATAATAATTGATTATGAAATTATATTTGATGGAATGATGATGATGTGAATTCTGAACATGTTTGGGAGCTTTCTTTATTGCTATGGCCTACAACTTTAATTCTGGAAAGGTGGCCTTGTAAATTATCTGGAGACTAGAGGGGTTGTCCGAGTCCTCTGCTACTCTGGTTAATTTGTTTCGTTGTTCAGTAGATGACCGACCTCATTGTAGTTTTTAGGAAGGTTTAACAGTAGTATTCATAATTTGCATTGGTACAGAACACTTTTTCGTCGTTGGATTGATATCTTCGGTTTTTCTTTTTTTCTTCTTTTAAATTCAGAAAGCAACTTCTGAAAATGCCTTTCTTTTTTTTTTTTTTTTTTTTTTTTTTTTTTCGTTGTTCAGTAGTATGACCGACCTCATTGTAGTTTTTAGAAGGTTTTAACAGTATTTCATAATTTGGCATTGGTACAGAACACTTTTTCGTCGTTGGATTGATATTCTTCGGTTTTTCTTTTTTTCCTTCTTTTAAATTCAGAAAGTCATACTTCTGAAAAATGCTTTCCTTTTTTTTTTTTTTTTTTTTTTTTTTGCACTTTTTTGTTTTTCTTTCCAGAGGGAAAAGGCAATAATGTTTCTTTTTTTTTTTTTTTTTTTTTTTTTTTTGCACTTTTTGTTTTTCTTTCCAGAGGGAAAAGGCAATAATGTTTCACACTTGAAAGTGGGAGGAAAGAAAAATTTTAAAAAAAAATTATATATCAAAGGTAATACTCTTTTTCTTTATTTGAGAAGAGGGGAGAAAGTCAAGAAAAATTCTAATAAATTATGTAGAGGAAAAATTTTTTTTCTTTCCTTCCCATATGTCAATATATAAGAAAATAATTTTTTTGTTCAAAATTTTTCTTTGAAATGCATGAAACAGGTGTTAGATTGGATCTGACGAGGCATTACCACATTAGAGAAGAAGCATGTATAGAGCCACGTATTATTTTCCCATGCAGAAACAGTCAGGAGGGCAGAGTTATCCATATGTGAGCGAAGGACACTGTTGTCGCTAGTGGCCGCTGCCTTTTCTCTATTCCGCTGACACAAAGTAGAGACAAAGTCCCCCATAATACTTTCGTGTTCCGGCCTTCTGGCACCATTATCATACACATTTATTAGAGAAAACTATTGTTTTGGGCAAGTTTCTTTTAGTAGAAAACTTTTTCTTTTATTTTTTTTAAATAAACCCTTCTTTATTAAGTAGAAACCAGAGAGAAAAACAAAGAAAAATCAGCTAAAAAATAAGCCAACCAACCTTAAAAAAAAAAAGATCACTTTAACTCCCAGTGACCCAACTCGCCCCCTTTTCCCCAACCTTTTTTGTTCCATTTGTCCCGCAGATTCTTCCTCTCTTCCGCCTTTTTCTCTCATATGCACTAGCCACCTTCACCATATGCACCAGTCCTTTTCCCTGACGTATCCTCCTTTTCCATCTTCATTATATTATGATTTCCATGGAAGAAGAAAACCAAAACCAAAACCAAACCCAAACCAAAATGAACTGTGAAAAAGAAACACATAATCACATGCACATGGCACCAGCTTCACGGTGCACTGGGTGCACTGCAAGTGACCCTCGTCGGACTCTCTGTACAATCATCACCGTCTTTCTCCTCTTAGCCGGTCTTACCATTCTTATAGTCTGGTTAATTTACCGACCCTACAAACCTCAGTTCACTGTAGTTGGTGCTGCCATTTATGACCTTAACACATCATCTCCACCTTTCATCTCCACTTCCATGCAGTTCACTCTTGTGACTAGAAATCCTAACAAAAGAGTCTCCATAATCTACGATAAACTCTCTGCTTACGTTTCTTACAGGGACCAAGCAATAACGCCTGCAATAGCGTTGCCTCCGCTTTATCATGACACGAAGAGCACTGTGGCGCTGTCGCCAGTGCTGGGTGGCTCTAAAGTGCCTGTGTCGGCGGACGTGGCGAATGGGTTGGTGATGGATGAGAGTTATGGGGTGGTGGCATTAAGGGTTGTGTTGTTGGGGAGATTGAGATGGAAAGCAGGGGCAATAAGGACAGGAAGATATGGGGTTTATGTCAAGTGTGATATTTGGGTGGGTTTGAAGAAGGGTTTGATAGGGCAAGTTCCTTTGCTTGGATCTCCAAAGTGCAAAGTTGATGTGTGAAATTTTCCTCTCCTTAATAATTAAAGCTTCCTGTAAGGTTAATCCTTGTTCTGCTTTTTGCCTTCTGTGAATTTCTGCAAGTGCATGTAGTTTTCTGTTTTTTATATTTTGCAGAGACACTTTCCTTTCTTATGTAAAATGAATGTAATAAGATCAATAAGAAACAGTAATCAATGTTGCAATTCACAAATTAATTGTTGGGTTTTGGGTTAATCGGAGAAATTGGAGTGAATCGGAAAAATTGGAGACTCGTGGCTGTCCATGCAGACAGTCATGCACCATCTGTCTTCACTACTGGAGTACTAGAAACACTACTCATCACTGGGTTTTTATTTTATTCTATTTGTTTTGATTATAAATTAGCATCAGAGTGATTAAAGAACAAGAGTAGATAATTGCATTATTGTTACTCCTAACTTTTTCTTTTTCTTTAATGAAAAAGACTAAAAAGTGTTTTCTTATATATGGGAACATGGTATTTGTTTGTATAAAGATTTAAGGACGAGAAAAGCATGATTCGTAGAGAAGAAATTAATAATCAAAACCCTTTAGACCTGATTTTTTTATGGTGTTCGCGCCAACCAAAGTGCAGTAATTAAATCTTGGTTTAGAAAATTTGTTCTCCTTGTTATCAATAAATCAATTATACTCGCATCAATATCGCATATCTTTAATTGATTCTTCACATGACATGGATGCTTCAAGGAGGCATCAGATTCGTAACTTCCACTGCTATTTTACTTATTTAGTACTCTAAGTAAGCTAGCTTCTACATCACTCTCATAAAGCTGCAACTTTGAGAGAATTTCGGAAGTTGCGACCGACTTTTCCTTGGTGCTCTCTCTCTTATAGAGGATATGAAAAAAGAGAACTGTAGAAAAGGATATGGACGAACCATATCCATTTCCACTGTATTTAAAAAAAAAAAAAAAAAAAAAAAAAAAAAACAAAAAAAAAAAAAAGGAAAAGTACTTTCTCTTTATATTAATGGCAATCGATACAGATTAAACAAATTACTGTAATTCACTGATTTGCTATAATCTCATTTCTTATGATAATTAATTTTATGCCGGTGTTGGTGGTGGGTGTTGGTGTTGTGAGCTTTTTTAGAAGGATATCATTTACATGGGCATCATGGCGCTTTTTACTCTATAGTGGGCCTCTAAACCTAACTAGAAATGAAATTCTTCCAACCATAATGAGTCTGGTTTTAATTTTACTTGAATCAGATTGTAGAATGAACTATATGAATTTTATTTTATATTTTTATGTAAAGTACAAAATATTACCTACGTTTTTTAAAAAAAATCAATGGCACATCAAAACAATTTTAACCCTTTTTAATTTTATTTTTTTTTTTATCATTACTTATTTGGAAAAATCACAAGAATATAAATCATATCATCTAACAAAGGCAACCCTTTTTATTTTGCATCTAATGATTGTACCTGTTTTTTATAAATGTCCTGTCCACTTGCCTAGAAAAGCTGTAGTCTATTTGGGCCGGCCTGCTATTAGTCTTGTGCTGATCCAGTTTTTGGTCCTTCTTTCTTGTGAAGCCAACTGTGTTTGTTCTGATAATATAAAGAGAACACCAATTTGGGAGTCATATTCATATGCATATTTTTTGTCTATTAAGCATGTTTATTTTAATTGAATTCCTCTGCTTTAGTATTTATTTATAAAAGTAAAATGTAGTGAAACTTAATTAATGTCAATCTTAAGTTTAAATTATTCAAGTAAGAAAAATCATCATGTTTAATAAGAAATAGTAATCAATTGCAAAATATGCTTTTTTAAAAAAAATAAATTTAGGAATTTAATGTGAAGTAATTAAAATTTGAAGGTTTTGATTTTACGCATTTCATTTTTTTTCTAACCGGGAAATAGACAAAACAAAATAAGTTTGTATGGAATTTCCAAAATGGTCACAATAACAACCTTTTTCACATTGGCCAAGACTGCCAATTCTAACTGACATCTTCCGTTAAGACTTGGTATTATACGTCCACAGTCCCACAGTCCACGTCCACCGTCCACGTGCAATACGATTCATAAATTAAAAAAATTCAAGGACCATTGAATAAACTTGGTAGTTGTCGACTGGTTGCCAATGATAAGGAATATTCCCACTTTTCCCTGCTTCTCGGGTGGTGAATTTAAAAGGTCTGGACTGGGACATTCTAGTAATCTCTATAAGCCAGTTCAAAGATTTTAATTAAAAAACTGAAAAACAAAAGCTCCAGCGAACAGAAAGGACTATACACAGACTCCACTGGCCGCTGGTCACACTCCGACTTCCGTTTTTATCTGATGAGAAGAACTCACTATTGGAAAAACCACAGGATTTGATGGTAACGTCCACGCTCAATTTGTCTTTTTTTTTTTTTCTTTTTGGGTTACTAATAAATCAATTATTATTTCTTTCTTGTTTTTTGAGTTTCTTGCCATGTATTTGGTTAAAATTTATATATGATGAAATTCGATTTCTCTAGTGATTCACGGATTTGGGTTAGCTTTGCACTCAGTTTATGGTCTAACCTTCATGTTCTTTTTGTTCCAGTTCTTTTTGTAGATACTGATCGTTAATATTTTTTGTTTGGTCTTATCCTTTGTTTTTTTTTTTAATTTTCGATATAGATTTGGTCGATAGGTGCCTGTTTGGATTTGTTTCTATCTCACTCTTTATTTATTCAAATTTTTTAGTTTTCATAATCCGTATGTGTGTGGATTTCAATTGTATACTGAACTTCATTAAGTTTTTTTCATTAAAAGTTTGTTCTTTTTATGTGCTCATCGTTTTCAATTTCAGTTGCAAAAATAATCACGTTTTGTAATATTTAAAGATTTTTTTTTTTTAGTTAATACCAAATATTATAACAAAGAAACCGGAGAGAGATACAGAAAGATAAGTTTTGGAATGTGGTTGTTTTCTCCTAAAAAAGAAAATTGAAGGATACTGGAATACTTAAAATATGTCTCTCTTTTGGTTTTGTTAGCATTAAAAGGAACTCGGCTTTGGATCCTTGACCTAAATCAACGGTCAATTTCTAACGGCCAAATTAGAGAAATATAGTTTTTTATTATTATTATTATTAAATGGAGTTCAAGGTTGGGATTGGGGTGGTTCTCTTTTTAGCTCATCTGCTTTCTTTAATTGTATGGCTATGATTCAAATGAATTTGATTAAGTATTTGAGAATCCCTTTGCAGCTGAGCTGTCTTTAGTTGTCAAACAAGGTAAAACAATCATCACTTTTCTGTTGAAAAAACATCCTCAAGTGAACATTTAATCTAGGTGAATATCGTAAGAGTTTCTGGCTTCATCTTGTCATTCATCTGCAGGGCCGGCTATGCCAAAGACTGAAATTTTGTTTCTTTAGTGCTTGGGATTTGGGATTAAACATACTGTTTATCAATTGGTTCTCACTCTTTTCAATTGCTTTTAATTTTTGTTATTGGTGTGAATAAGTTCTCGTTGTTCTATTAATGATTCTTTTTTTTTTTTTCCATTTGTTGTTCTTCTTCGCATTGCTTTCATATGTCTTAGCAACCAAGCATCTTGATAAAGAACAATTGCGGATTGTTTCTTTCTTGTTGCATTAAAGTTGCTCAGGTTTATGATGTGATGTTGACTTGTTGAGGCAATGTTCTATGTGTGAGTCAAAAGGGAAAGTACATATTAAAACAGGTTGTAGAAAATGTATACAATTTATGCTCTGTATGGTATTAATTTCACACTCATGGGTTTTGTTGAAATCAAAAATTTTCAGATGGAAGCACAATAATCCTCACATGGACAGATTATTGAAATAAATGTTGAATGTTTCCTGAGGGAGGCGAGGCAGCGATTTGTGGGGAGTTAAAGATATGTGGGGAAGCACCTTGTGGGTTCTCTGATGCTGCAGCTACCTCGAAAGATGCTGACAGAGCGATCAGCCTTCCATGCGCAAGCTCTTGAATGGCATGTTTGCCACTTTGTGTAGTCTCATGAGTGTTGAGGTGGCTGGTGGCAATCAAAGCCCAATATCCCTTGCGATATTGATGCATGCTGCCCATTTGCTTTCAGATGTAGCCAGCTTTTTGCTATTTCCCTTGTTCTCCCTTGTGGGGCAGCTGGCTGGGAAAGCCACACCCGTCAATCCTATGGATTTTTTAGGGTTGAGATATCCCCTTGGTGCACTTGTTTTCCATACAGCTCATATGGTTGGCTTACTGCGGGATTTTGGTATTTGAAGCCATTGTTCTTAGGCTCATCATTGGTACAGATGATGTAAATGGCTTTTTAATGTTTATTGTTTGCTGCATTTGGTTTAGTGGTGAACATTATCATGGCCTCTCTGGTTGGGGCCATGATCGACATGGCCATGATGATCAAATACAAATCTGGGATTGGACACCATCGCCATAGGAAGAAAATTTACCAGTCACACATCATCTGATCCACAACCACATGAGGAGCATTCCAAAAGATAAGCGCCACTTGTCACGAGGAACACACAGGGAGATGAACCAATTGTTCACGAGGAGCACTCAAAAGATGAGCATCATAGCTTCGAAAGATATTACAGAGCCAATTGCTTGATAAAGGAAAGCAGCCATAGGAAAAAGCAACAGAATATAAATGTAGAAGGAGCATATTCTTCATCGTAACTTGGGATTCTATCCAGAGTATTGGGGTAAATGAATTGGGAGGCGGAAATCATATGGTGGAACCTAAATGGAAGATAGTTGGATCTTGATCTGCACCTTAATTTTTTTCAGTTGTAAGTTATGGGTACAACGATCAAAATGCTGCCGGAAACATACTTGAAGTCTTGATGGAGAGCACTCACGGGAAGGGAAAAAAATTTAAGATGCACATAAACTAGAAAAGGGGTCTATTGGTGAATGAGAAGTGGTGGCCGTGCACGAGCTGCATAATATGGGCCATCACAGTGGGCAAAAGTCCTCTTAGCTTGTCATGTAAAAAATCAGACCAGAAGCGAATGCAGACATGGGTCTGGACAAGTGATAGACTTAACATCAGAAGGGAATACAATATTAGTCATGTTACCCATCCAGATAGAAGTTAGTGAGGTTGATTGGGTCCATTGTATCTGGGGCCTTTTGTTTCTGAAACTTCCAGAATTTACATATCATGTGGGTGCAAATAATCTTTGTAATACTAGGCAAAATGTTGTAATAGATGCTTGGTTAGGGCCAGCAATAAAATTAAATATCCTATCCTTAATTTGCATCGTGCCTAGCTTTTTTATCTAATTAACAACTTGAATTTGTAAATTAAGAGTGTAATGACTATGGAGTTCCCTGAAATTCCTTACTTTCAATCTGAATAAGTTACCAAATGTGTTACACAATGTGGCCATTTTTTTTTTTTTTTTCTTTCTACGGGAAGATTTTTGGTCAGGCTCCAAGGAAGTGCTTTGCCTTCAATTAGAAGTCCACGCATATTCTGTTACTTGGATTTGGGTCTACCAACTGATAATTTCAAGTGTCCACAGGAATCGGTGGTGGAAGTCAACAGCTGGGAAGCAGATGCTGTGAGTGGGGCGTTGGGGTCATTGGATCCTTTTTAATGGCGAAATGATAGTAAGTACTACCAACCGTTTAATTGACTGGCACTGCGGGTTGATTGGAGGAAGATATCTGGGCAGAATAATTACTGGAGAGAGCTATTCCCTGGGAGGTAAGGATAAGGTAGCTTGTGCTCTCTGGTATTCGGTTTATTTATTTATTTTTGTTTATGGTCTCTAGGTAGGATAGATATGGGAGCCGAGTCTACAGGAACAAGCGAGGACTAACTCTATGCTGTGTGGCTTAAGGTATTACCATAGTTAGAGGAGGCGAAATTGCCATAGTTCAATGTGGATAAGTATTTTCAAACATTATCAATAACGCTTTTTGCATTTGAAGTAGAAAATTTTATTGCATCACAGTAGTAAATTTTTGTGTTTCTTGAAGGCTCACATATGATCTGGCATTATTTACATCTTTGGCCGATTATATTTTGTCTAGTTAAGTGAACATGTTTGAGCATTTTGATTTTGCTTTCCGGGCCGATGTAAGAAAGAGAATTACATGGTGAGGATGAAAGGAATAATTTTTAACGGGAAAAAACAATTTTGCCTTATAGGAAGGACTGAAGCTAACTGAAACTGGTTGACATTGTGAAAAGGTCTGATAGCAACACAAAGGCTTATTATATGTTCCTTTGGTTTCTTTTTTTCTTTGTTTTTTTTTTTCTCTTTTTTTAAGCTTGGCCCTTTTAATAAAAGATCATCACTAAAATTGAGAAGACAAGTAGTGGCCTTGATATCAGGTAATATATCTGCTTGTCAGCTTTGAGAGGACTTCGTGAAGCTGGTTAAATGGGGTGGTTTGTGTTTCTCATTTCCAAGTAACTTACATTAAACTCAGATTTGAGATAAGATAAAGATGGTTGTTCTCTCAAAATAGACATTTCAACAGTTGAAGCGAACATGAAAATCTTTTCTGGGTTGCAACTTCATATTTTTGTATTTGAATAAAGCCATGAACACCTGTACTATGGTAGCCCACTTATTAGTTAAAGTTTGCATTAATCACTTATTCATAAAGTTGCATCGTATTTTTTGGCTTCAAAAATTTTTAAAAATTAAAATCTTTATTAAGGAAAATCATTAGAACATCTGAGATAAGTTGAAAGTAGAGAACACAAACATGTCTTGTGTTTCTCATAAAGGGTTTGATCAAGTTGAGGGACGGCTTTTGATAAGGCATAAGGGAAAGTGACGGAAATGGTAGAGAATCAGAGGCATCGTCGCATCCATAAATGGTTTGGATTTGGGGACAAAATTTTTTTTCCGACACAATTTATAATGAAAATTTTTGCCATTATCTATTGGGATTATGACACTCAAAATTCTTCAAATTAAGCGAATGGAAAGCCCTACACCCGCGCATTACTCAATCTTCTCCGGAAAAAGACGAAACAGTCTTATGAATTTTCTTATGTTTTGCCCTTTTTTACGTGGATGTCAATTGCTTGTACACAACTTGTATAATACAGATAGTATGATTTAAGCCATTAATCATTGGATAGAGTGAACGACAAGTAGGCAATTCAAAAAATATATGATTCAAATTTGTCTTCAAAGATATTTGGACAAAGAATTTATAGAAAATTGGGAGTGTCTGTTGCCGGAGCAAGGGACGAGGCATTTTAGTGACGAGCTGATTATGTGAGCTCATCAAAATTGATTTTTGACTGAAAGTTGCCAAAATTTTTGAAATGGTGAATTTTTTTTATTGAATGTTTATATTTTTTTTGAAATGATTATAACGCCTCATATAATTATATTGATAAAGTCACAGATATATTTTTGGATCATTTGTTTTAGTCTTATCCATCATATCAAATTTATTATTTGCCCTTTGAAGTTTGGATTATTTAGTATGTGGATTGATTTCTTGCATGTTCTCAAAAATATATCATTTAGCGCCTTAAAAGTGTGGGAAGAGAACAATTTTGATCCTTTCATTTAAGGATAAGAAAAGATTTTAGTCAGTAAATTATAAGAGGAAACTAAAATGAAAATTCCTAATTATCTAAAACTTCAATCTCTTAAATTCATGAAATGTCTTAAATCTTTTCAAGGGTAGTCATAATAATCTCTTTTTTTTTTTTTTCTCGTGATTTTGGAAGTTCTCGCAACCAAATATTTTTTATGAGAATGTAGGGCAGGGAGGGAAACTTTAACTAGTCATCCTAATCTCGGAGGAATGTTGGGGAAAATAGTTGAATTTTTAAATCTGAAAATAAGTAATAATTTTAAGTAAATATATACTATAATAATATTAGGTAACATGTGGCAAAGTAATATTTTTTTAACCTTGACGTTTTACAGCATTTGGCTAGGTATTAGGCATAACATCATTCATCCCACGTGTCGCAGAATTGTTTATCTAATTTTGAGAAAATGTTTGAGATAATACACAACGATGGAACCAGAAAAAATAATTAGGATGGCAAATTTTTTTACAAATTTCGAAAAAAAACTCATTATTTATAATAAAATGAAAAGTTTTTTTTTATATTTTATAAGATATATTTTAAAATTAGGTAGAAATCACTGGTGACCATCCTTATTCTGTAGCTAAATGTAAATTGAATTGATATTGACGTTGCTTTCCACTGTCAAAGTTCCAGTTCCTAAATTATGATTTGTTATTTTTATTCCGGGGGATGTACATGGATACAAAGAAATATCTTATTATGAAAATTACAGAGCCACTTGATTGACATTTTAGATTAAGCATATGATGAACAAATATAATGAAAAGAAAAAACCACGCAACTGAATTAAATGTGAAGTGTTTGAATTGAAACAAAAATTGCATCAACTTGCAGACTCCAAGCTTACCCTTAAAAAAATGACCACACGCAGCGCTATTGCTGGAAGCAAAACAGTCGCTTTCATTCGAATCGACACTGGAAATCACAAAATATATAATAAAAAATTTCTTTACTAAAACATTGAAATTGGATCCGAAGTTTGTAATGAACACAATTAATCGAATCAAACAGTCGGTTCGGTATGATATATTTTATTGGTTTATATAGGTTTTGGTTTTAAGTCCAACCGTCGAATTTTTGTGTAAATGGAAATTGAACATGAACGATAAATTCGATTCAAATCAAATTGAATCGATCAGCTAAATTCTCTTGGATTTTTGGAACTGAACAAAAATGAGTTTTGATTCCGTTTCGGTTCGGTCCGGTCAGTAAATTTTGCTACCCCTAAAGACAACCGCTATAGGCAGTCAATAGTCGACTGCTGGACTCCATGTGCATTCCATAATCAACTCTTACTCTAGAGTAAGAACTACAAAATGAACAGTAAATTTTCGAATATATACCCCTAGAATGAGCACAAAAAAGAAAATTAATAATTCAAACACAAATTATTACTAATTCTTTTAATAATATATAATAATAAAATAATACTACATGAAAAAGCAAGGCAATTGTGGAGAGATTGTGAAGAAGACCCATCATCAACTCGGTGACACAATCCATAGAAAAGGACTTTCCAAAGCTTTTTTAATTAACCTTTGGTGTGCACTTGAGAGAGAGAGGAAGAGAAAGAAGAGTCCCCACAACTGTCTGTCCCCGCTGCCGGACAAAACTGCCACCGCACATAATGCTTGGACCTTGTAACCCCAGACAACCTCTCCCTGTCTTCTCTCTCTCTCTCTCTCTCTGTCTCTTCTCTCTCCCCTCTACTGTTAAGTCCTCTACACTCTTTCCAGTCCTCATATTCATCTGTTTTATAACATCTCTCTCGTCTCTCTCTCTCCTTCTCCTCTCTTTCCAGTTACCATATTTCTCCCCTATTTCAATTTTTTTTACTAGTCTTTCTGGGCGGGCTCCATATCTATCTCTTTCTACTGTTTGGAGCTCTTGAAAGCATTAAATGTTTATTCTATTTAAGAGCTATCACCAGCAGAATAGATAAACAAAGCGAATAATCTAATTTATGCTTTGTATTGTATATGCGGGTCCCTCTTCTTCTGCTTCTTTGTAGGTTACATTTATTATTGTTGGTTCTGTTAGCATCACAATGGAAATGTTTTTTAAAGGCTTATATTTGCAATTACTGCTGCTAGCTGTGAATGGAGAGGCTCCAGGCCAGTTGATCCTTGGTGTATGTTACTTTCCATCATTTTAGTACTTTATCTTAAATTTTCCCTTCCTTTTCCTTTAATTTCCTCAATTAAAAATGGACTTACTGCATTTTCCTTCTCTTACATGCTTGCATTCATGCTCGTGTTGGCTTTTCTTTTGAAATGCTAATATCTGCTCTTCTGATTCTTTTCTTAACATTCTACTCTTATCTTCTTTTTTTGTTCTTCCTTTCCCCGTTTAATACTCAATTCACCAATTCTATCCATCGAGCCAAGAATTTCTTTCCTTTCTTTTTTGTTTTCTTAATTTTGTTTTTCTTGCAGTTCTTAGGTGAAACTTGGGGACTGAAATTTTGAGCAATTTGAAGAAAGAAGAAGGCAAAACTTTTCAATGCAAGTTTGGAAAGACAAAAATGCCGTTTCTTCAAATGCTTCAAAGTGTAGAAACTCCACCATTATTTTCCTTTCAAAGAAACCGGAACTTTAGACATCTACTAAAATCCAACACATCAAAAAGCAGCCATGGGGATATGCAACAGTACAATCAACTGAAACTGACAGCCACGTTCAAAGCGTTAGAGCTGGAAAGTTCATCACTCACGACATAGCTGAATAATGGCAACTCGCCCAGTCAAATTTGAAACAAAGATTTTCAAAACCCACATTCCAAACCCCTGTCTAGAAAGCGTAAAGCCCAAACTCTAACCATAGGACCAAGCCAACTCCCATGCAACGATTCTGCAAACAGCGGAGCTCAGTCACTCAGTCTCTTTCCTTTTCATGGATCTAACACCACAGAACCACCATGCTTAACGAAACCCTTTTCCAAAGTCTTCTCCTCCTAGTCCCTAGGGAATCGAAAGAAAAGAAAGCGAAACCAGGCCACACAAAGAACAAAGAAAGAAGTAGAGAGCCACGTATGGACCCCATTACCGTCGAACGCAACCGGCGTCGCCAAATGAACGACCATCTCAACTCTCTCCGCTCTCTCATGCCTCCCTCCTAACGTTTCAAAGGGTAATCACTAGACACACAAAAATTCAAATATTTTTTTCTTAATAAATATTTCGGTGTCAAAAGTGTTCAATTTTTTTTTTATTGGGTCAAAGGCGACCAAGCGTCGATTAAAATAAGGTGGTGCAATAGATTTCGTGAAGGGCCTAGAGCAGCTTCTGAATTCGTTAGAGCGCAAAGGAATGAGAAAAACAGAATGAAACCGCGGCTAATATGGCATTTCATCGAGCGGGTTGTTTAGTTCTCAGATAGAAAGGTTAAAAATCCAAAGAGAAAGTATGCAATTTCGAAGAGGAATTGAAGGTGAAAAGAAACATCAGAGGCGGCGGAGATAGAGGTGACTTGCTATAACAAACCATGTAAATTTAAGATTCAGTGCGAAAAGGAGTCCTGGCTGTTATTGAGAGCCATTGTTGCGCGGAGGATCTCAGAGCTTACTGTTTTTGCACCCTTAACATCACGTCTTCTGAAACCAGAGTTCTTTACTCGTTCAACCTTAAGGTGCTAGTTTCTTTCTGGTCAACCAGTTTTGATTGCGTCAAGATACTTCTTTTTAAAAAAAAAAAAAAAAAAGAAAAAAAAAAAGACCATCTTTCTTCATTTCTTTACCTTTATCCTTTTTGTTTTATTTTTTTATTTATTTGGCTAATCGTTGGTGGGTCTAACGGCAGATAGAAGGATGAATTGTAAGCTAGAATCAGCGGATGAGGTACAGCAACAGTGCAATTGAAATATTCACATTATCACGGCAGGGATTGGTCAAAGATACTTGGCGAACAGAAACTAGTAAGCAGTAAGCTTGATCTATAATCTTTCTTGCCCTCTTGTATAGGTAGGAGATAGGAACTGGAGCTGGGGTTGATGAAAGAAAGGGAAGCTCCAATTATTTTCAAAGGCCAGGCAAATGATGTCTTACTGCTCAACTTCAAATCAAAAACCTAATAAAAAGAAGAAGCTAGTATCTTTTTATTAATTTAATTATTAACCATTTGTTAGTCGCTCTAGAAGATGAACAGGGGGTATGAATCCTGTAGCCTGGGTGGGGTCCAACTTGCTTGGTCTATATTAGGTGTGAATTTGGGGTTCATGATGACAAATTGCAAATGAATGCTCTCTTTTGTATTGACTTTCGGATATGTTCTTGTTATCTATGGATACGGATGTTTCATTAGTATATAAAACAATACCAATATCATAGCGCCAGCTCTTTTTTCTTGTACTCTTCCTTTTTCAAGCTTCAGCTGGCTTCTTCCTGGTACAAAGTTGAACACTATTCAAAAACTCCAATGCCAAAATGGACCGACTTTATCGTATCTTTTTTTTATTTTTTTTTAAAAAGTATTTTGTTTTTGGCTGAATCCTAATTTATAATTTAGGTAACTTAATAGTTGAAATAATAGTAAGAAAAGGCAGGCAAGGATGGGGAGTTGGAAGAGCAAGGAAAATAGGCGAGGGCCAAAGTCAAAGGGTGGGGGGGAAAGGGTAACCCATTTTGTTCCAAGTCTCTGAAAATTGTCATATGGTCAGACAGAGAAACCATAAAGACAGAAAGAGAAGAGAACGAAGAGAGAGAAGTGTTTGGCAGGCAACTATAATAAACACACATCCCCATTGCAAAAGCATCACCAACGTCTGTCAGGGATCATATACCTTCCGTTTCTTAGCCTCAGTCCCTAGTCCGTTCTTGCTCTCCCACTCTCTCCACTCTTTTTCCTTTTTTTTTTTTTTTTTTTTTTTTTTTCAATATATCATTTTGTTTTGCAGTGGACAAATACATCAGTCCAACACAATCATGTATTTTGAAGATTTCGTTTTAGTATTTTTTTTTTAAAAAAAAAAAAAAATTAGCCGTGGCAGTCAGCCGCATGATTAGCAAATTTTGTTTCTACTACCCGCATTGAAACGTTTTCATTTTTTTCTATCAAAATCATTCGAATGGATAAGTCCACATTAATTAGTAAAATTACTAGTATTAGATGAGGCTAAGGAGGAAATGATGAAAACAAAATTGCTTACAACTTGTATAGTAAAAAATCCAATCCCGAGTAATCTCATCTGTAAAAGGGGCAAAAAGTGACAGGAAAGGAAAGATCTAGGGTTGCTAGCCAACTCGGGCAACCCGAACTTGAAAATGATGGATCCAAAAGGACATTTGGGTTGAGCCCTGGGAATATGGGACCTGTTTTCTATGGAAAGCCGAGCCCAACATCATTCTTATACTAAATAAAATTCATGCTACTTTATAACCCTTATTCTCACACTAACATCACATTTGGAATTTGTTATTATCAATGCGGCAAATACGAGAGATTACTGCACTGTGAATCGGTAAGATTACAAAATACAAATCAGTCGGTACTATTTTTTAGAAAATAGAATTAAAATTATTTTTATAATTTATTTTTTCAGAATTATCCTTTTATTTAAATTTTATAATATTTTTTGATAAATACTTTTACGAAAACATTTTTTTTTATTTTTAACATAGAGGGATGGACTAGTTTGTTTTTCAAACCATAAAAAATCAACAGTGTATTTTTTTATTTAAAGTATAATATTTGTAATTTTTATTATTGACTAATGGATTTTAATGTTAATTTTTATTTAAAATTAATAATTGTGCAGGTTTACTTTAATTGCAGCACTACTTAAATGGGATTTTAAAGTAATTTATATTTGAAATTTGTAGCACTGTAGGAATTCTAAATTGTAATCTATCTCTTATACAACAGTGAAAGGCCAAATCATTAAAATATTAAAAAATATTAATAACTTCTTCTTGAAGGGTACAAGTGTAAATTTAGTGTTAATTAAACGTGTTGTCAATTGTCCTCTCACGTTTCCATGTTAATCTTTTTTTTTTTTTTTCAGCATTAAAAATATGCGCTTTATATCCAACATTACACGAATGATTTTTATATTAATTAATTATTCAGGTAATTTTATTAATTAATGTACGAAAATATAAGAAGGTGAAAAATCGGAAAGCGGAGGATCACCAATGAAATGCCGTCTGCTCAGAAAAATATAAAGCCTTTAGACCAAGTGAGACTATGATATTCTTGTTTCTTTCTCTTTGGCATTTTTTCAGCAATGCATCTGATTCCAAAACTGCTTCCTTACTTGCAAATTGACTTGGTAGATTTCTTACGTTCTAATCTGGAAAAAATGAAAATATTTTAGTATTCAATGTTGAATGGCAAGCTTGGGCAGAAAATGCAAGAATGGAGTTTAACAATTTATTTTTTTTTTTTTTTATACTTTTTATGGTTGAAGGGGAAATTGATGTTGTTTAGTTTTTAAAAAGTGAAAAATTTTGGAATAATTTACCCAAACGTAAATCATTTCAAAGTCAAGAAACTTACCTTCTGGAATTCAATCTTCAATTTTCCCAAAGAAAAAGAATGGAACTTTTTGATGTACGGTTTGGTTCCATGTAACGCATGTGCAAGTGTCTTTCTGCTCTGCAAATCGATTCCAAAGTTTTCCAATAACATCCCAGTCCCAATTCCTTATTTCCTTTTTTTATTTGTCCGAGAAAGAAAATTTAACATCTAATGTAATCAAATTTTGGGAATTTTGCTTTTATTTTTTATCTGCTATTTTATCAACTGTTCTATTTTAAATTATAAAAAATTAATTAAAAAATCATTTTAATCAATTATCATCAATGCCTAAAAAATGTTTAAAATTTTCAATTTTTCCTATAAATAGGAAATTATTTTCAATTTTGCTCCCTTTAATATTTTTGGAAAAATTTTGGCTTTCTATTTTTTATTTTTACCCATCACTAGAAATGGATAAAGTTAATGTCATTTAAATTAATAAAAAAACATAAAAAGGGTTAAAAACATTTCTTAACTGGAAATTAAATTTTTCTCCGTTAAGACCAGGAATGAAATTTAAATGCTCAAAGTTAATTTTCTAGAAAAATACAGATCAAATATTGAAAATTTAATTTTTTTTCAACACTTAAATAGAAAATTTTTCTCCATAATTTCTAAATCTCGTCCGGTTTGCTCCTGCAAGGGATGAGCATGGACTTTCTGGTGAGTCCCCTTGTTTAGGTCACAGCAGTATAGATTCCTGAACGAAGGGTACTAAACCTCATTGGTGGGTCCCAATTGAAACCCAAGAATTTAGATCATCATCATCTTCTTCTTTTTCATCATCAATCTTACAACGTACAAGCCATCAATCAAACAACATATTTTTAATCTTATTTAAGGGGGTGAAATTTTCGAGTAATAAGCACGCGATCACACTGCAGATTTTGAAAAAGCGCATGATGATTTGCTTAAACAACTGAAGTCAGTGAAAAGTCAAGGTCGAAAAAGGAATTCTGATTGGGTTTTTGGTCCAGTCCAATACGCCATTCCACTGAGTGCGCGGTGTGGGGCAACTTACTTTGAGTAGTTGTACTCAGTGTATAATTGCACGGTTGCAAAAAAGACGTTGATTCTCTTGAAGGTTTTTGGAATGCGCATGATTGCTTTCGCGTGATCTTTCTTATTAACCACTTTATAATGATTATAATAAGGTAAAGACTAAGCAGGGTTCGCGACCAACACTACACCGAGACATAAATAATATTTTTAATCCAGTTAAAATATTAAATTATTACTTTAAAAGAGTTGCCTTAATATGGCCTAACTATTCTAACGCAAAGATTTGCTTAATGTACTTCAATTGGCCTTTTTAGTATGCTCAGAACAATCGGCTATTACGTAACACCGGCTAAAGGATCCGGTTAATGCGAAAAAAGCCCAATTTAACAATGGAGGCCCATACAAAAGAACTCATTTTTCTTTTCCACATTTTTCATGATCAGCTGTTTTTTTTTTTTGGCTAAATATACGTTTTTGGCAAGAGGAGATATTTGTAAGAGAGAAAGAGATAAGACAATAGCTCTGTTGGCGACCACTGGAGCCATTCTATCCAATCAAACACCATTATTGCCTTATCCAGAGGCACGTCAGCACTATCTAGATCAAAAAATGAATGAGTGGTTCCTAGCTCCAAACTTGGGAACAACTTCCATCTCAACATTCGTCGAATCGAAATTATAAACAACCCCAGAATCTAAAACCCAGAAATTTTTTTTTTTTTTTTTGTACAAAAAACAAAATAAACAATAAATAATATAATAACTCCTTGCTCTAACATTTTTCTGCACTTTTCCTTTAGAATCTCTCCAGGT